TGGTGACTTCAATGCCAGGCATCGTAGTTGGCAGACAGGCCATGCTACCAACCGCGGCCAAGAAATCGCAGCCTGGTCATCAGAATACGACTTGAACCTACTTAACACTCTAGACATCCCAACAAACCCATACGGCAACACGATCGACCTCGCCTTTACTAATATGCCACTGGCCGAAGCTACTGTTGAAGACCATCTCGCTACCAGCTCTGACCACTTCACACTCAGCTTAACCCTCCCGGATATCAGGCCAGCCCCGATTCAACCGGGTAAGGTACGGGTGACAACAGAGGACGAGCTCAAGCGATTTACCGAGATCGTAGAGCTCGGGGCCACAAGAATCCCTCTCGTGGACTCGACACCAGCGGAACTAGATGAGCTTGCCTCTGCACTCGTGAATCTCCTAACATCGGCAGCAAAGGCAGCTGGCCGGCCTACACGGAAGGGCGCACGTACTGCTCCCTGGTGGACTGAGGAGTGCGCCGGCGCCGCGGCGTCATTCCGTGCCATTAGAAGACTCTACCCTCTCGGCTTTAACCAGGATGTCCAGATCGCCAAAAGAGACTTCCACCGCGTCATCCGTCGAGCCAAGAGACTATACTGGCGAAACCTCATTGATAGCTTCACCGATAGCAGCGCTGTTTTCAAAGCCGTTCGGTGGCTGAAGTCCCCAGGACCCTTCCAGCCACCACCGCTACAGGTCGGCGATGTCGTCTATGAAACGCAACTAGATAAGGCCAATGCACTTCGTCGAGCTACACTGGAACGACGAACGGCAGACGATGACATCGAAAACCCTTGGATACCAGTCTCCTTTCCTAGATCGATCCCATTCCCGCTCGAAATCTCGCTAGATGAGGCGCAGTATGCGACCCTCCATACAGGCAATACATCTCCAGGATCAGATAACATCACGGTAGATCTCCTCAAAGCCGTATGGCATATCATCGGGACGCACGTCCGCCGCTTGTTCGAGAGATGCCTGTCTATAGGCCACCACCCGAAACCGTTTAAGGAGGCAGAAGTAGTCATGATCGCCAAACCCGGACGCCGAGACCTCACATCGCCACGGGCTTGGCGACCTATCTCTCTGCTCTCCTGCCTCGGCAAGGGTCTAGAACGGCTGATCGCACGCCGTCTTGCGTGGGCAGCTATTCACTACAGCGTTCTTCACCCACAACAAGCTGGTGCTCTCCCCAAAAGGTCGGCAACAGACCTAGTGACCGCCCTGATCCATGATATCGAAGAGGCGTTTGCACGCAAAAAGGTGGCCACCCTAGTCACAATGGACATCCAAGGCGCGTTCGACACCGTCTTGCGCAACAGATTGGTGCTGCGATTGCGTGAACAAGGATGGCCCGATCATCTGGCTAGATGGGCTGGGTCCTTTATGAGTGGCCGATCGGCCCGTGTTAGATATCAAGACACCCTCACATCCTCCTCTCCTCTCCAGTGCGGCCTCCCTCAGGGGTCGCCTGTATCGCCGATTCTTTTCCTGCTCTATACAGATCCCATCTACCGATTGGGCAACCCCCAAGGCCGCTTTGGCTATGCAGATGACACAGCTATCCTGTCCATAGGTGACACAGTAGACGAAACTACGGCTGTGGCTTCCGGGGCCATCGACGAGATGGTGCGCTGGGGAGCGACAAACGGTGTCTCCTTCGACTCGAAGAAGCCTGAAGTCATGCACTTCTCTCGTAGCAAACTCAGGACCGCCCCGGCAGTACGTCACGGCGATATCGAGAAACATCCCGAGTCAGCCCTACGCTGGCTGGGCATCTGGCTTGACAGCAGGCTATCGTTCCGAATCCATGTAGAGAAGTGGGCAGCGAAAGCGCAAGCCGTGGCCTACCATCTGCGAGGACTCACCAACACGAAACACGGCCCGCTGCCGGCTGCCGTACGAAGTGCCGTCAGGGCATGTGTCGAGCCCGTGCTACTCTACGGCGCCGAGGCCTGGTACCCGGGCACAACCAGACCGCGATGGAATCAACCCACCAAAGACCTATCGTCAAGCAACCAGCATCTCATACAGAGAATGACCAAGGCCATGAACCAGTCTATGAGAGCTATACTTCCCGTCTGGAAGACAACACCTATTGCTGCTCTCCACCGAGAAAGTGGGATACCGCCAGTCGCGCAACTCCTTGAAGCACGGCGACTCCGATTCTCTGCGCGGCTCAAATCGCTTGATGAGGCTCACCCTTTGGCGAGTCGAACGCGCCTGCCCAGCCAACCTGCTTACCACGACCTCATCAAACGAAGATATCAAGCACAGACGGAAAGTAGCTTCCGAACACGTCTTCGACGTACAGATGAGCTCCTTGCGCCGTGCGCGCGACCGAAACTCGTCCAGCGACGCTTCCATCAAGAACAGATGCCACCGCTTCAGATGGCATCGAAGAAGGAAACGGCCGATGCCTTCTCCCGCTGGGTCGAGTCACTCGACCCGCCCACCTTGGTAGTATACTCGGACGGCTCGCTATCCTCGGAAAGGGCGGCCAGCTATGGCTTTACCATTCATCAGGGCAATGTCCCAATCTTTGACGGCTCAGGTCGCCTTGGACCTGCTGAGGTCTTCGACGCTGAAGCTACTGGGGCATTAGAGGGCCTGAAGGCTGCCCTAGACCTGCGAGAATCAGTAACAGAGAACATTTTCATCTGTCTAGATAACCTGGCGGTCGTCACGTGCCTACGAGGCACACCATCCGACTCCTCTCAAGGCGTCTTTATCGAGTTCCAAGCGCTAGCAGCATCGCGAGGAGCCATACATGTTCGCTGGGTGCCAGGACACTCTGACGTCCCCGGCAACGAACAAGCCGACAAGCTGGCAAAAGCAGCATCATCACTCCCGGAGCCTGAAGGGGCTCGACCAACGGTGGCCTACCTACGAAGGATCGCGCGACAAAACCCGAAAGAAGCATTCGAAGCATGGTGGTCCACCTCTGCCCCTGAGCAGTACAGGAGACTCAACCTCAAGGCGACCACAGGCTGCCCACCGGAGCTCTCGCTCCCACGTGCAGCTTTGCACCATCTGCTCGCAGCGAGATCCCTTCACGGGGACTTCGCCGCGTATCACGAGAGATTCGACCATGTCGACGCACGCCTAGTCTGCTCATGTGGCCGAAGCAAAGCACCGGATCACATCTTCTACTGCAGAAAGATACCGCCGCGTCATCGGACGAGGCTTGCACCCTCACCGAATGCAGCGGTCAATCTAGCAATAGGAAAAGACTTTACCAAATATGTCGACCTATCCAAGACCAGCGCGTTCTTTGGAAAGATCTGCCCTCGCTACTAGGCGAACACGACTCGAGAAGCACTCGCGTCTCTCTTTCTCTCTCTCTTTTTATTTTCAATACGTTTCTTTTGTTACCTTTCCTCTTTCTTATATGCTTGCAGCTAAATGGAAGGCGCTGATACGCCCTCCATCCGACTGCGATTACTCGGAGGCAGCCCCGCGACAACCGCGACAACCGCGTCCAGAGGCTCACGATCGCCTAAAAACAGGCTTACCTTGCGGCTGTCAGTCATCAGCCGCGCTTGATCATCCCGCTGACGGGTAGCAAGCTTGATAAAATGCGCCATTTGTGCTATTGATATGCTGGATAGAGCGCAGTTTGTTGACGCGTTCACAGAAATTGGACTCTGAGGGGAAGACTAATCTCGCGTAGCGGATGACTAAACCCCGTTAGGGCCAAATATCTCTGTAATTAGCGTATAGATAGACTGTAGTTCCTCTAGCTCAGCACGTCCTGTGCCCCAGTAGGGGACTTTTGGGGCCTACGGCCCCCCGGACGAAAAATATACATACATACTGAGCAGGATTATGACCTTCGGTTCATGGGAAACTAGGAGAGCATCGATGCAAGGACGCGACCAGAACTTGATAAGAATGAAAAGACTCATTTTGGTTCCCAACCTGAGTGCGAGGAACCTGACCAACACGACGGTTTACAGGGTTAACTGTGGGAAAGAGCCCACCGCAATCGTATGCTTGAACAGGCCGAGAAATATGCTGCGACTTTGCCTAGACTTGATTGGATTTTCTGCGGACAGCCGCCGATGGGGTTCAAACAGAAACTTGACGAACCAACTACACCGCGAATAGCAGTGCCATTAACGAGGGATGAGTGTTACAAATTTTTACAGTCAACCTTCAGAGGATCTCATTGCAACAGTTAAGATAGCACGCTGGACTCGACATGTTTTTCGTTGTTATTAGCTCATCATCATCTGGCACTCGTCATTCCATGGAACCGCTCACCTAGCGCTCTTGTGCGACTTAACATCTATACACACACAGGGATTTTCTGAATCCCCACCAGTGAACTAATTAGATCAATTCACTCCGTGCTGGAGCCTTAGAGCTATGCGCAGGACTTTTTATCGACAGAGGTGCGGTACAGACTAAACTAAGGAAACTTGGCGAAGCCTTGCTGGTTCGTCTGAATAAAGGCAGTTCTTCACTAAGAGCCGGTCGTTCAGCCGCGAAGAACTAGAGCGTATCACCATTATAACATGTCTGAACTTGTTATGCACACATGGATATTGAATACCTAGAAGGCCAGGAATAATTCTATTGCAGGTAATTTTCCGAACGTTGCCTTCTCGAACAAGCCCATCTTTGATCAAATAGATTAAACGCTAGACCGTCTAGTTTCCAATCTCGCGTTGGTGCTACAACTGGCGTTGGAGGAGGCGTTTGTGACGAACTGGAATCTCTTTCTAAGGAGTCCTTAATCATCCTGGTTCGCCACACCGAGCGTACATAGAGCGCTTGGAAGAATCGCCTGCAGCAATAGCCACAAAGCCAACCACAACGAGGCCATTATTCAGTGATCCAGAGCCAGCACATCGTTAACCAGCAGAGAGAAATTATGTATCGAGAAATAAAAGACTGACCGAATGACCTTGCTTTGAAATTAACCGCTACGCACCTGGTACCAATGACTGTAAAACGTACAAGACCAAGTCCTTTGTTAATAGGGGCCTAATCATTCTGCCACACCGTCAATTTCCAAAGCGAATTGCTCCTTCGCCAACGCCATCAACCCACAAATATTCTTCAAAACACATTCCCTGCCCGTCTTCGTACTGAGGTCAAACCACTGTGTCGCTGTGACCATCAGTGACTGAGACGGCGTAACCCCAAATCTCAACTCGTCTATATACTCATTCTTCACATCGAATTGTAGAAAGCAGACATAGTTCTGTGTAGCGTTTATGATAGTCACACTGCATTGGTTAGTCACTGGATCAACAAAGAATAAATTCACACACCTTTCGTCCTGAAACTCGTCCAGTGGATCAGTTGCTCTTGCCAAGATAGCTTCACATGTCATCTGCGCCAAGCACTCATCCGAAATCACCGGCTTTCCCTCAACAACCTTGAGACTTCTCTTCGCCTCGAGCAGCGCAACCATATTCCTCACCACCACAAACCGGTCCTTTTCCTCGTCCATCTTCAGACACAATCCGCCATCATCAACAGAGACGATATGGCCGCCCAAATCCGGAATTTCCAGACCCAGACGCTGCCGTGTATCCCGGAACTCAACTACAGGTGTCAACCCAGGTAGTTGCGTATAGTATAGAATGTGTCGCATGACGCAGGAGATGAGCCTCACGGTGTTGTCCTCGAGGGGAAGGTCTTCAGTTGGTACTTGGTCGACGTAGCCGACAGATGAGTCGGGCGTAGAGCCGGGTAATTTACTGGTAGGACTGCTGGAGCTGATTTGGCAAGTACCTGAATGGACGAATTCCTTGTAGTCTGTATTCCGCCTCACTCTTTTACTTTCGGGAGTACCTTCGTTACTTGTTGGTACAGCGCCTTGGCTAACATCCACGTTAGTCAAGCTCGACCGGCGTTTTTTGACAGCTGCCAACGCAGCCCAGACTTGTCCCAGAGCTACGCCGTACTTGTGGGCTAGGTAATGTTCGCTTTGGCCCACGAGTTCGGGGTCTGGTCCATGGAGGAAGTTATCTATTTGCCTCTTGGCTTCATCTGAGATATTGTGGTCAATCGCGATGTGTTTATTTTTGTATGCGGGGAGGAGAGCGTGCTGTGTTGGCGAGACGATGACACGGCATGTAAAGAGTTGTTCGCGGCCCCAATTGCTGGCGCGGGTTTGGAGGCAGGAGAAGGAAAGGGAAAGGTTCTTTGATGAGTCGGATTGAATGTATGAGTTGTATGCATGTTCTGATGTTATAGCGTCGAAATACAGTTTTGTCATTTTTGGACCGGGATTGAAGACCTCAAAGTTCTGTATTTCCGCTCAGGTCTGATGGTGAAGCCACTAGAATGCGGTAAGACTCGCGTGTGTACTTCCTTAGTCAGCACAGGCTTACTAACAATAATACTAACTCAAGCTGATTATCCAGCTGCTTAATCATTTGTTTCCACGAATTATTGTGCGCCTGAATCCATAAGATACATCCTCGAGCCTTACAGCATTTGCATATCTCTGTTGAGTATATGGTATATGCACACTAACCGACTGCCTAATGCCAGGCAAGATACTGATATTATCTTCACCAATTGACCGAAATGGCATAGCGCCGTGTACTGACAAATGGCATCCGACCGAATTGTTGCCAAAATTAGACCTAAGGCTATTAGCTTGCTTGATGGAACGGGAAAGAGTAACTCCGTCTCCGCCCTCCCATTCAACCACTGCGCGTCACATCATGACGTCCGAACGCAATTTCTTACATCAAATCACATCGCAACATTGTCGTCGCCCGCGATGCGCCATCCACGATGCAATCGCCAACGCCAAAGTCTCTTCACAGGCTAAGCATCGATAATCCATGGTTCGCTGTGCATCCTCTATTCTGGACATTACAGCACCTGCGTCTCTTGCACTGCTATTTCCAGCACCTCGACTCTGCCATCACTACCTCTTCATCACCCTCGAGCGTCGCCGACAAGGACCTCACACTGCATTCCCGCCGCCTAGCAAAGATCCGCTCGCCAATTGTTAAGTCAATTTCTGTCGGCCACTTGCTGTGCCATCAGGGCAGTCCGATGGAGAAAGTTGATGGCTCTCCTCCTTTCCTCTTCGCCGGGCGTGGCGTGCATTTACCAGAATGCCATATCTTTCGGGTGCGCGCAACAGGCATTCAAAAGCGGCCGATTGTTGGGTATTACCACTATAACAATGTTGCTCGGGAGCGACAACGAGCGCTGACGCCAAAATCGCATCCAAACGGTAGCTATAATTATCCCGTGTCGAGAATATATCAGCGCCGATTGCGCAACGTGGCTCCTGCGCTATGGTTTGAAGATCCGTACTTGGTCTGTATTTTATTGTCCTTGGCTCAATTACAACGGCGAAGGCGTCAATTGCCACGACCGAAGACTTTCAATGTCAGTCCATCTCTCTACCTCCCATCCCTCATTCCACTCACGTTTCTCAGGCACGGTTGCTTGTAACGAACAAGTCCGATACAACCCACGCGCACATTTTCCAAGCCGACATTCCCTACGACGTTCTGGAGACACTCGATCATCCGACACTCGACATGGAAAACATTAAGTGGCCGACGATACGCCACATCCAAGTCCCATTTGAACCGTATTCGAGCTTCGCCGAACGCATTGTTGTGCAGTTGGTCGATGATGAGTACAAATCTGATGTCAAAACTCAAGCTTCGATGATACCACGAGGAGAGAAGCGGAAGCGCGATAAGTCGGATGCCATGGGACAAAGGAGAAACGTCAAGAGCTTGGATTCGATGCGACTTGCAGCAGTGTCATTAGCTAACGGCTGATGGTTTATTTGCACAATGAATATCCATTCGAATGGAACTGAGCTCATAAGAGCATAGCTGGCGAGGGCGAGCATGGGTGTCTATCTCCGTTCGCAGCCAAAAGCCCCGACAGGAGCACACCTAGTCCTACATACCAAAATCAACTTTAGTAGAGTTGATTATTTCGCCCCGCTTTGCAGGGGGTAGAGTTGATTTATGCAGGGGGGGTAGAGTTGAATTTCCGAAGTCACTCGACAGGGAGCGCGATGATCAGGACCGGGTGTAGAATTGGTTTTTGCCAGGGTAAAGGTGTTCTTATGATTGGCTATGGAGCTTGCTATTTAATGAGGCGCGCGCCATACACGAGGAACGTCAGCACGCGTTGCGTACGGTAGGAGCCAGCTATAATTAGCGTTTAGGGGGAGCGCACTGCAATTCTTGAGAAGTTAGAATTTTGACTGCGGCACGTCAACTTTTCGATCACTACTGTATCAAGACCATGAGTTCTACCATAGAATCAAGCTCGTCTGATGCAATCTACCCTAATCAAGCATGTAGACCAGAAATGCGCCGCATTTCCACTTCTGCACCAATCAGAATCTCCATTTTCTTACCCCGAATTTCCCCTCTGGAAATGCGCCGCATTTCCATTTGGGCCTGTAAACCGAGAACGCGAAATGCGCCGCGTTTCTTCCACGAAGGCCCGTGCCAACCATGTAGACGACGGCGCTCTTAAACTTTACAGCGTGTAGTAATTTCGGTTGCGTCGATTAGGAGGAAGGAAGCAGCAATCAAGCTCTCTCTTTATTCTTGGCTAAATGTGACTTCATAGAGGGTATCCGATCCTCTTGCTGCCTTCTCAACTTTATCAATATGACAGGCCTCGCGACGTACACTGATGCTATTGTCACATTGCGGCCGAGCCAGCTCCAAAAGCTCGAGAGTCTCGGCTTGTACTACAATTCGCCAGAGCCAGCAATAATTTGCGTCGAATGCGGCTTCGCCATTAACCCTACACGCACGCCGCGTCACCCAGGCGACAAGCATCATATAACTGAGTCTGCCCGCTGTGGTTTGAAGCCACCAATCTATTCTCTCAATCTTCCAAACCCAGAGACACTTCCACTGCGCTAGTTTAGTGAATCGCTCTCGTTCTTAACATGAGAGCCCAGGTCAAACTGCTTGCCAAATGAGCCTTGAGGAACAAGACTTGATGTAGGGTAGTCACGGAGAAGAGTACTAAATAATTGCCGGCAGTGTCGGGGTAACGTGTCCGTTATATGACTACTAATGCAGTCTACGAAGGGTAGAAGGACATGGTTGTTTAGCGAACACGGAGAGAAAAGTAAAATTTTATTTAGAGCACACGGACTGGGTGATCCTATAAGACGTTTCCTTATTCAAAGTGTCTCGAAATCAAGTTAAAAGGAATCTTCCTATCATAGTCAATAAGCGGGATATCACCTGTCTAGAGTTAAAAGTCGATAAAGAAAATGCAGACAAGTTAGGTTGGCCTACCTGCTCCCCCAGACGTGTCAATTCGTGCTTCCTTAAGCAACTCATTGAAGCTTTCTCTAGAAAGAAAACCTAATATGCTGCGATTGGGAATCCAACCCGCCACCAAGATATGGTGCTTTGTCGCATATTTAGTTCTGTTATCCCCGATATTACGGAACCCCAAGTCATCAGTGGTGCTGCCATAGGCAATGCCAAGTCGTTGAAGTACACGCAAGTCAATGACCGCGATTTTCTGGGTTGTAGACTTGTGCTTGCCAACAAAATTCCAGAGACGCCGTGGTGACGTGCTTATGGATATATAGTTTGTCGAGATGCGAGCTCCTCTGATATGGTTTTCAGCCCCCAATCGCGTTAAATGCTCGTTGACATTGAAGTCTTGCCAATTTCCACAGCGAATATCTCCCTTGCTGAAGTAGTGGGCTTGGCTGTGAGCATCGAAGACCCTGAAAGCAATATACCTGTTCGGCGGATGCTCCGATATCTCTATAATTATTATTGTTTTAAGACATGTCCTAGAGAGTCGAGGCCATTTACCTGAGGTCAGCTTGCCTACTAGTTCATTTAGAGTTGACCATATAGCTTCCGTGCCAATGCAAGCATCTATGTAGGCGTCGGTCTAAGATTTGGATTTGAAGGTCCAACGACAGATCTCCAAATGGCTGTTGAATGGGTTCTCCCCGAGGAGAAAGAGACGGAATTTCATCGCTCAGTGATAGGTTTTGTAGGTTCGGTAAGTCGGAGAAATCGATATGGACCGGGGCAGTGGTGTGGATTCGTTCCATTAAATATTGGAGATACGTAGTCGCCCATAAGCGGGTATCAATCTCTTCCCTAACTTCCTTACTTCTATCATTTAGGCGACGATTGGCCGCCATTTCCTCCCGGGTTTCATTTTTCCGTTGATTAAAACATTCAATGGTTTCGCTGCTATCGTCGAAGGAAATTACCTGGCGACTTGTAGGGCGATTACACCACAGGCCGTATTTCATTTGGGCAGGCATTTCAGTTACTGGTACTCTTATGCCTCGATGAACGCGTTATAGTGATGGATGAGTATGAAGCCTGAAAGTTTGAACGCTGCGTAGTCATGGAAAAGTGCGGGGTTAACATAGACGAAGTCATACCATTATCGCCCCCGTACAGCTAACGTACATGATAAGCACATGCACCAGATAGCGTATGCACTAAAATCCCTCGACCTTACATCTAACTATTTTAAAGGTATCTCTTTGGGTGGCACAAGGCATCAACAGGTCACTCGCCCCACTTAGCTGACTAACCACGCTAGTACCTGCGGGGTACATGAAGTTCTCGTCAGACAGCTTAATGATTTTCCACCACCAAATTCATCAAAAACCTCACACAAATAGCCCCTAGCCTGTCGTAATTAAAACGATGAGCTCTTCAAAGATACAAGATAGCTTAGATGATCACAGCTTTGAGACCCCTCCTTTGAGTGACCCCACCGGCGTGCCTAATTTTCCGCCCGAAGAGGGCCGCGGTCAGGATTTTCAACCTTTCAAGCTAGAATATCGTGATTTCAAGATTAACCCTCTACCCAAGGAACCCCTTTAATTATTCCAGCTTTTTATACCTATTTCCCTCATACAGTCATGGATTAAATACACTAACAGCTGGGTCTCTTATCTCCAAGAAAACAGCGTTATTGATAACTGGAATACCCCTGTTTCTGAACACTTATGCATCCTTAAGTGGGAAGGCTTTTCTTTTGTAACAGCTTATGTATGGCTTGGAGTCGTTATTTACCTAGGAATTCATAGGGAAATCTCAATAAAGGACCATTGGAAGGCACCTAGCCTAGGAGATCAACGCCCTCTTCACTCAATCATCAAGTTCATGCCCTTACGGAAGTTTCAACTGATCAGCCGGTATTTTCGCACTTTTAACTACACCAAAGTCGATGTGAGGGATGAGGGGGATCTTCCAAAGACCTTCCAAGCGGCTGAAGAGTGGTCTGACCTTATATAGAAGGTGTCGAATGAGCTCTATCTTCCAGGGACTAATCTGACTGTAGATGAGTGTATGGTGCCGTTTACAGGCAGATCAAAAGAGACAACGCTTGTCAAGGGAAAGCCCACACCGGTGGGCTTCAAAGTCTGGGTTATCGCCCAACAGGGCTTCTTTCTGCGGTGGCTTTGGCATGTGAAGGCATTACTATATACCGCTGTTATTATCAACCTACCTACGCCGAAGCCGGTGGGCAAGAAGGGAAAGCTACGGACTGAGATCCCTCTTAGTAATACATAGAGCATCGTGGTTTACCTAGTGAAAAGGCTGCTTCCTCAGACATATCACGTCTTCACTGATAACCTGTTCTCGTTACCGCAGCTCTTCCGCCTCCTTCGGCAGCTTGGCTTTGGTGCCACAGGCACGGCACGCCCTAACTGCGGCATTAGCACCGAGATGAAGCAGATAAAAGAGACCGGCAAAGCTCCTGATGGCACGCCTTTGAGATATAACGAGGTTATACTGATCCCGACGGAAGATAAACAGGTATAGATGACTTTTAGCTGTATTTCCCTTACTAATTCGTCCCTTTTTATTCCCCCTAGGTCATCCAAATCGCTTGGAAGGATAGCAGCATAGTGCTCTTTATTTCAACTGTGCACACTGGTGCCCCTTACGAGCGCACACTAAAAAAGAGGAAGCTGCCGGCTAAGAGAGGCATGAAGGCAGAGGCACAACAGCTGCAGCGCCTTTTCAACGGGAATAGCTTCAAAATGATCCCTATACCTACTGTTGCTGCTCAGTATAACGATGAAATGAGTCACGTGGACCGCGGCGATCAGATAAGGTCCTATACAACATATGAGCATCGATTCCGCCGTGGTCCGTGGCAGGCGTTGCTTTGGAGCTTCCTCCTCGAAGTCGCACTTGCGAATAGCTTCATTTTACAAAAGAAGACCCGGCACCCTCGTTGGAAGCCCTACGGCACGCTACAAGCTTGGAAGGAATGCATCTGCAACGCGATTTTCAACACGTATGCTGCTGAAGGCGGCACAAGGAAGAGAAGCCGGTCAGGGAAGGAAGAAGATATCGAGGATATAGAAGCACGGCAAAATCACCTACAAAGAGATATCAATCATGTCCGCCGAGGCAGCTATTCGCCTTGCCTAGCTTGCAAGGGCTGCCGGCAAGGGCAGCCTCGACCCTTTAAAAAAAGGAAGGAAAAAGGAGGCTATCTCGAGCCGATATTAGGAAATCAGGGGTGCCAGAAGACTAGGTATGGTTGCAAAGTATGTGATGTAGCGATTTGTAACAATGCTGACTGTTGGTACCTCTATCACACGCCAATTTAGGTGTGGGTAGAATGTACCGATCGTCGCGATCATTTTGATTGGCCCCCGACCCTAGTCGTGACCTCCCTGATGCCTTGTGCCACCCAAAGAGATAATAAATACACACAAAGATAGAAGGGTTGCCGAGCGGGTATTTCGGCAGTATCGTATCTGGCCACTAAAGATCTCAGTCAAATCAATTTTGAATATAACAAAATTAGGCTCATGAAATCGAAAATGAAAAGATCAGTTGAATGACATCAAGAAGTTATACCAAAGAGGTTAAATTAAGTATGACAAAGGATATAATAAACACTAAAGTCCCGGGAAACCTGCGTCCCTGTTGTCTGTTAATATAGGCAGCTATATAACCTTTCTAATCCAGCTAAGACCTTACTACTACTGCTGCTGCTGCTGCTGTACGTAGCCGTGCTGGTAAATGTTGAGGGTGTCACGTGCAAGAAAGGGTCTTCTAAGACTGCGCCCGACAACAGTAAAGTCTTTAAGGGGCAGAATTTTACACACAACACAACATGAATATACAAATCTGCACTAATAGACAGAATAAGCGTATTTTATAACAAGAGACACTTCCGTCACGGATTTGCATTACTCGCATTAATAATCACAGTGCCCGCAATATCCACATTCCTTGTCGCAGGCCGTGAAGTCTTTTGGGGATTCATATCCGTAATAGTAATCGCTATCGTCAGAACCGTAATTGTGAAAAACGCCAACGGCCAGTTTTCGATGTTTCATCCATAACTCGTTCTCTTCTTTGTCCTGCCACCATCAATCAGCCGTACTGTTTCGTATGTACAGGTGTCACAATAACGTACCTCTTCGACGGAGGCTTCATGGACCAAGTCATTGTTTTGATTACTTGGGTCTTGTCGCAGCTCATCATCCTTATGCCAGCATCGCTGGAGAAGGTCCTCTCCAGGGCCACACTCAAACACGCGCGTAATGTCATCTCTAAATTTGCGCACCCAAGGTACTGAACGACCATCCTCGAGCGCCTGATAAACAATATCCTGAAGCCTGGCTCGCCCGGCATTCTTTCGATTTCTGAGAGGCTGGATGTGGCGCATTGCCGGGAGTACTAAGTCTTCAATTCCGTCCAAATCGACCGAGTCGCTGTCAGACATATTAAAACAACGACAAAGAAATATGATGATATTTGAACTAGTCAGTTGTGCCTCCCAAAGAGCCTCGAGGCTAAGACCAAGGCTCAGTTCTTGATTGATCCAATCGAGGCATAGTAAGGATAAGAGAGGGTTTGAGCCAAGGCTTGTCCCGACTGCCGGAAGCAAGAATCGAAGGACTCTCTTGAAAGCTGCGATATCTAACTCGGCGGTGCTTTGCTCGTTCGAATCCGAAAGTCCACTTTCTGTTTTTGACGTCGCCCAATGCGATTCACAACCTGCCTGAACGGGCTTAGAAAGCAAATTGCACGGCCTCGGGAGTAACTTTTCACGCTGTGGAACAAAAGGGAGGTCAGGTCCCGTCTCCCGCTCGGCCTTTTCATCTGCATTGGTTTTCTCCATCTCCGTATCTTTATGCCGATATACAAGATCAATTTCCCTAGACAGCCTTGCAAGGTTGGCCCGCCAGTGATGCGTGTTCGTAGGATTCTTTTGATACAAGTTGACTTCGAAAAATTTATTGTGATATTCGCATCTGAAGTTTTTATACCTGTAGTCAATTGAACATTTAGTGCAGGGGTTTAACCACGAGGACTATTGGGATTAAATACGAATTCAGTTTCTCGAAATTAGCATTTACAAGATCAATTTCGGTAGTCTCCACAAATATGGAACCATTCTGAGCGGGAACAAAGTATCTGATCGCCTCCTGCGGTCCATAGTTGACCTGTCTCACAAGCTGAACAGCGTACGGTGCGTTGCTGACCACGGAGAAGTCATTTTCCGTCGCTGGAGGCGTTGTAAGGTGGTTTGCCCAACGCAGAAAAGCTGTAAACTTCGGCTCGTGGTCAAGCCACCGGGGTCGGTACGGTTTTATGTCCGGGCAACAAAAGATAGCCGACATTGTCCTAGTTGGTCGAAGCTATAGGGAAAAGGGCCTTTGCGTCAAGAGGGATTGCAAAGTAGTAGAAGACGGAGCTTGGCTCTTAGGAGATGGGTGGCTGTGATAATTTCGATCAACTGAACACCACGAGGAGTTTATCAAGCATCAATGAACCAGGTTAATGTTGCTGCCGCAGGAATAGGGCTTCAATTACAGGTAGTAAGTGACAGAAAGGCCGAGATGTCATCCTCCCATCATAATCGACAGATCAGAGTTATCGGGGTCGGAGTTAACCATGAGTGTAAAACCAATTGTGGAAGCACAGGTTGCGGGCCTGCAAATGTCAACCCACCCATGATTATTTCCTAGCGCTGAGGCAGCAAAGATCCATGCATGGAACTAATGAGCTAGTTGACGCGTATGGAACGGTCTCGTCACTCGATAGTACTGAACAGAGCTCAATCGAGTGGTCATGTGGGAGGATGAAAGGGTGAAAAGAATTTTCGAAGAGACTACCTATTCCACTAGGTAACTTACATGGGAGGCTTTGCAAATACAACGTGGCAATACCCCGTAGCCGCTCAGGAGGCACCCTCCACTTCGCCATATTCAATAATCGTGCTTCCCCAAGTACCAGGTTCTATTCCTGGGCTTCGGCAATACTGTAGGTACCCATGTTCGGGTAATTCCACTGGTAAAAGATGCTGAAATCCGGGGTAAGAACACCCTCGGCGACGCCACAGATGGTATTAGGAGAGCCCTGACAGGCACGCCTTCATAGGAACACATGTCGCCAGACCAGATTGATGCGCCCGGTAACGCCACTTACACTTACTATCGAAGCCACTTACGCATCGCCATACGCTAACTACCGTACACTAACTTCGAAGCCACGACGAGCGGAGGCGTTTCTCCACTAGAGGATGTTGATAGCGTTGAGGACATCGCGGATGATGATGACGATGGCATGGACAAATTGGAGGATTGTGACGAGTAATTTCATAACTAGAAGTCGGTTACAGTAGATCCTGATGAACCTTCTTAGACTTTCTACACATGATGAATAGAGACATCTTATGTCGGGTATCTTTTCTCTTCACAATAGGTAGTTGGGCCTGGCGACATTAGTAATGACATTTATTCCCGGTGTTTGTGGCCCGTGCATCAATACTTCGCCATAATGGTTTGGATCTCCTTACTGGCTATGCGAAGCAACAAACATTTTACTACAATTGATCTGACAAACACTATGATGTCGTCGTCGTGCTATTCCCAGGTTGTCCGACCATATAGCCTATCAGAAGTTTTCGGTCCTTGTTGATAGTATCCTCGTCATCACAACACCAATAGCAGCAATGCAATATCCCCGTTCATCACATGCCAAAGTTTGTTTTTCTACTTGTTGGTATACTGCTCACAACAACGAAGATTTAATTCAAATTCAAAAAATCCACCCCGCTCTTTGACGTCACAACTGTGCTTAGACAGAAATACGAGAAAGTATCTCTTTGAGCGGCACAAGGCAACAAAGCGGTCAAGACAGGGATATCAGGCCAATCAGAGAAATTAATTCTGCCAATACAGGGCCGGTTTGTATATAAAAGGCCAGCAGCCAGTAAGAATAGATATAAAATATTAGTAGCCAGTTAAAGTCAGGAGAAAAAGAGGCTATACTCTTGTAGAAGTAGCCAAGCTACAAAGGAATACAGGCTCTTATAGCTGCCTCTATATGTTAAGCCTCTGTAGCCTTCTGGTACGTGGGGTCAAGTGGGGCGAGTGACCTGGTGTTGCCTTGTGCCGCTCAAAGAGATAGATACTCATATTTATTACTAGATAAAATATACCGCTGTCTGCTACCACTTATGAACTTACACTGTAAAAATTCACTTAGATTTCAGTAGATATATTCCATCGGATCACCGTGTACTAACGACAATGGAACCGAATAACGAAAGCATTGATATGGTGTCGACACCATCTGTCACGTACCCTACACCGGCTCATTCCGTTTCTTTGGATGAGTCTCATGACTTTTACAATATGTTGCCTTTCGACTCTGTGCCTACTCCGAACGCTTGGTACATAATTCGCACCCGAAACTCAAGCAAGAAGCGTTATTTGTCAGTCATTAATGGCAAAGTGTGTTTGCAGGAAAGCCCTCACCCCTGGGGAGGATTTTGGTGGCGTTCCACCAGCTTGGACGGCTGGATCGGACTCTATGAATTTACGACGGGACGATATCTGGGACACGATGGTAAAGGCAACATCGTCGTAAAAGCTCTCGCTCAAGGTGAGAAAGAACGTCTTGTGGTTTCGCATCAGCCGAAGGGTGGCTACCATTTGTCGATTCTCAAAGAAGCCACGGATGGCATTCAGGCACCGCGAAACGTATTGCGACCATTAAAGGAGGACGGCCAAGCGAACCTGCTGTTGCTCGAGTTGAAAGGACACGCAACTGTGTGGGAATTTTGTAATGTCGAGAGACCCCAGCGATAAACATTATATCTTTGTTCTGAAACAATTTAAAGAGGACAAATCGTAGTTCAATCATTTATCCAATTGCTGTCAGCGAATAATCGATGAACTAGTGCACGGGCTTTATTCGTCACATCGTCCTATTGTTCTCAGGGCAGTCAACAATAGTTCTATAATCAAGTCGACGAGATCTTGCTGTTCCCGACATAGCTTTGGAGAGATGCTGGATGTACGTACATTATCCGATGTATCCAATTTATTCGGCGAGGAAACATCCCAGCACAAGCTCGGTGCGATAACTTGTGACTCTCAGATCCCGGGGTATTCTCGGAAAAGCCATCAAGATTCATTTAAGAAATTAATAAACCAGTTCTAGTAATTCTGCGTGCCTATTCTTGCGAATCCATTCGTTACATATATGATCATGAGCAAGCTGTCTAAGCTACGAACCTCGCATCGCCGCTTTCTAGTACAAGATTTGTCCGGCTTCGAGCGCCGATCATCATTGATAAAGGATATATGCCCAAGTTTGTAGCAAACCGAATCAACGAAATGATGGCGCGACTCAGATAAGCCACCAGCAATTATCAACACAAGATTTTTCAATACACAGATTAATGGAATATGTTTCTGTGACTTTGTTTTCCTATTATCATAGCGAAATCCTTGAGAAAATATCTTTCATGTTGCACCTATACGAGTTCGCTTCTGTCCGGATCCCTCACCAGGTGAACCAGCACGCAACATCTGGAGAACCTCCCAACATCCTGGTCTTGTCTTTTTCTGCTCTTCCATCCGAGCATAAGGATGCCGAATCATCTGCAAAACAGCTGTACCAAGCTCTGCAATCATATCAGCTTAATTCTCATAAAATTATCCTCCACCTTACCTTCATCCTCACACACCCCAATACTCTTCACCGCAGCGTCATAATGTCTATGAAACAGCCATCTCTTCCCTTCAAAAGCCTCACCCTCTCTCCAAGGATTCACACGATACTGCCATGGATGTCTTCCAAGAAGCATCCAAATTGCCGCTACACCAACAGCCCAAACATCCGTCGTTGCGGTAAACTCTCCCAGCTCTCGCTCGGGAGATATATAGCCTACTGTTCCTTTCGTTCCAGGCGTCACTGTTGCGATGCCTCGGGGTGCATAGATTGCGTCTTCTGTGTCGAGGAGGACTATGGATGTTTGGTCTAGGTCCCATTTGCGAATGCCAATATTCATGGGTTTTATGTCGCCGTGGATCCAGTTGTTGGCATGGAGGAAGGTGAGGGCTTCCAATAGTGCTATCGTCATGCTTCGAACTGATTCCGTCCTGGAAAACAATTAGCCATAGCCTAGATAAAGAGTGTATGACGTACTTTAAAGGACCCTTGTACTCATGTAGAGTCTTTGGTGTAAAGGGCATCAAGACAAACCATATATCAGCAGCTTTGTTAGTTGCATTTGGATCATCCGTAATAACTTCAACAAGCCGCACAATTCTCTCCTCTTTGGCAGCACTAGCCAACAGCGTCAACGTCTCAATCACACTCCGCCTGCTCCTCAACAAATTCCCATTACTCTCTGAGACATTCATTCTCTTCGTGGCCACAACATCACCCTTCTTGTTCACGCCAACGCTAACCCGCCCAGAGCCACCTACTCCTACTGTTCCAGCGCTGCTGAGACTCCATTGACCGATCTGGATTCCGTTTCCTGGCGCTGGAGTCGGCGTCATGGAGATATCGAGTGAATTTTTGTGGCTGTAGAATTTGCGGATGTATTCAGTCATAGCTTCAGTGTGATTTTCTGTGGTGCGGTGGCGAGTATACTCAACCAGGTACTTCAACTGTCCAAGGCGAATAGACGAGGTATGCTGGTTAAACAGTCTGCGTTCTCTTGCGTGGAGGACATCGCCATCGACTTCCACAGTGCCACGATCAGAAATCTTTTGCACAAGAATTCTGCCTGTCTCGTGGACTTGGAAAGTAGCATGATGTTGACGAATGCCAAAGAGGGAAGAGTTATCAAGACATAGGATAAAGTCGTTGTGGGTCTTGTTACTTTTGCGGCCTGCGATCCATCCTCGGAAGTTATTAGTTGGAGGGCGCGAAAGGTCGATGAAGTAGCATCCAGTGTGAATATACACGCTCGATTCACCTTTATCAACGCTCTGTCCAGAAGATGTCGGAGATGAAGAAGAGAGGTGACCAGTTTCAATTTGTTCAATAACTCTACTGACTTGTTGATCAAGAACTTGTCTTGATGCAGTTGAAATGTGATGGCTTGCTTGCTCTCCTTCTTGTGCCTGAAAGTCATCTGCTTGAGATGTTTCGAGCAACCAATCGACGACCTGACTGAATGCTAATCTCGCTTCGGCATTCTGAGGTCTAAGAGTTATTGTTGATTAAGATGCGGACGATAAAGGACCATGAAAGTCCTCATTTGTGGCTTGACTGCTCGACAGACTTAATGCCATTTTGGCGTTGGATAGTTCAGTGTGATATCTTGGCTTGTCCACATTCACAAGTTCACAACTCAATCCAATTATAATCCGTGCGTTAATTCACAATTGTTATGGGGCATTCAAGGTACTCCTGTACTTTTACCGACGTGGGGCCGGGGCAAGAATATTCCGAGCTCGGATCATTCCGTCCCCGCTCCGACAGAGCGATCGCCAATTCATGACGAACGCCATCCAAACAAATAATCGACATCATCATTGCCATCACCCAAACTGCTACCGCAACACCAACAGCGACGCCATGCTCTTGACTATCGCGATGCGTCATGTCAACAAAACAATCACAATCAAGTCATCTCCCAACACCTGAACGTCCGTCGCCGTGCCATCCTGCACCATGGCGACAGATTGAAGCAACACTTTACGAGCGCATTAACGATGTAGTAAGACGCGTCTTTCCATCAAATCAATTACCGCTGACAGTTTAGACTCTCCCCGACGTTGTAGAAACAGCCGGTTCCCATCTCATACCCGCGCCTCCGACGCCGATCCCGACATCCTCCTCCTCAGATGATGATGTGTTCATCAAACGTCTGCACCGAGCGCTAGAACTAGCTCTCTTTGGCCAGAAAGTACGATGCAGCTTATACGGACGAGAGATCGCTGAGAATACGCGACCAGGCCATTCGCCCCATGGTCTGAGGGAGAAGCTGCTCCGTGAGGCTTGGGAGGACATCGATAGCAGCAGTGACTCTGGCTCAGCGACGCCGATTGAGGGAACAACTCCACCGAGTTGCGACGAGGATACCTCCAGACTGGAGGCTCATGTTAAAGATGATATGGCAGAGAAGAAGATTCCTGCGTCGAGTCGGAAACGAAAACGGGAAACTGAGGAGGATGAAGGGGGGAGGGTCAAGCACAGGCGGACAACCGGCGATCAATAGGCTTCTGGTTGCTTATTCGCTCCGGTATGATATTGAATTCTGAATTATTCAAGAGGTTACATGGCATCATTGGAAACTTGAACGTGCCCAATGTTGAGGTTCTATTCTGGCAGGTGCTCCGGGAGATGAATAAGGAGGCCGACAAGCTGGCTAATCAGGCATTCAACAATTAATATGGAAGGGCTTGCCGGTTCATCGCTTGGCCATCACGTTGAGAGGCAGCTTGGCCCTGACAATTATTGTTTGCGTCGACAGCCTGTTGTTTATATACTTTTTATCCGTGCACATTCATGCTTCTCCTTTCCCACTTTCATCCTGTTCCTTTTACCTTCCTCTACCCTTTCGACTTCTGCTCCAGCTTCAAGACATTAAATGACAAGAGAACATAATAATGCATAGAAGCAGTAGTAATTACCAGATAACAGTATAGCGAGGGATAAATGTCATGGAATCGTCACCTATTGCCCCGACTGCAGGGGTACAACAGTCACAGTCGCCTTCTCAATTCCTCGAGTCGCTCTCTTTATGTGTTCATCCTGATTCGCAACTACTAATCTGCTTTGACGTCCAAGACGATGTGCTTGGAACTACCGTAGGGCTGGCTACGAGTAGGGCAGGTGCCACTTGGGGGAAAGGGCGTCCGGCGCTCTCCGTTGATGCAAGTGGACATTGTGGGTGTTCTAGGTCGATTCGGATGCGACAGCAATTGTAGATAGTTTAGCTCAGCACGTCCTGTGCTCCCCTAGGAGACTTTTCGGGGCCAATGGCCTCCCGGACGAAAAATATACACACATACATACATTCGCAAACTCTGTGCCCTTTTCAGCGAGGTGTTTCATAGTCAAGGGCGTGTAGGCGGTAGAGTCTAATTTCAGGTCCTGATCATCGGCCATGATGAACAAGAAGTTGGGCGGCTGTTTGGTCGATGCATCTCGCGAGACTCTTGCAGCTTTGCTGCCGCGAAGAGGCTCAAAGAAACCAGTGCTTGGGTCCAGAATTTCATCTTGGCTATCATCGTTCAGATGCAGATTGCTCAATACTGATGTTAATTACCCAAGAATGGGGGAAATACGTCTCTTTTAAAGCAAACACTCTCATCCTTGAACGGCTATGGCGAGCAGAGTACAGTTACCAGCCCATAAGACAAGGATGGTTTGAGTGCTTGAATTACATAACCAAAGGATTCGTTTCAAAAGTACCAAGACGTGTGGTCTCTACTGACTAGCATTGGACTCTACCAGTAAAGTCTGCCGATACAACTCAGCCCGAGTGGAGATGCCTTCTGATTGCGCTCTCCGCCGTGGGTAGCCTTGGGCACAAACCCAGCTAGTGCTCACGTACGTTTCCATATTATCATACTGCTGTAGATTTGAGATATACAGATAACGCTACCCGCGGGTCTACAACGCTGAACCCCACTTTTCTGGGGTTAGGATTAGGTACGTTGGAGGTGAGGGCAAATTTATTATCTTAGGGAGTACGTTCCTTATGGTCATTGGTACGACCGACCGTGATATCAACGCACCGGGTACCCCCGGAACTAGCCTTGAAAATCTCGAAGCGATGGATCCCGCCTCAGGGTCCCACATCTTCGGCGACCTTTAGCGCGATTAAACTCTTGGCACGCGCAACAGCCTCTGATCATTAAATCATGCCGATTCTCAGCACCCCGTAACTGGCAATTAACGTTAGATCTTTCAAGCAAGTCAACTCCCTGACTCAGCGCGCACATCACCCCACAAGAGATTCTACCCCAGAAGGCACAACATCATCCTCTGCTCTTGGCGAAATGTCTTGCGGAACCTTTTTCTTTTCTTTAGTCATTGTGGGCTTTTCAAGAGTCGACAGCATTACCGTCTCAACAACAGGCTGCCATAATCCCCGGTCAAGCTAAAGCTTAGTGCCACAAGATGGCAGCCTACCCCTTCTTGTCTTTTGACTATTGTTCCGTAATGCCAGGCTCTTTGAACCTATGTTAGGTCCGTCTACAACCGAAAACACCCACATTGTGTGTTGTGTTTTGCTCTGCAAATCTAGACTCGTTATTCCTATGAAAGCAACCGGTATAATGGGCGCTGTCAATACTAAGAGCTAAGAGACAACTGTATGTTTGTCTCATTTAGATGGTAAAAGCCTTACTTGCTGTAGTCAGTACCGATTGCGATATATTAAACTTGTCGAAATTAAGCAAGCCAAGCCGGGAAAGCAGGTGACTTCCATTACTTCATGTCATTGACAGGAGATATCTCGTGATGTGGCTCTGCATAACCGATACATCGAACTTTTCTTTACACGTGGCTTTATTTTATTTGGCTCATGTTCATATTTACTTCAGATATCGAGTAAACTGAAATGGTGAGGAGAATGCAATGGACCAATCCTTCGATCAATGCTTCAAGCTAACGTCGAGTTAATGTACTCAAATTACGTTTACCACTGTCTTGACTTTGGCTCTCAGGCAACCCGTTGGCCGTTCAAGAATTGCGCAGTATCCAATGACCAGCGGAGCGGGAATCTTTTAGGAACTATGTTGGTCATGGTCTAACAAGACTGGCTCACGTGCTGAGTAGAAGTTCAGAACGCTGAGACACACAAGATTTAGACCTTTTTAGTTGTACGACTCCGTGTTGGAAGCTGGTCGCGTAGATAGTTGCATTGTGTCTTATTTACTATGGTGTCGCAATGTGGAGCCTACTGACAAAATCGCCCAAAACTAACGTTATGTACAAATGGATTATAGGAGCACATGTGGTTCATACCGTAATGGTCTATGTAGAACTGAGTCTAATGGTCCTGTATAGCAGTGACCTGCATTTGTTCCCACATCAAGGGTATGGGGTTGTTTCTCAGAGTGGACTGAGTAAGAAGATAGAGGTGAATGAGCTACAGCACCCCTTTTTGTAGCGTGTAAGGGCTAGATCTTCGGATTTTGGGACCGAAATTGTAGAAAATCAACGGGATGGGGGCAAATCCTGTTGCAAGGAAACCGAGAAGACTCCCAGCCCAACTAAAGCCAAGGTTGTGGTACACTGCTTCATCTCAGCATCTGTACATACCGAAGAAGGCGTTAGTGATGGGTGGCTTGGGACTTGACTTACTGGGTAAAACAAACAGTGGGAGTGAACCACCTAGCATATAACGCAGCACTCCGTTCGCAGCCAAGGCAGAGGCTCCATAACGAGCCCCATAAACGTTCGTCAAGTAGAGCACGCAGGATACCTAGATGGGTGGGAAAAGATGGGAATGTGAGTAAATGAAGTCCAAAATCAGATAATTCCGAGACTCGACTCACAAAGATTAGGAGATTGGAACAGCCAAAGAGTCCTGCAGCAACGATGCTGGCCATCCAATGCACACCGGGCCGCGCAGTCCAAGCAAACCAGAAGAGAGCCGCAGGCATTAATATGCTGCCATACATTGCGCCCCACAGTCGCTGTTCGGGATCCGAATAGACATCTCCCTTTCTCTTGTGCACGCGATGGTCGATAATTATGTATAGTACTGCGCCAGCCACACATCCGATGGCGATACTGAGAAACACCAGGCCAGTTTGTCCTGACGAAAAACTGTATACGTTCTGAAAGATTAGGGGGAAGGCTGTCAAAAAGGTGAACAAGACGCAAAAGTTGAAAGCCGTGTAGAGAGAACAGAGACAGACAATTGGCTCGGTTGCTAGCATGTAAAGCGGCCTTGTGAGGGTAACGGTCAGTAGCTGTTGTATACCCGCCAGCCCGCTAGGGATAGGGCTGGGGGGAACTGGTAAGCCGATAGCCTTGGCGCGACGACGAATGAGAGGATGGGAATAAGTCTCCTGGACCCCCAACGCGAGAATCCATATGGATCCCCCAGAAACAAGGTTACCCATTGTGACCATTGCCAGTCCTTGTACTCAGCGATCCAGCTTACGACTAAGGATCCCAAGGCTGGACCGAGAAACGCTGTAACAAAAAATAACGCCATAGCTACTGAGCCATGTTTACCGTGCCAGATATCCATGATGGTGCCGGCACCAACAGCTAATGGGGATGAACCGATGGCGCCAGCGAAGAATCGACATATGATAAGTGTGGCTATGTTCTTGGCGAACCCGGCACCGACGATGAAGAGTAGCGAAATAGGGGTGATGTAAACGTAAATGAAGCGTCGACCGTACGTTTCGCTCAGGGGTGCCGAGATCATAGGACCAAATGCAAGTCCATATACGTAGAGACTAAAGGGGAGTATCGAGACCGTAGAAGTAACGTTGAATTCGTGTTGGACCTCAACTCGAGCCGGTGAGTAGGCAGCCAGGCCAAAGGAACTGTTCACCGGACGACTCTTGTCAGCTGGCTCACGGTTGCAAAGGGGTGACCTTTACTTGGGAGAATGACTCACATGGTAAGGCACAGACATGCGGGAATCAGAGTATTGTACATCCTCTTGGGAAAACACCAGTTTTTGGCATTTGCAGGGTCATCAGACCAATCTAGGAGCGTGTGCCCGTTCGAAGGAGGCATTTCGGCCGGTGCAGCAACTGTCATAGAGCTCCTACTACTGTCGTCCATTGCGATAAAAGGCGGTCTAGTTAGAAGATGCAACAACTAGGAACTGGATATTTCTAAAGTAAATAAGTAATATGAACAGGTTAAAGCTCAGATAGCAGGATGAGGTTCTCTTTATGTGAGCCCATCCTTCCACAGCGGTCCTTGATCCACTAAACGCCGTTTCCCCACTCTTTTCGGCGTCTTGCCGCAGCGCCCCTCGAAGCCGCTTCATCAATACTTTCCGCGGCACCGCGGGTACTTTTACATGCGCGGCCCGATATCTGTCTTGTCCTGAATTCCGGCATGCCCACGCGCATCATCAAACTTGTCGGACATACGGCTAAACTTGTAGGGTTGAACCCTCTGTCTTAAGCCTTTCATCAAGCAGCGCGCCAAGCATTCAAACCTTCCCTTTTGTTGTGACCTCGCCGCCAACTCTTTCTGGCATTCCCGCACATTGAGAAAAGATTGGAAATCTCCAGTCTAACTCTACGTCTCGAGCTTCATGCGATGGGTGGTACCGTCTTAGTTGGAAATGTCGAAGACACGCACTCAATTATACTATCCGTTGCCGCTCCGCCAAAACCTACGCTTTCTTTATTTCCACGGTCACGGGCCTTATCAACTGATGCCTAGCATCTACATGACGTTCACTAATGCCTTGGTCTCGTTATGCCAGCGACGATTTGATTATGGAATTTTTCGCGTCGAATTTGTTATGCTATCCTTTTGATGCGTCTGCACGTGTCTCAGACATCATAGGACAATATTAGTCATTGCCACCACGGTAGTTTATTAGTCCGGAACTGTTGGCTCCAAGCTCTCCTTGATTTTTCATCCTACGCTCGGACGAGTTCCACTTTGACGTGATCATTGCCTGGTAGCCGCCTGTGTCAATGCTGAATTAAATATTGCATTCTGAACAGTCAGTCATTCTTATCACTCCGCTATGACCTCAACACCACAGCCACAACATACCCCCGCCCCTGTGGCCTGCCTCAATTGTCGCGACAAGCACGTCAAGTGTGATGGCGATCCGGCTGGATGCTCGCGATGTACAGCGTCGAATGTTCCATGCCATTATCTGCCTTCTCGTCGTGGTCGCAGATGCCCGCCTAAGTCACAGTCTTTGATCGATTGTCCCGACTTGATCTCCTCGCCTACTATGATGGATCTGTCATCACAGCCTGGCCCTGTCTCACAGGGTCTGTCTACCTGCAATACTCGGGTCAATAGTGACGACTACTCATTCTTCGAGTCTCCGAACCTAGGTATTGACGCTGCTGTCTACCTACCTCCGCAGTCGGAACACTGCTCAGTCACGGGGCTTGATAGAATCCTTAACGCGGATTCCACTGCTTTCTTATCCTGCCAACAACAAACTTATCCGCCTTCAGACTCTAGTGAGGCCCATCTGATAAAGATGTTCTATTATCATTTTTATCCCGCTCATCCTTTTCTACTGCCACACAAAGATTTCTTGAAGTCTGGCCCTCCCAGATATCTCGTTGATCTCATGCAGCTCATCAGTCTACACTATATCTCTCCGAATCTGGTGACGGGCGATCGCATTACTCAAATACAGACAGCAGTACAAGAAGCAAGTCTTAGTGTCGAAAAGGCACAGGCTCTCTTATTGCTCTGTATCGCTTTTCACGCCCATGTTGCGCCACAAGCCGCGAAAGCGTGTCTAAATCAAGCCGTCAACTATAGCCTCCAGCTTGGACTTCACTGTCGAGATGCTTCCGACTCAGTAATGGCGCTGGACCCCGTGCGTGCCGAGAGCCTACGGCGTACCTGGTGGGAGATATTCGTTGTCGATACACTGCTAGCGGCAGTGCAGGTTGATGGCACTCTCCAATTCACATCAGAGGAGACACCCGATGTACCACTCCCTTGCGAATTGGAACAAGACACACATAACAGGGGACATGATACATGTTCGTCGATAACGGGCCGCGATCTGGACCAGAGCCGGCATTTGCTGTTATTCGAAGAATCAGATCTTTCTTCCCTAGGCTACCGTGTGGAAGCATCCATAATCCTTCGCAAGTGTCTTCTTGCTGCCTCGCAGGAACCAATCCATGCTCTCGACGCCACTATTTCAAGTTGGTTTCACCGATTGCCCAGCAACAAGCGTGTCATTCTCCAGTGCAATGGCGAGTTGGACCAAATGACATTCCAGGCTGTCATGCTGATGCACTGTGCTTCTATCTATCTTCATTTTCCCCGGTCACGCCTACTAGCCTTTCTCCCAGTCACCCGTCACATCTTTTGTTCTGTGCCTCCAGAAGTTATATCTTGTTCTGCAGTTCCGCAGTTGCATACGAACAAGGTGATCAGTGCCGCTGTTGATCTCTCCAACATAGCTTCGCTATCCACATCTGTTCTCAAGCAAAGGCCGTTTTTCTGCTGTGTCCTGGTTTTGAGTTCTATTATTCAGCTAGCTTGCCGCTCAGCCAGGCTTGAAGGATTGCATAGCACAGACCTTCACTTTCTAGGTCTTAACCTCAGCATGCTTAAGTCTTTAGGAGAGTTATGGGCTATAGCAGCAGTGTCTGAGTCTCGGCTTCGAGATGTCGTGAAGGAAGTGTCTGGTATAATTGGTATCCAGTCATAGATAAGAGTTTGTAGAATACATGTGATACCCAAGTAGTTGCTTGCACTGTAATTAATATACGGCAAAGAGCTAAAATCTATAGCTCATTGTCACGTTTCATTGTTTACTTGTGAGACGGCTGCTCTACCAGTGACCATGGAATCTTAATTCTGGCTTAGTTTTATCTAATGTTTACGAGAACATCCTAGCTGGCGCTTTGCCACGCTCTTTGCTCCGATATTCATATGGTCAGTCGCCTGAGAGTTTATACTTCTTCTGCTGTATCGAACGCAAACATCGGCCGACGCAATGGTCTTAATGATGTCGTAGATAGGATGACTACCTCTGCTGGATAAGTGTCAGTTTGTATACTTGGTCAGTAACAGGTCATATTATCAGTTGCGAGTAGACAAAACAACGCTAATATGCACGACAAAGAAGTTCCGGTCATGTGAATGTTATCGCATGATCCTAAGCCTTTTAACCCATCTGGTAGAGGCTACTGATTGACTCATGCCTTAAGTTTGCGGCTAGTACAGGCTATACAGGGAGTCACACAGTGGATCTCACGAAAGTGAATCTGAGCACAACGCGCCCTTCATCCTGCAACAAGTGATGGCACATTCAATATTTGTAGCGGAAGCCACTTGAGTGATAACCGCTTATGGCAGATGCTATTAAGATACTGTAAGACCTCACTCACTACTGAGGCATCAAGGCATGCTTTGCACAGCATTCTTCGCTTGATGAGTAGATACGGAAAGAGACAGGTGCGGAGTGTGGCGTATGTACGTATGTGTATTTTTCGTCGGGGGAGCCGTGAGGCCCTGTAAATCTCCTAAGGGAGCACGGGATGTGCTGGGCTAAACTATCTACAATCGCTGCCGCACTGAACCTCACTCAGATCATCTGCAAGGCCTCTTGAATCGGAGCCGTATGTATGCTCGGTACCTCCAAAAGTCACCTTTCTACTCGTAGCCAGCCATACAGTAGTTTCCACTGAAACACGTCCTACAGGACATCAATACAGTTGATCTTAGCAGAGCTTCCGTCCAGCAGCGCCTCCATCTAGTTCATCCAGCATATCATCGGTACGAAGGCGCATTACTCCAAGAGGGCATCCCGTCAGCGGGAACACATCCCTCTCCGACTGGGAATTCTCTTGCGCGGATAGATCAAGTAGCTTTCCACACCCTAAGGTGGACAGCCTGTGTCCTCTAAGACCGCCAGTACCTGCGACCAAAGCTATGCAACCTTGGGGAAACCCTCCCAGGAAAAAAACCCAAGGCGGCCAGAACGCAGCTTTGTGGACGAGGCAGCTGCCTCATTCCACGGTCTCCAGGTAAGCTCTGCACCATTTCGTCCCAGCGGTTGCGTCTAGTGGTAGCGGGTAGTGAGACAAATCGTCGAGGCCCGGCTGTCTTCCGGGCGGCAGCCGAGGCTGCAAGAGGAAAGAGGTTTTCTGGGCAGTATACGACTGCAGAGATCAGCCATACATCTTGGAGTTGTGAAAGGCAGGGGGTATTGAGGCCCCGTATGTTGAGGGCCCAAGAAGACCCAAGAGGTCGAGCAGCTGACGGCTGCAGATGTCGGTCATACGGGAAGTCGAGGGCAGCGGAGCCCGGAATGTCGGAGGCTCGCAAAGCCGGAACATCGAGGTTCAAAGAACTTGGAAACACTACACAGGAAAAAGCACCCGAAGGTGATGTCAAGAGCTCGCGATTGATAGCCCAGCGCTTGCCAACTGGTCACACGTCGCAGTTAGAAAGCAGTCGATTCGCCATTTCTTCAACATCACGCAGTCGGGGAGGGCATCCTAGCGAATCTAAGTCGAGAATAAACTGAACTATAGTCTGCTCCTCTAGATCAGATAGCTTCCGTGACTTAGGTGTAGTACTTGATGCAGCAGGAATGCCATTGCGTCGGCGACGAAGAGCCCAGTAGTCGACCTCACATAACCTAGCAGCCTTGTGGAGACTTAATTTTAGGCTCCTCTGGAGGGCTTGAAGTGCGAGTAGTATTTTTAGCTTCTTTATCTGGTTGTGACATCTTAAATGATTGAGAATTATTTTATCAGATGGTTAGACGTAAGGTTGAATGACTTTTGGTGCATGCACTTGTTTGGTGCACGCGCTTATCGTAAACGTTAGACTAGTTTATCCCTAAGAAACTCTAACCGTCACAGATGTCTCGTAAAATTTTCATACTACTTTCTAAGTGAACTTAACTCCCCTAGAAACCCGCTCCAGGTGCTTTCAACACTACAACTGGCCCTCTGCACTGGCAGCTGCTAGGACGAGCTAGTGCTGCGGATAATTAGCTCTATGTAGCTCTCTGCAGTCCTGCCCGTGCCGAAGCAGGATACCCTGGCTATGGCCACAGTCTTGTCGCGGATCCGATGGCGCAGGTGCAAGTTGAGGGCAGATGAGAAGGAGACGACAGTTGACTGGGAGCTCGATCCCGATAAGATTACTGAGGCAAGGAAGAACATCCCATTGAACATGCAACCAAGATTTGATGTATACCAAGATGTAGGCGAGGGTAAGATCCAGTTTGAGGAGCCTTAAAAAGATTAAATCAAGTATCCTTTGAGCCAAGGTTTCCCGTCTCAAAGGCATATATCAGTCAAATTGTGATCACTAGACATAGGTTGGCAAACGTCAAATGAGAGACCAAAATTCTCTATTTCATGACTCCATGAGCCCTACTCGCAGTAACGCCAGAGTATTTTTCCTATTCGGGACACATATATACCTTTGCGTCCCGTTAATCTATGCGGCCACCTTGGCCTTTTTTTCATCCCCATTGATCCCTTTCCTGCGTAAACTCATAAACATAGCCACCCAAACCACTCTGCATCAATCCTCTGCCATGCGCTAACGGCCTTACTCAAGAGCCTTCTGGGCGAACTTGGGAAGGACGAAGCTGGCCTTGTGGATCTCAGCAGAGTATTATCGGCACTTGGCATCCTCCTCCTCCTTGGACCAGGTTCGGACAGGGTTCTTGACGTCGGCCTTCGGGTCCTTGGAGCAGACCATGAAGCCGATCTGACCAGAGGGGTAGGTAGGGATGGTGGTGTAGGCGTACTCGGCAACGGGAAAGATGGCCTGGCAGTCCTTCTTGAGGCGAGCGATGAGGGGGAGGTGAAGCCAGGGGCTCTCGGCTGTGAACAGGTCAACGAGTCAGCGCAGTCCTTGAAGAAACTACGGCGCAGTATAACGATAACGTGGCGGATCAGGAACAGCAGAATGGAACGCGACCGAACAGAACGCGGCACAAGTAAAACGACAAAAATTCATGCTATCGCGGGACTACCGGAAGCAAAGCTGGGAAAGCAGCACTAGCTTCTGGAAGTCCCTAGGATGGAAGTGGTACTATAATGTACCCATCGAGGGAGAGCCCAGCTACACCGGTCAACTTTGACCGGAAAGGGTTCCCCCATTCTGCCGTTCCTAGGGACGCCAGTTACTTTCCTCAAGAAAATAGGGAACATAAAACCTTGAGTAGTAATGACACCGCCCTCACGGAGAGCGTCGTGGAGGAGCTGGAAATAGCTCTTCTGGAAGAGAGCCTCAGCAGGACCATCGGGGTCGGGGGAGTCGGTGATGATGACGTCGAACTCGTTCTTGTAGTCGTTGAGGAACTTGACGCCATCGCCGATGTGGGTCTTGGACTTGGGGTGGTCGAAGCCGCAAGCCATGGAAGGGAGGTGCTCCTTGGAGAGACGGACAACAGCCTCGTCAATGTCGCAGAGGGTGGCCTCCTCGACACAGTCGTGCTTGACAATCTCACGGAAAACACCACCGTCACCACCGCCAATGACAAGGACCTTCTTGGGGTTGGGATGGGAGTTGAGGGCGAGGTGAGCGATCATCTCCTGGTAGGAGAACTCATCGCGCTCGGTGCACTGGATGACGTTGTCGAGGACCAGAACGTTGCCGAAGTCGGTGGACTTGAAGATGAGGGCGTCCTGGTACTCGGACTTCTCGTGGACGAGAACCTTCTCAACACGGAGGGTCATGGCATGACCTGTTTGGTCGGGTAAGGATTTTGAGTCGATAGGTTCATGAATTGGATTGGCTTACCGGGCCACATGTCCGAGATCTCTTGGAACCAACCATCTAGAGAGATGTTAGTCAATTGTTGAATGTTCAAAATTGTAATGTCTGCGAGGGGGTTTGTGGCATGACGACTTGGACGGTTTCTCTGAGTGTGTGGGTTGTGATAGAGGGGAAGCTCGGGGGATTAAGAGCTGAAGCTGTCCTAGTTATGACGCGACAGCTTCAGAGCTATGAATTGCACCATTGATAAGATTCAATCATCGGGTCGTTGGCTCCAATTCTTCGCAGACAGCTGGCGAGAATCCAGACACAAGACATGCGTATGATGATCATCATGAGAGAGGGGCGGCGCAACAACACAACGCGGGGCAGAAAAAAAGCAAGAGCAAGAGCAAGAGAAACGTACCCTTGATGGTAGGGTGGGTGGTCTCCTCGGAAGACATTTTACTAGAAGTAGAGAAAGATGAAGAAAAAGGTTGAAGAGACGAAAAGCAAGCGACGAGCCGATTGTGGAAGTGGTGATGTTTCGTGGAGGGGAAGAAAAGAGCAGGAGCTGGAGGAGTCCTGACTTTTTCACAAGCTGCTGCATGCAACACCTCTGAGCGTTGTACATGTACCCGCGCCCGCGCCTGTGCCTGCAATTCAAGCTGCTGCATCTTCCGGTTGGTTGGTGGGGCATGGACATAGCGGGTAAAATTTTCGATGCCGCCCACCGCCCAGAAGCAGAAACTGGTGATGGCACCGTCATTTTGGGCATCGATCTCTTGGGGCCCCTGACAAGAATTAGGCGGTGATCAAGGAATGTACAGGAGCTGAGGCATATACTAAGCAAGGTACCCTAGATCAGGAGACGACAGTACCGGTATCTAAGTGCATAATCAGACCAGGGCTCTGTGTACTGAAGAATATTATCTTTTGTTTATATTGCGCAGTAGGGATGGGTGAAAATATATTTTTATTATTTTTATGAAACTTGATTGCTCATTTTTATTTTATTTTATTGAGATGAGAGTTCTTCTCGGGTATATATCTCTAGATGATTTCATCAAGGACTTTAAACTTTAAATCTAGGACTTTCAGACTAACAGTCTGAATCCTGAAGGGAAGGGGGATTCCCGGATTTTTCCAACATTATCATGACCTGACGTGCATTGGCCATTTAATCCATGTTGTTTATTCACACTTGGTCAAAGCTAATCTTGTCAACTCTGCCCAATTGCTGCCGTTTTTGGCTTAATCATATCCAACACGTCGGTGGGACAAGAGTCAGTTCAACAAGCACAGAACCGAACCGCACAACCTGGGGGCTTTCGCCTTCAAACTTCATTCAAACGCCTCTACAATGCTTATAAATCTCAATGCCACAATTGTGCACTGCTGCGGGGCAAAACCCGCCACCAGCATCGCTTCCGTCTTGGCGGGTTTTGTTGCCCGAAGAGGCGTAGACTGTTCTACCTAGGCCATAAAATGCCTCCTAATCACAAGACCTATAAAATGCCTCTATTCTTAATTTAAACCCGATCAATAACTCCAATAATCACATCTTATCTCTTTAATAATGTCTACTGTAGGGGTCGCTTTCCGCACTTTGCTCGGCATCAAGCCTTCTACTGCTTCCACCAGCGACAGCGTTCTGGTCATTATCGATGCCCAAAACGAGTATGCCACTGGAAAGCTTAAGATCGAAAATATTGAAGCCTCGCGTCCCGTTATCGCCTCTCTACTAGAGAAGTACCGTGCTGCCAAGGCACCCGTCGTCCACGTCGTTCATGCCACACCTTCGGGTGCGCCTGTTTTCACCCCGGATACAGAGCTTGCCGAGGAGTTCGACGAGTTGAAGCCTACGGAAGGCGAGAAGGTTGTTGAAAAGTCGCACCCAGGCTCGTTCACAGGAACGGATTTGCAAGAAGTCTTAACTGCTACCGGTAGGAGCAAGATTGTGCTTGTCGGCTACATGGTAAGTTCACTGATGCTTGCATCATTTTGGCATACTGACTAATACGCTTGCTTAGGCCCACGTCTGCATTTCAACTACTGCTCGTCAAGGCGCTGAGCGAGGATGGGATATTCTGGTGGCCGAAGATGCGGTTGGCGACAGAAACATCCCCGGCGTCAACGCTCAAGAGTTGAAGAAGGTGGCTCTCCGCGAGATCGACGACGCCTTTGGTACCATTGTTCAAAGCAAGGATATCAACTAGATGTTCTTCTCGATTCCAATTCATTTTAGAAAAAGGCTCAGGAGTAGTTTCATGTAGATTTCACGTATAATTCCATCACGATTTTAAAACTCCCATAGCTTCGCCGGCATTACCTGATGAGGCACTCAATGTGTGTGATGATAGTAATTTTACCAGAGGAAAACAGCCGCCACAAGCAGGCTGACGACAACACCTGCAGCCCCGTACCCCCTTCCCATAACCCACACTGGCACTAGGTTGGAGCCTTCCCATGTACGCTATCTCAATTTTCAAGTACAACAGCTGCCTTAGAAAGCTCTACCAGCAATTCAGCAGCGACTTTAGGGAAGAGGGTTGATATTCCCGAGGGGTAAAAAGCCATAATTAGACCCGATTCGTGCTATTACGATCGTATTAAAGTCTGGATGATTTTTCTTTTTGGTATCCCTTCGACAGTCAAAAGTTCCAAACTTGTCAATACAGGGGTCAGTAACCAATAGGGCACCAGTATATAAAAGATACCTATTTACCCCTCTATTTTGGACCATGACAGGGGTACCAGCAATCAGGGAGGCTACAAATCGCTGCATCGCATTCCTGACAGCCCATTCTAGTCTGCTTGCCCCGAATATCCTTGCTCAGAGGCCCAAGAGGCCTCCTTTTCGAGGTTGTATGAGGCTGCAACGGTAGGAATTTATATCACCTTTGTCGACTCACCAGCGGAAAAACGCTGTATTGGACCAATTAGGACTCAATCTTTTAGATTCATATTGATATGATATGGATCGTGCACCCTGCTATTACTGTTGGCCGTGAATGTGTAATTTACTGGCGATTACCTGTGCAGTTGATGAGTACGGAGATAGTCGTGGAAAGGTATGTCAGCCTTTGGCAGAACGAGAAGACTTTGTGCGCCTGTCTCTATACTGATGATATATTCTTTTCTGAATGTTTACTTCTTCTCTTACATTGAAGATGCCGTCTTGGTCGTTTATTCCTTCGTTATAGATAGCACTCCACTACGCTCAACTTAATGTGTGCTGACACCGAAATTAAGCCATCTAAGTGATCCTTCCGAGCTTCCGTGTCGCTAATCCAAGCAGCCAATAGAAGCGGTTACGGAACCTTAAAGTAGAAGGATTTCTAATCTTATCATTGGAGTAAATGGATACCAGATCATGTCTCAATTCACGATACTGTCTACAACTTGGTATATTTAAGCTAGGGGATGTTTAAGCATATATCGATATCTTCTAGATAGACATGAATTTCCATAGCATTCAAGCCATCTCCAAGACATTATCCGTACCTCAGAACAATACTATAATCGCCTAAAATACCTCTAAAATAGTACCTCGCTGGCAAAACCGCTATTATAATAGGTTTATTTAAGCTAAATGGCATCGTAACCGCAATAGTTATCGCTCTCCCAAATATGGCGCATATATTAGTCTATCTTCCATTCCTAGTAACTCACAATAATCGCAATAGATCGTAATTCACTATGGTTGCAATGCCAAAGCTGCAGAGAAAGCCGTCGCACAGATTAAGGAGCTTGGCGTCGAGGATATCGCCAGAGAATTCTGAAGTTCCCAGTCAATTCAACTATGTGCCTATACACCCTGATCCAAAGAATGCTGCTCACGACAGGTGGAGCAAATAGAATACTTATGGCTCCAGACCAACGGTACTTTACGAGATGTTGAGTTCTCAATGAACCTCGTGAGATCTACGTGCTCTTCTTTCGGCTCATATCCTGTCTCCGTTGATAGTTCATAGATCCGACGAATGGCTTTCCTGTCTCGGTAGTACCAGACGTCTTGCCATTTTTGTGACCGTCGTTGCCTATGTTCCTCAGACGGCGGGAGTAGACCCGGTAGTCGTATAAGAGTATATAAAAACATATTTGTAAATATAAAGAGAATTCTGCTCCCTTATATCAGCTACTAATAATAATTTACATACTCTTCCTATCCTGCATATCTTTCAAAGTGTGCGTTTTATCCCTGTCACAACACCACATAAGACCACACCGTCTAATAACAGAGGTCCCGAATATACATGACTTGCTACAAGGAGCAACCATCACAGCACTGCACTTGGCAGTTGAAAGCCTGCAAAAACACGAAGCTCCAAGTGGGATGTCGGCAGAAGCGACGGCGATATCCCGCTGAAGACGAATCCTTTCAGCCTCCTCACTCTGACCACTACGCGTCAAACATTCATAGAGCCCATGTAATGCCCACACATTGTTCAAACGAGTTTTCCGGCGCGGAAGCTTTTTAGAAATCCCCAGATCTTGCTTATATACTTCCTCGGCCTTATCAATGCGGCCTTGCTCAAGCAACAATGCGCCCAGTGCGTGACGAACGGGCTGCAGCCAGACAGGTGGATCTGCGTAAGGGAGCCTGTCCTCCAGCCGGACTCCATCGGATAGGTAAGCGAATGCCTGGTCAAAGTTTCCCTTTCGATACTCAAGCTCGCCTTCCAGCATGCGCGAAGCAACCTGGAGAGCTGTCTCAGCCTTACATGCAATCCCATATTGGCGATTCTCGGGAACCGCGCGGCGGGCAGCTTCAAATTCCTTCCTGGCTACCTCGGCTTCCTGAACCCGACCAAGAGCTGATAGGGCAACACCCTTAGCATAGTGTATCATGGCATCTGTAACACAAAACAGCTCTTTATCTTCTGGAGGCTGAAGTTGGAGGATTTCTTCCCAGCGGCCGAATCGAATAAGTACGTGTGCAGGCATGGCAGCCTGATACTCCACCCAATCGACCATTGGGGGGGATTTAATAGACAACAAGTCGGGTGTAATGATACCAGTTATCCGCTTCGAAGCCTGGATTGCGTCTCGGGATCGACCAGCCATCATGGCAGCATACACGAGAACGTGAATATTATGACTTCTGTATGCCGTGTAGAGTGTAGAGGCGGTGCCCTCGGCAAAGAACTTGTCGTCGGAAATCATAGCCTTTCGATTGGAATCTACGCCTCTGCGATAGTCACCACAGGCAATGTCAATATGCGTTGCCATGTGCTGCATATGAGAACCGTCAGGAACAAGTTGACGCAGCTGATCCGCAGCAATGATGGCTTTCTCTGGATTCGGCGCCATTTCCATCATATGGATATAAAGATGGCAGAAGGCAGGATGATCAAGGCCATCCTGACTAGCTAAGCCAGCCTCAAGTATGTGCATAGCTTCCAGAGTTTCGGGTCCCGTGGGTTTACCAGTATCTAGGTCCCAAAGTTGTCGGGGACGCGCGCACATGATTGCGTCCACAAATAGAGCCGCCACATCTATGTCTTCGCCAAAGTTGTCGAATACGCCACGCATCGCTTTGACATAAGCATTGTCGAGCTTGCTAAAGTCCTCGGGTGTTGCTTCTCCATGGGGAAATCGGTCTGATAGGGCTTCGATCAAAGCCTTCTCGATGGGCTTAGTGTTTTGAGCGGCTCGAGCAAGCGCCAATGCTGCCTGCGATTTACTGACCGTCTCTCTGAAATCCGCCTGATCATAACGTATCCAAGGCTTATTGTAGTTTGGTCCAATGGCATAGGCCATTCCCCAATAGGCCATGGCACATTGTGCATCATATTCGACGGCCCTTTGAAAGCATCTTAATGCTTCCCCATGGTTGAAGGAATAACACCAGAGGAGCCCACGATTGAACCAGATCCCAGCATTCTCGGAGGTAGTAGAAACCGTTCGCCGGTAAGCTCCCAGGTCGTAATAATCCATTATGGGTCTGGGTAAGACTGGCGTGGAATTTGATCCCGCGCAGTTGTGTGGTTCTGGGTGCGCTATATATAAAAGTATTTTAAGAAGCTGTGACTGATTACTGTTAATGGGAAATCGGAAGGGGAATGGGTGGGCCATAATGATCAATTCGGCAAATTTGTCATATCCCCGATCGTCCACGGCACCGGAACTAATGACGCATCTGAAGCGCCGTGTCGGGCAAAGGAAGGTTTGAGCATTGGTAATCATTAGTAATGCCGCTTCACGGGGTAAAAGGGACCAAATACATGATCTTCTGTCGAATCAAAACAAGCAAAATTCACACGCAGCAACTGACTAGAAATGACACTTACTTTGAACTTTTGTGGACATCTGGTTTCCGTGTAGAACTACGGATATACGGCTTTACCTGGATAGGGCCCTGACGGTCTCTATTTAAGTCCCCTATTATCTTTATAACGCTATGGTAATACGACTTCATTCTTCAAACCGCATCGCGACTCATTCAAATCATCGTGGCTATCTGGCATGTCATTTCTTTTTGCACAGCTTGCATCCATCACCGCCGTCTCCATGGCTACCTCAGTCCAATCATCAGCAGAGCTATCCCAACTGCTAAATCCTGGCATGCTTGCCAATGTGCGAGAGTTCTGGTTCCGGCACTTAGCCGATAGCGACCACTTTGTTGTTCCTGACAAAGAAGAAGCCTATGTCTGGTTCTCACAGAACGATGACTTTGATCAAGAATGCATGTAAGTTCATCATTCGCCCACCTCCACAAGCCGCACATGTCACTGATGTTCTAATCAAGTTCAAAATTTGGGCCTGTGCTTGAGTTTTTGAGCTTAAACGTTAAAGCGACAGATATTGATGATCTCCTGCGCGCTGCTAACCCTACGTCAGCCCTGGATTGGATGAGCTTGATCATACTTCTGGATCAACTTCCTCGCAACTGCTACCGCGGCGATATGGCCGGTATTGCATACCGCTTCTTTGATGTTCTAGCCTTAAACGTAGCCTTTCGTGCTATTGAGGCAGGTATTCCAGAACGACCCGAGATACGATACCGACATGCCTATCGTTTCTGGTTTTATATGCCGCTTGAGCATTTCGAAACTTTGAAAGTGGTCGAGATAGTCGTTAGGGAGCATGATATCATGTTTGGCGATAGTCATGAACTATTAAGCAAGGATATTTCAGATGTGGCGCGGGACGCTGACACTTTGTACTGTCGAGAGGTATTGATCAAGAGGCGTGGCGCATTTGATGTATGGCAAGCTCAGCTACGTCAGGTCGTGAGTGACCACATTGCTACTATTAGGAAGCATCATCGATACCCGCATCGCGATCTTGCACTGGGACGGACGAAAGCCGAGACTACAATTTAATCAAGACGTGCTCAAGGCCGGGGTAAGTCGACCCTTGACAATGCTATTTCAGTCGCTGAAGGAGTGGTATTGCCGACTGCGGACGCATCCCCGTGGATTATTTAGAGCACGTATTAGGCAGATGCGCTAATCTGGCCCTTGACGCAATTGAAGGCTTTTATGTATAGCTTGACATTTTGTGCCGAGTAGCAACTGGCAAACTGATTGGCGTTTACACAAGACAATTACTTATTGTGTTAAATCCTATAACCTGGCTTCGAGATTGAAAATATGAGGTTAATAAAAAAGAATTATCACTATAAAATAACGTATGTAATAAAGCATGCGGCGCACTTTTCACAACCTTCAAGATAGGATTAGAGATAAAAACACAATAAAGCATCTAACCAATTCAATTCAATTACTATCTTCTTCCCTAGACAGCTCAGCAACAGTCTGACATGTTCTTCTATTATGCCCGGCCTTACCGCATTTCCCACAGTGGCTTTCCTTCGGTCGCGCCCGCCTGCCTCGACCACTTCTTCTCGACAATTCACCCTGTATTTGCGTATCAATATCCATCTGATCAATTGCTTCCCTTGCCTCATCTACAGTCATCTTCCCTTTATCTTGTAGCCGGGTTTTTTTTCGCTCTGCGCCGCTTGCTTAGGGCCTCATTTGACTGTCGAACGGTCTGGACCTCAGACTCTATTAAGGTCATCTTATGCATTATTGCCTTTGTTCCCTTAGTTAGTGACTTAAGAGCCTTAAGAATAGACTCTGGAGAGCTACTTTGATGCCTTCTGATTCTTCTTTCGAGATATTCAGACTGAGAGCTAGCCTCGAGGACTGTCTTTAGGGTCTTTGAGACCTAAGAGTTAGGCTGGCCAGCCTCCTCCACAGGGGGCGTTGGGGTTTATAGCTGTATATCAAGCTTTAATATAATACTTTCGGGGTCTAAAGGAACAAGCCCGGCTCCTCTAAAACCCCCCTTGATATTGCTTTGCGTCATACCTGGTAGGCGGCATAAAAAGCCAAGAAGAACTCGGTCTTTGAAATATGGGTAATAGAGCATCTGATTAAATGCTCAATCTCCCTACTGTATGCCGTTTTTAGCGGCCCAAAGCACCTAATATCAAGAGGCTGAAGTAGATGAGATGAATGAGGCGGCATATAAAGCGTAATAATCTTATTCTCCTTGCAATACTGCTCAAAGTCGACTGAATAGTGACTTTCATGCCCGTCAAGGATCAGAAGACGATAGCGACTATTTGATCGCATGCTTGTATGATGATTAAAATGCTTTAGCCACTCGATGCCAGTCTCGTTATCAATCCAGCCATTATAAGTCGTCGCGATAGCTCAATCACCCGGGAGGTTACTTTCTTGGTACTAGTGAAAGAGGTGATATTGGCCGGCAACAACGATGAACGGCTGGATTGCTCACCCTTCGGCATTAATCGCCTGTATGACTGTAATCTATTCCCGGTTTCTAGGCTGCACTGATTTCGGGTTTCCACGCCTTTCTGCGCCTATAATAACCATTCCGCTTGCAATTATGCCTATCATAAAGCCAGTCTCATCAAAGTTATAGATATCGGCGAAGGTAATACTATATTTCGCAATTATATTCGCTATAAAGGCGAACTAATTATAAATAACAGTCAGATCTTCGCATTTAGCCCTCTGATAGTTATACTTACGAAAGAAATGCATCTTAAGATCTAGATGCCGCTTAATGAAGTTAGAAGCCCATTGCTTTCCAATAGGTGATATATCACGGTCGGCAAGTAGTCGGTTTGCCATTTCTTTAACACTACGCAGTCGCGGGGGAAAGCCTCGCGAATCTAGGTCAAAGATGAATTGAACTATAATCTGTTCTTCTAGATCAGATAGCTTGCGTGATTTAGGCACCCAATCGACTGGAGATTGAATGCTATTCCGTCGGCGACGGAGCCTTTGCTCCTTGATCTCATAGATTGTTGCAGCACGTCGGATACTTAGTTTCGCGTCATTTTGAAGGGCAAGAAGCGTTTTTGCCTCTATATTTGACTGTGGCATCTTAAATGGTTGAGAATTGATTGATTAGATGAAAGGAGGAGAAATTGAGAGATTTTTGTGCCGCATGCTTGTCTGGCTCACATACTTGTGATGCACGTTGTACTTATATTATAATACTTATAGTTGACTGAGAATATATATATTCCTTAAATGGTTTGGGTTCTATCTAAGTATCGTATAACTTCTTTATTGTTGTTTGATCTAATATAACTAGTGAAAGTAACATGATCCAAGTTGAAGCTTTGATAGAAGACTTCTCTGGAGTGTATTACTAGTAAATTTCCATAATGCTGCGCTAGGCTCTCCGTCTGTCTTGAATACCTCGCAAGCCGTGGTGAGCGGAAACACTATAGACAATGGTCCAAACAGCGCCAGGCGGTCCTGGAGCAGGAAATCTGTGCCTTGAACGATCCTGACACAGAGCTCCCTATAGGTCTCCTGGAGATAATCTCCTAGTTCGCAGACTACTGGAACTGGCCAGGCGCAAGACACATGGGGGAACCTGGTCCGGAGCTTTTGAATCTCAGTCAAGCAAACTACTTTGAACGCCCATAGATGCATGACCATGTTGGCGACAGATACACTGGGAAACCATATATTATAACCTGCCCAGGCCGACAAGCTTTTTGATGGAACTTGCCAGCAAAACACGCCAGTAGATGGCTCTGCACCTAAAGGGTCGCCCCAGCCTTGTAATTGATCATAGGTTCTTTTAAGGAGATAAATGGCCTCCGTAGCAATTGACGCAGCTACACAGGCAGGGCTATGCTCAAGGGTATCGATTAATTCAAGAATCGTGGGTATAATGGAAGCCTCACTAAACAGAAGCTGCATTAGCGATTCTTGCTGGAACTCAAATGGTTTTGTTTTCCAGTCTTCACTGGAAAGAAAGGAAGCCTTGCGAGATGAAAAGGCTTTCAGAATCTAGCTAATGAGTCAAAAGCCCAATGAATCACAAACAGAGAGGCAAAGCACTTACCAATAGGGGTCTAAACCCAAGGAAAAGTTTATGACGGATTCCGAGACTGAATGACCCTGCAGGCCAGAGCCTCATCCACTCACCAACGCCATCCATATGGCGCCACCAACCGTTAGTTGAAGTCGGCAATATCATCTACACAAAACAAGTCTCGTCAGTCTGACGTCCTTTATGAGGTCATGACCCATACTCACCTCTGTCAACGTGAGGCACATGATGGCCACAGCGACTTCATCTTGTGACGATATGTCTGTATTCGGCCGTTCTAATTCTCCCTTCAGCACACGCATTGCCGAACCATATTTATACAGCAGCTCAGCGCGTGTTGAGTGTGAACTCTGCCGCAAATCAGATATGGATGCTGCAAGGCAGCGTATTGCTGATGAAAGGGCCTGTCCCTGCCCACCACTACTTATCGTGGGAAGGACTTCAACCCAGTTGCCACAAATGCGAGATTCGGTTGGTTTGTTTTGATGAATGACATATAATTCACCTTCTGGCATGAAACTTTGCATGATGAGCAGAACCTTGCCTTGTAAGGGGTTGTCCGGTATGCCAGGGATCATAAGAGGTAGTTTCGGTTGTGACCGTTGCTTGTCACTTATACCATTGGAGGTAACCACTCTCTTTTCAGACTTCTTAGCAGGGGTTTTCGATTTCTTAGCTGCGGTTTCGGAAACGAATAACAAGTCTGTAGGGTAACAGCATTCGCGCCCAGTATGAGTGCATTGCAAGCAAGCTGGCTTTCCCCCATCGCACTACGAGTGGGTCAGCTGACAGCAACAAGTAATGACGTAACGAAGGATATTACCCCGATTTTGCGTGATCTACACGTTTGACAGATTGTTCGGTTGCGTACTTTCATCGTAGTAGAAGTCGTTGCCTGATGCTTGATGGGATAGGAATGGAATACTCGGAAAACATGCAGAGAAGAAAGTTGGGTTGCTGACGTAGTACGAAACCATGGTTTATAAGCTCGGGCTTGGCGGAATTACAGACCGATAGTAGTTAGTCCATCGTGCCTAAAGCCCCCAAGCGCGAGACGACCAATCATACAGCGCAAGTGTTAAATAGTTGGTTTGTAGCCGTAACGTTACATTCCATTCAGCGAGCCTAACGTGCTTGATAAGCGAGTGAGCCAGACAAGCGAGTGAGCCACATATCTTAACCTTCCAAATTAAATTCGCAATAAAAACACCACAATCTATCTGATCAATTAAAATTAATTGTTATACTATTCCCTATTGACCTCAATTGCCTCCTGACAGGTCCTTGCATTATGCCCGGTCTTTCCGCAAATACTACACTGCCGAACCTTTGCTCCTTGTGACCTTCCGCGACCACCTCTCGAGGATTCAGCTGTTAGCTGCGCATCAATATCTATCTGATCAATTGCTTGTAATGCTTCCCCTATAGTTAAAGGCCCTTCTTTCTGTACCTTAGTCCTTTTTCCCCTCCGGCGTCGCCCTACTGTCTTATTCTCTTGTTCAAGTTGTCGAACCCTATCATCTAGTAAGACCATCTTATGCATAAGAACAGTTGTTGCCTTCTCAAAATGCTTTACGGCTTCAATTATTGACTCAGGGGAGCTGCTCTTATGATTTCTGATCCTTCCTTGCAGATACTTAGAATGCGATTGGGCCTCTAGCACTGTCTTTGGGGTCCTTGCAGTCCAAGGGGTCGATGGTATTATGACCTCTACGGGAGGCGTCGGAGTCCGTAGCTGCACATCAAGCTTCGAGATGACATTTTCTGGGTTAAAGGGAGCAAGCCCAGCTCCTCTGAAACCTCCCTTGATATTGCTTTCTGTAATAGCAGCTTGGTGGGCGGCGTAAAAGGCAGGAAAGAACTCAGTCTTCTTAATATAGGTTATATTGCATCTGATCAGATGCTCTATTTCTCGACCATATGCCTTTTTCAGCGGCCCAAAGCACCCTACGTCAAGAGGCTGAAGTAGATGAGAGGCATGAGCAGGCATACAGAGCGTGATAATCTTGTTCTCTTTGCAATATTTCTCGAATTCGACGGAGTGGTGACTTTCGTGACCATCAAGGATCAAGAGGCGATAGCGACTGTTCGTTCGCTTAGCTGTAGCCCGATCAAAGTGCTTTAGCCACTCGAGACCCAGCTTATTATTAGTCCATCCATTTTCGCTCAATGCAATAACCCAATCGCCGGGGAGGTCGCATTCTTGGTACCAATTGGCAAGGTGATCCTTGCCTGCACCAATGATAAACGGCGGGATCGATTGACCGTCCGCATTGATCCCCTCGATCACAGTAATCCATTCGCGGTTTCCAGGCTGTACTTGCTTTGGTCTTCCTTGCCTGTAAGAGCTTGTGACGACTGTTCCGGGCTCAATTACGCCCATCATAAAGCCGGTCTCATCAAAGTTCCAGATATCATCTGATCGGATACCGTATTTCGCGATTGTATTCTCTACAAGCCGAAACCAGCCACGAATAATAGTCGGATCTTCGCATTTAGCTCTCTGATAGTCATACCTCCGAGATAGACGTGTCTTTAGCTCTGGTTGTCGCTTGACGAAGTTATAAGCCCAGCGCTTGCCGACGTATGGCGCGTTGCGGTTGGCAAGTATAGAATTAGCTATATCTTCCACATATGATAGTCGCGAGGGAAAACCTCGCAAATCTAGGTCTAAAATGAATTGGACTACTATCTGCTCTTCCTGATCAGATAGTTTCCGTGACTTTGTGGGAGTATCACGCGTTGAAAGAATGCCATGCTGGCGGCGACCTAAGGTACTACGGTTGACATTGTAGATATTTGCCGCCCGTCGGACTGTAAGTTTAGGGTTATCTTGAAGGGCCTGAAGGGCAAGAAGGATTCTAGCTTCATTTGAGGACTGTGGCATATTTGTTGGTTGAGATATAGCTGATTGAATTATAATGTTGTAAGGTGAGGGATTTTTGGCTCACTTGCTTGTCTGGCTCACTCGCTTATCATACACGTTATTTGAAGGGTTTCGATTAACTAAGCTGCGTCTCGGTAGATTTGCTGAGGCTTGGCGCATTTTGTTACCGCTTTGCGTTATAGTATGATTTTTACGAGGCACAGTGTTCCTTGACCAGATCCTCGTCATCGGTGCAGTCATTGCAGTGCTTCTCAGTCACGAACATCATGTCAATAATTGATGACCTTGATCTTTGTCTACTTGACAGGTGTCGTGTTTTCACAACTATTGATGGCGCTAAGAACCTTGTCCCTTACCCTGCAGTTCATGTACTTGAACCTTGGGAGAAGATAGACATTATGATTGCCGAAAAGAAGTTCCAGATTATTAGTACCCCTACATCGCATACGCATGGGCAATAGTGCACCGGCTTCATTTTCACGGGAGAGGAATTTGGTCAAGGCCGTGATGGACTGCCTAATGCGATCTGGTTCTCTGGCGATACTGGTTACATCGAAGAACTGAAGCAGATAGCGGATCAGTATGGACCGGAAGTTGGGCAGTTCGGTCTTACAATGGCGTTGAGGGACCGGAGGTCGTAATACTAGGTTATCAGCTAACCCTTTTGTCTTCCCGAGTTCCCCGAGTCCCGGCCATAACACAAAAAGAGCCGGAAGTCGAAAGATCTTCTCCGTCAACCAGACCACAATAGTAATCCTAATAACCAATTACCCATGTTTACTGGGTTAAGTAAATCCTCGTTTTCACATAATACATCGGCATTGAAATTCTAGACAGTGGATCGCTGTCTATACTTCCGCATCGGTCTATTCCTTTTCCGATATCGCAGCCAATTGAGTCACTGGCTAACCATCACTGTATTTTAAATTATCAGTTCTTTCACGTGCTGTTTGAGTATCTCCTGTGTTTACTTATTTGATAGCTCTGACTCCCAGAATGTCTACCACGAGTACCGTCTTGGTCGTTGAGCAGTCGACTCCAGCACGGAGCGAACGATTCGAGATTGGCAGACACCGAACCAGTGTTCGGGACACTGAATCAAACCGTGCGCAAGTTCCTGTGTACTCGAGGTTCAGCAATGCAGAAAAACGAGGTATCACGGCCCTATTGGCCTTTTGCGGCGTACTCGCCACTATGTCCACGACCAGTATTCTCGCCGCTATACGGGAAACAGATGCTTTCGAGATTCCATTGGAAGATTTCAAGAAGAGCGCCGCAGTCAATATCTTTAGCGCTTATACCGCCGCTCAAGAAGCTGTAAAAGATTGGAAAGAACTTCTCCCATCAAGCAGCCCAACTTTTATCTATAGCGGAACTGCGAGAACGTAGCTCCCATCCCATCACTCATGGCCTTGTGCGTTGGAAAGTCGGGTGCCGCTGCTTTTATTGAGGTTGCAGCGACGCCATACAAGGACAAGGTTTCAATTAAGCGCTCCAGACTCCTCTCTGGCCCTATAGAGTACTAATTATTCGATGCAGATTTTAGTATACCGACGAGAGACTCGAGGATGGCACCCCAATGTGGAACGGGCCGAGCGCAGGAGGTCATGCTAAATTGTATACTGAACTGGCCAAAGGTACTGAACAGTTGGAATGGCAACAAACACTTGTGACAGGATTTGGGTACAGGAAGTTTTAGTGCAACTATGCAAGGCATCTATTACCGTTGACGTGTTCATCTTGGCGTTGTTAATAATATGTGGGCACTATTATCACGGTGAGTCAGAAAGCGACCGTGGTTCAAAGTAACAAAGCAAGTATATGATTTTGAAAGATACAAAACTGGTAACTTTCCCGATCTAAATTAAGAGATCCTCAAGCACTTTGATTAACCCTTTGTGCAACTCTTCCACAATGATCCTCCACTGCCAGACGTTACTATCTTCCGATGCGAACATTAGGGATCTTGACGGGCACCAAGATCATCACCATGCGTAGACCGCTTAGCAAGACTTGACGGTGGTGTACTTGCAGGCGTTGCTGGGGCCGGAGCCGAGCTGCTTGGGCTCCTTGCCGGGGACGGTGCCCTCGAACTCAGTGCAGACCTTCTTGACCGAGGTGGCGCAGGTGCCGGAGATGGTGGCCTTGTCACCCTTGTTGGAGTTGATGCCGGTCAGGAGCTTACCGTTGTAAGCCTTGACATTCTTGACAACAACGTTGCGGGTGCCCATCTTCTTGCAGTTACCGCAAGATCGGTAGAGCTTACCGAAGTCGACAACGGTGAAGCCATCGATAGTGACCGTGCCGAGACCGTTGTGCTGGATGACCTTGTCGTCAGCGCCGGTGGCACCGCCACCCTTGACAAGAGCGTTACCATCACCCTTGAGGGAGAGGGCATCCTCGCAGACCTTGGACCACCAGACGTTTTCGATGGTGCAAGAACCCTCACAGTGGACACCCTCGATCTGGTCAGCGCCGATGATTGCGTTCTTGAGCGTAGCACCGTTCTTAAGGATGAAGACGGCATCAGAGTCACCACCCTCCTTCTGGCCAGTGCACCTGACGCCACGGCCGTAGGTCTTCATCTTTCCGTCAAAAACACCGGAGATCTCCTGGACCTTCTTGTAGGTGACGGAACCCTTGGAGGCGGGGATAGGGAAGGAAGCGCGCTTCTCGAGGGCACCCATGGTGTTGGGAGTGACATTGCCCTGAGGAGTGGCGATGGCGGCTGAGGCGAAAAGGCTGGAGAGGACGATGGAGCACTTCATTTTGAAAGAGTTGGTTGTTTGTAAAAGGTCGAAAGTGACTTTAAGTATGTAAGGAACTTAAAGAGAGGATAACCACCAGGGTCAAAGAGGGTAAGAAACTTAGATGTTTGTAAAGAGAGACGATTGAACTGAGGAATGAAGAAGAGAATGGGATATAAACGGGCGAGTCTTGAGCCTTATATATGAAAAGATCGTGAGCGCTGAGGAGCAGTTCGCCTCTCGCGAGTTGCCTCTGCCCCCATGTAAGCTCAACGTTTCAGATCTAATTCATGGGTGCTAACAGGGGACGCGATGTGATTGGAGGAAGATCAAAGACAGAAAGATAGCATCTCGCCGATCGGCCATGCCAGAACGTGTCACCATGCAATCTGTCTGCCTGTCTTCTCGGATGGAGCCGCAAGGATGAACAAGGCCATGATGACCCTTGCTGATAGCTGCACAGCATAAAGAATTGTGCGCATTGTCTTGAGAACGATTGTTTCTTGTTTCCTTGCTGAAATTAAGTCTCAAAACTGCTGATTTCTTCAAACGGGCTAAAACAAAATCGGAGATTTACGAAACTTCAACCATGCAGAACGAACTCTCTCTTTTGCAGTATTCCCAAAATAGTGACAATCATCCAAGACCGGACCATCGCCCGAAAGACAGGGCTGAAAGGCTGAAAGGCTGAAAGGAACTTATCGAGCTAACCCCCGTCGCCTGCGGAAATGAAGTGGAATCATGAAGCTCGGCAAAGTGGATTTTCGGCCAAGGTTACACTGGGACTAGTCAAGATACGGCCAAAAATATTTCTGTGGCTCGTGTTTCCTCTCGACAAGCTTCATTGAGATTAGCGTCACTGCACCATACCTATGGCTAGTGGGCAATGACCAGCTGCCTGACGATATGTCAACTGAAACGTAGACGCCGCAGCCACAGCTTAGTTATCTGAGCGTTTTTGGACTGTCTCAAATTAAGGGGCCTAACATATTCTCCGTTTCTAGATAGCTATGCCCCAAAAATGAAAAGGGAACTCGTGAACTTGATTGGATGCTCCGTAAACCTTCGTCCTGTATCGAACATCCTGCTCGTTAGCCAGTCATTCGGATATCGTGGGTGGTCAGCAACCAACAATCCTTGACATGACTCCATATTCCACGCTGTGTTTTTGTTATCTGAAACCCCCGCGAAATGGGATAGCCGTCCACATTTTCGGCCCTTTCATCTTTTTGTGGTATGCCACCGTGGTTTTTTCTCCACTGAACACCACGGAACAGTCAATGCGAAGCTCCCAGCGTTAACGAGGTGGTTGAAAGCGGTGTAGTCTCGTTTTATCTAGGAAGTATGATATCCGGAATTGAACAGAAGTTCGTATATGAGTCAAGGGACAGAGGAGTTGAACCTTGGTCATGTCATGAGATCGCTTAGATAATTATAACTTATTCCTAATTTCTAGGCTATATTAATTTTAGCTTTTTATACCTCTCTACTCTTATAATTATTACACTACTAAAAATTATATTTATTATAAAGCTAATCTTATTAAAATTATAGTTATATTACAAGTTATATAAAGCTAAACTAATGATAGCGTACACGATAAGCATACCGATCAGATAAGCATGCCGATCAAAAATCCCTCATATACCTCACTTTCTATCTGATCAATTAGTTCTCAACCACGCAACACAGACATGAAAACATACAAGATATACTAACAAACCAAACGATATAATACAGCAAGAACTAGTATAGTACAGCCTCTGGCAGACAGACCAGGCTTCAGCCGCTGAAGATGGGACGCTGAACACTTGGAGAAGTTGGCCTTCAAGCAGGCATGTCGCAGGGACAAGCGAGGCTGGGAAATGTGGCGAGGAGTAGGGATTAGTGAGGTTTGGGGGTCTCAGGACCAGAAGTTGGAAAAGAATGTAACAAGATTTAACGTTGTGGGCCCTGTGAGGCGTACCTGTCAGACATTACGTTTATTCGGTTCATTGATGCAGATTGATGTATTCATTGTTGTGTGTTGTTGAATTCTGCCCCTTAGAGGTTTTACCATTTCGGTTGCAATCTTAAAGTATCCCTGCTTACACGTGAGACCCCAGCACCTGTTCAACAGTACCCTCCCGGGCGGAATAAATTGTATTGTATTGTATTGTAGATGGACTTCTCCTATGTACGCCTGCGTCCTTCACGCTCTAAACCCGAGGGCTAAGATAGCTCCAAGAGGCTTGTTATATTCACTACATCCCACATCACTTAGAGACTACCCGTGCTAGCCCCTGCCGCTGTAGAACTGCTTCCTTACTGGCTCTCTGGTTCCAGCAGCATGGAATTCTCATGAGTTGTTCTCGTGAGTTATTCTTATTTCTAATTTCTGAGAAGCCTAGAAAACAACAAAAGCAAAAATAAAACAAAAATAGCTTGGAATATTATCTCTTCGTCTTATCGCATAATTTTTTTTTTTTTTGATCTTCTCGTCTCGGCCTTACTTGAGCTGCAGCGTGTCAGATCCGGTTGCATAATTTGACTCGCCCCTTCCGCGGAAGTTCAGGAGAAAGGTACCAGGACACTGCAGAAACTCACACAGCCTATTGTAGTTTTCCAACTGGCTCGGCAAGGTAAGTTCCGAGGCCATTCGGATAACAATTCGCTCGGGGATAAGACATTCCCCGGAATCGCCCTATACATCCATTAAACATAATCGAAGGTTACCGGTGCTTCCGATCAGCGGGAATACTTAAGGGTGCAACAAAGGCCTTGGATCTGCAGAAGACGCGCAACCATCCTTTTGCCATGCACCCCAAGACATTCCGTTCTTTTTAGCTTCTTGGAACCACCATCCTGTCTGCTTTTATACTATCACAATGGCATCTATCCACGTCGGTATTTTAGTCTATGACTACCAGGCCATTGATGTTGTCGGCCCAGTTGACCTACTTCACTCGGCCAATGCTGGATTCCTGGAAGTGTCCAAAGTGTTTGGCCCTATCGATGATGACGCCATCTCTCGGGCTCCAAACTTTGTTTTCCATCACGTTGGCATCACGAAAGAACCATTCCATCTTTTCACCAGCGCGATTACCCTTACCCCGACCACGACGGTGGATGAGTGCCCCGAGCTGGATATCATCTTGCTGGGAGGACCTAGTCCCGTAGGCTTTGAGCTGCACCCGAAATACGTTAACCTCATCCGTCGACATATCAGTGCTGGAAAGTTGCTCTTTACGACTTGCACTGGCTCAGCAGTACTCGCCTGTACGGGTCTTTTAGATGGAAAGAACGCAACTATCAACCACGCTGAGTATGAATGGGCGAAGGAGAATTACCCTGCTGTCAACTGGACCAGGGAAAGGAAATGGGTCGTCGATGGAAATATCTGGACTGAAGCTGGTGCAGTTGCGGGAATGGATATGCTAGCACATTGGCTCAAGGAGAAATTCGGACAAGACATACTCATATATGCTGCCCGGAATCTAGACTACGAGCCTCGATGCGTGGATGGTGTGACACCTATGATTCCTAAGAGATACGACCAAAGCGGAAAACAGCTTAGCACTCATGAATTTTTCTATCATTAGGCTTTGTGTTTAAATTAGTAAATCAAGTTTCACTCAAACTTGAAAGTTAAATTGCATACCGAGATTATAAGTCTGAAGCCTATATAAAGTGAGATTCTTTTAGTAAAAGAAGAGGCCCTACTATACCAATCACCACTAGTATCCTACCTAATACCAGATTTTGTGGCCCGTGTACCTCTGTTTTCACACTCCTTGATCTTGGGTTTGAATATAAGAATGCTTTCCCTGTGCTCCTTGTCTAATTTCCGGTACCAACACTGGTTAAAAGTTATAACTGATGGTATTTATATGTTTGAGGAAATTTACCTTATTTAAAAGGTAGCTCTAAAAACATCAGGTACGGTATTGGCGCGCAGCCGTTATATTCTCTCGCAGAGACTGAAACCCCAAAAGTTTTGATAGTGGATCGCAGAGGACTGTCATCGCCTCCGCCATACGACTCAGGGAGAGCTCGAAACCAGGAGCTGCAAACTCGAGACCGTGGTACTGTTGCCTGGTTCTGATAAGGCAGGGCTGCCGTCAGATCAGATTAACAATCAGATATATCAATCAAATCAATCAATTCAAATCAGATACGGAAATTCATCAGATCAATCAACTCAGATAGAGGTGTTTATCCATCTGATATATCTGATATTTCTTGCACAGCGAACGGCTACCCTAGAACTGCCGGATCATCCATTTGTTCTGGGTCCGCCGAGGGATGCTGTCAAATATTCGGGTGAATTGTGTACTCTTCATCTTTTTTCCCCTTGTCCTCCTTGCTGCTTGAGGTTTAAAGTAAGCTCTATATATCTTTTCTGTGCTATGTGGAATCAACTGGAAGTTGCTTGCTAAGCCTGTGGCAATAGGTGACAACTATCATCTTCGATGACAATTTTTATCAGCCTTTCAAGGTACTTCCCTGAGCTTCCTTTTGACACTATTCAACACTTGATGTCCTTAATTGTATATGTATTGTGGAACTCTGTGTCCCCCCGCCTTCCTCGGAGAGGGGTCTGCTTATTATGCTCCTGAATGGGTCTGATGAAACAAAAATGGGTTATCCCCAGAAGACTGTTGAGGCTTATACTTCAACACTCCCGCGGGCTAAACAGGCTTCTGGCTCAGTGGCTCTTACGCAAGCTTAAAACGCTGGCTCAGCGGCTCTCTTAGGCATTACGGCGGGGTCACAGACCTCTCTTCTGGGGCATTTTTGAATTCGTAGCTTATTTCTCCCGCAGCGAAAATGTGGCTTCGATGTGAGTCGAACACGCAACCTCTGTGGGCTTAGCTCTCTTAGCTTTTACGCTCTAACCACTAGGCTAACCGGGCTCATAACCTGATGAAACAAAAATGGGCTACCCCCAGAAGACTGTTGAGGCTTAATACTTCAACAGGGTCTAGGGTCGCCGACAGCTGACCGATAGGTCACATGATACCCCGTGCGGCCATCCTACTGTTTAACAGGTGCACTCACTTGTCTGGTGCACCCGCTTATCATATCCCTTTGCAGGGATGGACATCTGACGAACGGGAATCGGATCGATAGATTCATTCGATGCCAAGTCTTACGAATATCGAATCGAATCGAATGAAACGGTCTCATTCGATGTTCGATTCCGTCAAATCGAATGTGGCGTTTCTCATTTGACATACGTATCGAACATGACACATCTCATTCGCCATCGAATCGAATGGCCCCACATATTCGATCGAAAATCGACCGATTCGGTCGAACGAGTGACGCGGATCGCTAGAGCTCTCGCGAAGGTCGTTTTAGCATCATTTCGGGCGCGTCGACCGGCCCCATGCGCTACTTGACGCGACCGAGCATGATTTTGACGCCTTGAATGCTCAGGCCACACATAATCTCCCCATCAGGAGCTTTCTATCGGTGCCAGTGTTCTCATGGTTAGAAGACTATTTCGACCTTGGAGTCTCACATGTCTCCTGTATCCTCAACCTTCCCATACGAGGTCACTGGCTGTTCAGAGCAGAGGCAACGCCAGAATGGAACAGGAAGGGCCAACGCAGAAGGAAATGTCCCGTTATGCGCCTCGATGGTCTGTGCACGATGACACAAGCCAATATGGGTGTTGCAAAAGCTAATTACAGTAGATCCAACAAAAGTAGATAAGATTAGACGGCCTTATCAGATAAGGGTACCGTAGTGGTATTCACGGTCGAGAGCATTTTAGCTATCGTAATATCACATTTAGCTGAAAAAATGTGTGATATATATTCACGGCGATATATATCACTTCAGCATATCACAATACGCAAGTCTGTTATTCAGGAAGGAAACAAATCCAGGATCTAGCCTTAATGTCGCATACGGCCTTGAAAGCCGTACTGTTTTTCTAGTATGTCCCCCCTTTATCGTGAATGCACTTGGTCTAGTTCCAAATTTGTTTCATACATTCTCCTGCTCTTCCACCGTGATTGGTCGTCATTGGTCGTAAAGGCAGCTTCGTGCTGCAAGTAATGGTCTGTGAGCTCGTCGACAGGCTCGCGGTTTAAATCCTCGGTAAGGACTCGCCCCGTTGGATCAATGCTTGAAAATTCCATCGTTGCTGACTTGTTCGCCCTGTTCAATCCAGACCTGGACGAACAAGAGTGAGGACTCTTGCGCAATCCAAAGTATGGCCTCAAAGAAGGTAAACAAGCGACAACAAGAGCAGTGTACAGGTCGAGTGAAGCCCAGAACTCTATCACCGCTGTCAGCAATTGTTTTCATAGCTTAAATAGTGGTTACTGTATACCAGCTTCTGCCAGAGTAATCTCATTAGCTCTTGTTATGATCTTGATGCAGCGTACCAAGCAGACAGCGATGTTGACGGTGCCTAGTAGGAAGGTGAAGTAGAAGCCGCATTTGAGAGCTCCTTTCATATTTAGCTCAGGTATGATGAGCCACGGTATTGTAAAGACTGCCAAGTTGTCAGTAACAGACACATGCAGTTGTCCCGGGAAGAATTTACTCATAAGATCACCGACGAGATGCAAAGCACAGGCAGTCAGGAATTCCGTCGTAAGAGAAGATGGGGGGCATGTTTTGGGATCCAAGTCCCTTTCGCAAGCCTTAGCAACGTGGACGTAGAAATGTCGGGTTTAGTTGTTCATGACGTACCAATTTCCGCTCACAGGGATGCAGACGCAGAACATGGCAAGCATGGTGGCCACATAGGCGAGTGCCACGAAAGCAATCGTAAACCAGACATACACCCATCTCTTGGCCATGAATTCGGGAACAACCTGTACGTACATTGCCAACAGGGCAGCTTTGCACAGGTAAAAGGTGGCATGATAGGGAATATGGCCAAACCAAAATAACTGCATTGAAGGGTCATGTCATTAATTGCGTTGTCAACCCGCATCTTCTTGAAACCAACGAATTCTTACTTTCAAGACCAAGACAATATCCTCAGGTGTACTCTTGTAGTTAACTAGCGTCGACTGGAGGTCCGGATCTAGTGCTTCCAACTCGAGAAATTTGAGGTCGACGGCGGCTGACATGATACTCGTGACCCAGGCCGCACACATGAAATAATCGCTAGTTAGTAGTCGACGCTTCTGGATGTGGAGTCGTAGGTACAGCCGGGCACCGATAACTGCGGTCGCGACGATGATGAGTGCCCATTGCGTAGTCTGTAGAATGCCACTGTTCAGTGATAGCGCTTCGATGTCGGATGGGAGACAAACAAGAACTGCTGCTGCACCTATAGACATTATCGTGCGATATAGGATCGAGGCTGCTTGTCGGCAGACAGGAAAGGCAGGCCGAATGAGGCCGAATGGGGTTTTCAAAATGTGATCGATGAGGCCCCTTGTAGTCGATGGCAAGAAGCTAATAAATACCACTGAGGGTCCAAGAGATCCAGGCCACTGGTGGCTTTGGCTAGGTTTCTGGTCTGACGTTGACTCACGGTGAATGGTCAGATGAATCCGCTTGGCGCATACCAGTGACCCCCGTTCCGCCACCAACCGAGCGCGGACGGGGGTGTAGATGAGAAGTCACCGGTGGTGAGTAATGAAGAATAGGACATGCGAATCGGACTCCTGCCAGGTTTGAGTCTGGGGGCTTAGTCCCTGCTGACTCCACAGTGACGTCCTAAAACTGCCAGGGGTCGTTTTGCGCAATGCTCTACTGAATGTGAGCAGGAGCAATGCAATCCCATCACGGACATGATTATTGTATTGCGTACAACCTGAATATATTAGCCTATGTAACATAGTTTAGACGCAAAATATTTTCATGCACGAGAAGTCATCGTACTACCGAACCAAGGACTCATGGTATTCTGTCAAATTGCCACCTTTCGTCCGTCCCCTAGCTCATCCGGCTACCATTCCTCTACATTCGTCATAATGCCCCTTTTTCGTCCGTGCACATGGGATAGGTTCATTTCCACCGTTTTCATCCAGTGTTGCAGATCCCAATCCTCAGCGCGAGCGGTAAAGCGCTTGCACATCCAAACCATCCTCGAGCCAGGGTTAGACATCTATCGAATTTATCGAATCAAATGCCTGGCCTTGCCATTCAATTCGGGCGTAGAAACCTACTGATGTCGTCAAAAACTTCTCTAGGACGGACTACTCTAAATCCCACCACCTTCCATCCATTCAATCAACGATCTCAGAGCACAAGGACCTCCAAGCCGGTCACGATGAGGGGTCCGAACCAATTAAAATGCGCAAAATTAAGGGTACATAATTCCTCACCTGAATTATATGATGATAGAAGTCCCAACAATATTGGTTGTTACAAATCGCAACATTGCATAATTTGCAGCCGTATCAAGTGTTGTTTATATTGCGCAGTAGTGCTGGGTGAAAATATATTTTATGAGACTTTATTGTTCATTATTGAGATGAGAATTCTTCTCGGGTTTATATCTCTAGATGATTTCATCTAGGACTTTGAACTCTAAATCTAGGACTTTCAGACTAACAGTCTGAACCCTGAAGGGAAGGGGGATCCCCGGATTTTCCAACACCAAGTCTGCTTGCGAAGCTTCCTCTTGTTGCCGTCAGTCTCCTTCAGGGGGCTTCTTTTCGGACCCTTTGCCCTCATTTGACCCTGCCGAAAGCCCTTACAAGCTATGCAGTCTGATTTTACCTTGCGGTTGACATGATTGATCTGAGGATTGATGTGTTTGCGCTGTAAATCAGGCTCTCTCAGATCACATTCGTCTCCAGCCCGGTAGAGCTTCCTTGCCTGGCTTGCTTGAGGTATTGAATAATTCGTTATAAATGCACTCTCGCCACTCCCTATAAGTTGTATATCTCTTCCAATTTGGCTGTGGACCATATAGTTGAATAATATAGCTGTTGATAAGGGTCACATCGAGAAGGAAGGTCCAACAAAGTGCCTGCCAAGGGCCCCGGCGGAGAGGATGATCATACGCATAATATGACCTCAATTGGTTACCTCGATCAACATGGTTCATCTCGTCGCTATAAGCAGCAGCCACTGTCGGGATATTTATCACCTTGGCAGCTTCGTCACAAAAAAAAAAAAAAAAAACAAGACGCTGTATCGGCTTGGCCTCTGACTTCTTGGAAGACGGCCTCTTCCTCTTTGATTGACTCGCTCATCGCCCCTGAACACAGTGGTCAGGAATAACACAAGGCGGTAACCGCCTTGTCAATAAATAAATCCAAATCAAATTGACCCTAGTTGGATTTGATTCGGCTACGGACGACTCGATTTGAATTTGATTTGAATTCATTTGGGCACATTTGGATTTATTTGGATTTATTTGGATGCGTCGATGGCCCCACTTTTCTCCCACGGTGAGATGCACCGCGCTGCTCCGACAATATCTGCTTGCAGCCATCTTCTCGGAGGCGTGACCATCTGCCCTGCACGACTAAATATCCTTTCTGGCTCAGAAGACATCGCAGGAACTGAAAACGGGTCAATTGCTATTCGTGACAAGCGTGGATACTGCCGTCGTCGGAGAAGCCAGTACTGACGCAGCATCGTACATGTGGGTGATGGCAGCCTTTGTCTGGTGACACTCTTTGCAGAGTCAGAAACGGTGACCGGAACTGTTTTTCTCAATATCGTATCCGTGCTCCCATACCCATCCTGTCCGCTGCCTTCTTCTTTGTTTACTGGATAAATACCCTAGGAGGCGATGCCAATCGATGCCTTCGTACCCTAAGTAAGCTGTCGAAGAAATGTCCACATTCGCTTCTGTATTGTCATCGGATCGATTGAAGCTAGTCGCTGTATCGGGGTCGCTGTTGGCTGTAGAGGTTGTTGAAAACAGCGCAGCTGAGATGTCGGGATTCGTAGACAGAGCCATTGGGAGCGAGGGTGTGGGGGCAGGTGGCTTCGTCAGGCAACTCGAAACGCGACGGACGCAATAACTTTAAGGTACGCGTTGGTAGGGAGTGGGTCAACCTGGGGTTACAGTACCAGCAATGATTGGTCAGTGCTTCTATCCAAATGAATCCAGATATCCAAATAAATTCGGCTCCTGCAATTTGATTTGATTTGAGTTTATTTCGACTCGATTTGATTTGATTTGATTTGGATTTATTTGGATTTATTTGATTTCATTTATTTGTTGACAAGCCTGAGGCGGTTATCTTTCCAGGCTATTTGGTTGACCAAAAAGTATAGCATATAGACAAATTAGTAGGGATTTTATATATAAAAGTGTCTGAAGCTAGTACCTGATTGTCAGGGGTCGGGGTCACCTTGACTTGGTTAAACTCATAGCTGGTTTTGAACCCCCCGTCAGCCTTCTTATCCTGTTGTAATTCCTTATCGATGCCGCAGTTAGGTCGGGCCGTGCCTGTGGCCTCGTGGCCATGCTTGCGGAGGCACCGGAAGAGGTCTGACGACGAGAAGAGGTTATCCACAAAGACGTGATATGTCGCTTTTGGCAGCATATTTGCAAGGGCAACAACGACGCTCTGGGTCGAGTTCAGGGCGATAGGCTTGTCTTCTATAGCAGGCATCTTCCTTGCGGCCGTGGCCCGGCCTCGTGTGGATGACGTCGGTGGGGGAAGTTCAACGCCAACGGCGCCGTATTTTGCATCCTTGATATGCCACAGCCACCGGATAAAGAACCCCTGTTGTGCGATAACCCAGATCTTGAACCTTAGGGGGTCCGGTTTGCCCTTGGCAAGTGTTGTTTCATTTGACCGGCCGGTATAGCGAATCATGCACTCATCTACAGCCAAATGAGAGCCCGGAAGGGAGATCTGTGCAGACACAGCTTGTATGTGCTCAGACCACTCGTCAGCAGCTTGGAACACCTTCGGGAGAGGTGCAGTTTCATCGATCTTAGTGTGGTCAAAGGGGACGAAGGTGCCGATGAAGGAGCTGAAATCGCCAGTGAGGCATGAACTTGATAAAAGAGTGCTCGGGGCGTTGAACACCGGGTTGAGAGGTACTCCAATGGCATCGAATCGTTCTTTCCTTATATATACCCATATAAATCAGTATTCCAAGCAATATATATAATTCTGCGATAGAGGGGCCCTCCCAAGCTCGCAGCTTTGAAGATGGACTTATCGGGCGTTTCTAGCTGTCAATAACCTCATTTTCCCTGAGCCACGTGACCCATATGTTAGTGTATTGGACCCATTTCTGAATAAGGGAAATAGGAAGAAAAAGCTGGAATAGCTGCAGCGGCGTTGGCGCTAATGTGTTGATGCGAAAGTTGCGTGTTTCTACGTGGAAGCAGGGTGGTCATCAATTCAATCTGGGCCATCGATTGAGTTTAAGCATGGGTGTCACAGTCAATTCTATGTCACTTGCACGCTCGCACGGTTCACTTGTTGATCCTTTGTCCACCAGATGTGCGATTGAATTGAATTGATGACCACTATGCGTGGAAGGGCTCGAAGTTGGTACCGCGGTCCTTTTCGGCCGGAAAAATAGCCACCCGGGTCGGGTCATTTGGGTGTATACGGCGACTGTGATCTTCTTTGATAAAGCTACTATCATCATAGGTATTGATAATATGTATCTCTTCTAGAACTGGCGGGGAAATCATTAATAACTTCAACATAATTTGTATGCTGTTTTAGCTGAAATTGCTTCATTAAACTAACTTTCCGTACCCCGCTTGTACTGTCGTCATGACCGGTGTCATGTGGGGCGAGGTACGGCTTGGAGGTCCTTGCACTCTCAGGAGACGGTTTTAAGCCCAACATACGCCAGGATTATAGTTTCGGATCTCGGTCGGCTGACAAAGGTGGATGCCAGGCCCGCCGTATAAACTCTCTTCATCTTTACCCGATGGGGATGCATAACCCGCCAAGACGTTTAATCTGCCTTACTGAACAAACATGCAAGCCTGAGTTGCTTGTCCGAGCAAGATAGCAGTACCCACCCACTGTCACGAATCGTGGTTCTCTGATGTGTCTCATTGGATGTGTGTATGTTCTTGCTTGAATTGTGTTGGATACGCGGAAATACGATGGGGTGAGCATATTAAACGTGGATTCGGATGTGTTCAGATTATTGATTGTGGACTTGATTCGTCTTGTCCGTTCTTCAATCTGTCCGAGAGGGGTTTCACCCCTCTTCTGGATACAAGATTAATATTGCAATAAGAGAAATGGAGCCCATTCCCAGCCGCCAATCTGACAAGTCCGACTGGAGTATCACTGCTATAACGATCGCACGCCCCATTATGTAAAGTACACAACGTGACAGAGCCAGCCTCACGATCTACCGTATTGTTAGATTCAACCCTAAATCCAAAAGGCACCCCAGATCCGAATTTTATCACAGCAGCACCAACATCCCAGCCGCCTGCAGAAGTTGCGCCACAGCCTCTTGCATCGCCTGTTCTTGTGTCGGTACATTCGCCTAGTCCGCTTCCAGTTCACCGCCAAGGTGCAATTCTGTCCAAGCTATATATCAAAGGTACGTTGCTGCAAGACGCGCTTGGTATGAAGCACAACCCCGTGGGAGTATCAAAACCAATCAGGAATACCGCAGGGCGATGGGTCCCCCATTGCGGTATGACCAGAAGAGTTATGATTGGTGTTTGGAAAGCAACAAGATGACAATGCTCTCCACTACATCAACGGAGGCAAGGGAATGGACTAAAGAAGAGATGATGGCTTATATAGACTGGAGTAAGGCGAAAGATGACCGCACTGAGGCACAGGGCGTTTTAGAGATGGGAGAAAAGCCGCCGCGGATTATAAGAGGCAAAGTTGACATGAAAATGCTGAAGGAGCAATGTATTGTAGTCAAACTGTAATGCAGCAGAAGAATAATAAGGTGGTATGCTCGTCCGGTGAATGTGGAACAGCATTCCCTAAGTTCAGTCGCGACGTTCGAAGAGCAATCATTACTTCCTTCATCCATACCTATGAATTTATGATACCCTTGCCGCGAAAACATCGATGTGATAGGGTGATACCGACATGTTAAGGTGCGGTGGAGCGGACTAGCTTCACCGCCTTGTGGGGGGTACGTTGACGGCTCGACGGGGTTTAGAACCAATGAGAAGCGCTGAAAGTGCGACACACGTAAGGTTGCGGCACGCGTATCAAAGTGATGCAGCACCCCTATCAATTGCCTTGTCACAAGCCTGTCGCACGGATCATTCATACACCGTCAAGGTCCAGTCTCGGTATCCCACCTTTTGGCGAATGTCTTAGCAATACAGATACCGAGTAGAAAACAAACAAAGTGTATTTGACGTAATTTAGTCCCACAGAATAGGCTTTTTACCTAGGCTGAGTCATGCTTAGGAGACCTGATTTGTCTTGATAATTTCTAAGCTGAAGCCTGATACGGTAGTAAAGGTGCCAGATATTTTTATAAAAGAAAGAACATGTCATTCAAGATTTTGTTGAATTCTGATACCATCCACAACAGCATCACTTCTACATCACGAACTCCTTTCAACCAATTATTACCAATGGCTCACGAAATCAAGAACGTCGCTCTTGCTGGGGTCAGTAGTGGCCTGTTCTAGTCTACCTTTTATCAGTAGCTAACTTGCCACAGGCGTCTGGCAGTCTGGGCTCGCACATTTTGCCCGCTTTGGTCAAAGCTGGTCGTTTTAACGTGACCATTCTCACTCGAAAGGTCACCGACAATGTACCCTCTGGAACTGCAGTCAAGGTAGTTGATTACGAGTCAGCTTCAGACTTGGTGTCCGCCCTGAAGGGCCAGGATGCACTGGTTGACGCCACGTCTGTGCCTGATCCTAGCCTGGCTATCCGCTTGATGGATGCGGCCGTTTCAGCCGGCGTCTACCGGATTGTCCCGTCCGAATTCAGCTCCGACCCAACGAATTCTAAAGGGCGAAGCCTGCCGCCTTTTCAAGGCAAGGCTAAGGCCCTGGAGTATGTCCAGGAGCTTGCGGACACTGGTAAAATCACCTGGACGGCCATTTCCAACCACGCTTTCCTAGACTGGGGTCTGCGTATGTCATTTCTCGGCGTCGACCTTCAGAACAAGAACATTGAGTATCTCAAGCCGGGTACTACCATCATCCCCATGACGACACTTGAATCGGTGGGAACTGCTGTTGCAAATGCTCTCATCAAGGCCGAGAACACGAAGAATCGTATTTGTTACATTTGCAGTACACAGAAGACGCAGAAGGATCTGGCCGAACTTTCCAAGCAGGCGTTGGGCGAGGAAGGCTGGAAGTCAAAGGATGTTGATACCGAGGACGCATTCAACAAAGCAATGGCTAAGCTGCAAGCTGGTCAAGCGGATATGCAGGTCATTGGTGACATCATCCGTTTCTCGATCTCTACTCCGGGCTACATTGATAGGCTCGAGAAGACGGATAACGATCTGTTGGGCGTCAAGATCATGAGCGATGAGGAAGTCAAAGAGCTTATTCGTGAGATTGCTCGAGAGAAGACGATTTCTTAACTTTGTTAGTACATATGTCAGATATTAAAGTGAATCGTGTGTATTCCTTTTTTTTTTCTGTAGCAATCGAAGGACCTTTGAGACCTTATATCTTCGACTGGTTCCTTCTAGGACTTGAGTCCTAGAAAGTCCTAGATGAAAGTCCTAGAGTCTAAGTTTAGGACTTCAAACTTTAATCCTGAACCCTAATCCTGAAGTTGAGGGTGAACCCTCCGACATTCAACAACATAAGGCTTTACTAGCCTGCATCTTAAACCATAGCCACCAAATCATATCATGTCTATTATTTAATTATCGTATTGATTCAGGACAATCTTATGAGTTCAAGCGACCCCATGCAGGGTAAAGTTAAGAACCTTGTCACGTATTATAAATCTGAAGGCGTTGAACGTGTTGAGATCCATGGTTTAACGGATCAATGACTATTCCGATCCATTGGTGGCTGCGATGAAGATGTCTTGTCAATAGCTTCCGCTAGTTAGCGCTAGTTTTTTCCTTTCAATTATACAACATAATATGCTCACTTCAACACGCTGAGACGGGACATCGTCACGTAGACTGCCATGGGGTCGAGCCAAAGTGCACTCTCTGCGGAGGACCGCACGACTCATTCAGTCGAGACTGTCGGGTGCGGCAATTCCATGGCGATATGCACTAATCTACGAATCTTCCAACTCAACGTGCGGAAGACGGATGTGGTGCAGCTGAGTATGATGAACGACAGAGATTTACAGGACTATGCGGTGTTGGCAGTTGCCGAACCGTACGCCTTGAACATTGATGGAGCGGTGGTGATGACGCCGAACAGTCACAGAAATTGGATCAAGTTTTTCCCGATAAAGAGACATGCGATGTAGTGGCCGGTCCGCAGTGATCTGGAGGCGGCAGGGTGGTCATCAATTCAATCAATTCAATTCAATCGCACCTCTGGTGGACAAAAGATCAACAAATGAACCGTGCGAGCGTGCAAGTGCCATACACTGGACCGTGACATCCATGCTACAGTTCAATCGATGTCTCAGATTGAATTGATGACCACCCTGAATGTAACCCACACAAAGAACAAATTCAGAGACCAAAATCTCCTTCAACAAATGAACCGTGTGGACCAAGTGCATAAACCTGCGGCATATCCGCTCTTGCAACCTCTTTAAACGTCTTACCGTCAAGTCCGACTAAGATACTGTGCGTACCTTCGCGGTTGATTGTGATCGTAATCACGATCCCGTCATCCTCCTCCGTCGCACCAGGGCGTTGAATGAAAATCGGTTCGGTAGGACAACTCTCGCCGTTCGATGGTGTCCACAATTTGAACAAACCAGTCTTCCAGTCAGATTTAAACAGAGAGCCATAAACTGTTGGATGAACAGCGCCAAGTCCGTTACTGAGACGACCAATTGGGACTTCGGTGCCGGGAGCGGAGGCCCCAATACCAGATATACCATAGGTATACCGGTAATTAGGATCCATCGAGGCAGGCTTCGAAACACGTGGGAGCTCACACGGCAATCCCGCAATAGCAGACGCAACTGAGCCTCGACAAATCTTTGCTGGATCCGCCTTGTTCACAGAGTCCATCTGATAGCGGACAAGGGTTCCGTTTTGAAGTGGCTTTTTAGGATCGAGGAGATTTGAGATACTGTAATCCATGTATGGATAGTGTTCTTCTCGGTAGCTGACAATGTCGACGTGAATATTGACGTCGCCAGTCTTTGGATCGATGTAGTCGTATGCATTCCCAATGTGGAAGAAGTAAAAGTTGTTTACTTGATAGGTTGCGACACTAATTTGTTAACTTAGAGAAGAATCATGGCAAATAAAACTCGTTTCAAGACTTACTGCTTGCCGTCACTTTTGTCCAAGATGTAAAACTCGGTCGGTGAATCATGCTCACAGACCATCATGTCGGCAAATCCTTTAGTTGTGTCGCTAAGATCTAGATGTACTGGCTAAAAGGTTTTGTCAGCACGAATCAGCTTATCATTAAACATGGATTTTTGTAACTCACATTTCTGACGAAAACAACATATTTGTCCGTCATTGCAAGAGCATGCGTATAGCAAGGCCTGCATGGAAGAGGAGACTTCCATACGAGAGCTGCCGGATTGGATCCAACATCCAGAGCAAAGACAAATAGTACACCGGACCCATCGATGAGGTAGTTAAAAGTAAGGCCCCTTTTTCGGTCATGCGGAGGGTGAGCACAACTGCCGGTCCCGGCCAATTCTGGATCGATGTCCATGTAGTTCAGTAATCGTTTCGGCTCCAGAGTTCGTGCATCACAGATTTGCAGAAGGTTCCAGTCAGTGTGTACTAAAATCTATGGTTCAACAGTGAGCTACTTTCATCATTAATCTTGATACAGTGTGTACGACGGTCACCTACCTCCTCAGTGGCCGGATTTGCCGACTGGGTACCCCTCGAGTATGGATTTTTGTCGTTGGGAAGGTGCATACCACGGCGTGGCTGCACATTCATGTTAACAGAATCAGGTTCCGCATAACCCATGGGTACGTAGAGAGATTGCTATACATCTGAATTAGCTCTATTCCTGTTATATTCAGCTCTGTTCGAAGACAGCCTACCTGAGCTCCTAGCAAGGTCGAACAAGGATCTTGAGCGTCTTTTAGAGGGGTGTTTGCATTGAGACCCATTCTCGTAGTCAAAAGGTAGCCGTCTTCGTAGGCTCGCCTAACGACGCCCTCATGTGTATAACGACTCATGTAAAAAACACGACCTTGGGTCATTCGGAATTTATGCAACAATCCCAAACCGTCGAACAAATGCTGAACTACAGCCCTGGGCTTTGAACCATCTTCGGAAAGCGGAATAGTAAAGCGACCAACACCGATCCTACAACGACACTCGTAAGTTTGTGATATACCCACAATATATCCTGTATGAAGTACCTCAGAAAGGAGCCATGGACCCAAGTAGGCCATGTCCCGCCGAGCTTACACTCAACCTCCTTCGGAGTTTCAGGGACATCGCGTAAAAACGGAGGTGCAAACTTGTTCAATTCCTCCTCGGTAATCGTGTACCAGTTGTAACCTTTGGGCTTTTCCTCGGAGCTCATGGTGAAATCGACAAAGTTCTGTTTCTGACAGTATAATTAAAATTGTATGAATGAGAGAGGAGTAGTTGTGGTCTTAGAAAAGCTTGAAGGTTCCTCAGTAAAGAATGACGGCGCACAGCCCCTTATATGAGTGCGCCTCTCTGAAGTCGTTCGGCATGAAAGGGAGTGCTCGGCAATTCTAGTAAGACTCTTGTGACGCCCGCATCTTTGAAAGATCCCTCCAATAGTTAGTCACAAACTGATTTCAGAAGAGAATTTCCGGAGGATCCGAAACTTCGAAGCCTATAGGAACTAGTTCGTTCATGAGCAGGTTCAACAATCATGGAGGTTCACAGAGTGGAAGTCGGAATGCCGGATGAGTCAAGAGTGGACATCTTGGAGCCCTTGAATGGTTTTAGTGCTTGGCGGACAATGATGCCGAAACGCGTTAGCTCAGCTTTTTGTAAGCCCCTGCTAGCATTGTGGAAATAAAGTTTCTTACCCGGACTGGTATAATCAATCCAGGGCTGACAAATGCATCTGCTATCGATTTATGTTGGACAGCGTCCGGCACATTCGATCCAGGGATTAATGCTTAATAGGGTGTGGATCCTGAATCTGTTGGATACGCGGTACGTATCTTGAGCGCACGATGGGGTGAATTCAACGGATTACGAAGCAGAAACTAGTGATCTTATTGATTAGAGTTTTGATGATGCCTCGTCTTTTTTCTCTCGTCAGAATGCGGGGGAGTTAGTCCATTCTTGATGTTTCACAGCCACACGCCACACATATTGTTATAACGAAAGGCAAACTCCCTTCTGTCTCCACACACAGACGCCAATCTAACAGAATCTGTTGATCGTCTTCTCTGGGTGTCACGTTGTGTACTTTGGATAATGGGGCGTGCGATCGTTATAGCAGTGATACTCCAGTCGGACCCCAGTATAAAGATGTATATAGGACTTGGAGCGCGGAGGCATCTCAACCAAGAACATACACACATCCAATGAGACACATCAGAGAATCAGAGCCCGTGACAGTGATATTATTAATTGTCGACTTGACTTTTTGATCAGTCTGTCACAGACTTGCCTATCCTGATATGCTATCCTGATATCATCTCTGCTATCCTGCTATATCTGATATGATATATATCGGATATCGGATAAAGCTAGGCTCCCTTACCCTGATATCAGGATAGATATCAGGATAAGCTGCACCCTCTGATTGGTCGGATGCCACTTTATCGCCTGACAACATCCGATTTTCCCATGTTTACAATCTTCGAATCTCTCAAACATCACTCAAGTGTGTAGATATAATGCGTTGTATTATTCTGTGCCTCTGCTACTCTTAATAATGGCTTCTTCATCACAGCAACCCACAGATTTCACCTCACAGCCCCAGATGACTATTGGCCCTACTGTTGATGTAGAATCAGCATCATCTGAGGTCTTGAACCTCGATTGCATATTCCGTGCGACATATCCCAAAAAGGGCCGGTTCGGACCATCAGGGAAGCGCAGAACGAAGGGAGCAGTGGTTTATGAATGCCTTCTCTGTTCTTCTGATCAGGCCTGGTCAAACCCCAAACGAGACAACGCCATATACCACGCCAAACGCAAACACCTTGATATCGTTAATAACACTTCAGACAATACAGTACTCGAACGATCATCGGACATGGTACCTCCATTAAAGCAAGCTAGGCTCGACAATTATTATACAGCAACGCCATCAGAATCGGCCCTCCGCAAAGTGTTCGATCCTCAGCGATATACTGAGAGCATGGTTGGCCTTCTCACACATCGTCGCCTTCCCTTTTCGGCAGTTACATGGGATGAGATGCAGGACGTCATGCTGTCCTATAATCCGACAATTGAGGACCTCATAATGACATAGAGGCATGAAGCGATGCGTCATATTACTGCGAATTTTAGCCTTTATCAGTCGCAGTTAAAGGCTAAGTTACAAAGCGCCGTTTCAAAAGTCCACATCTCATCTGATCTCTGGACATCGCCGCACCGCCATGGTGTGCTAGCAGTGTGTGCACGATGGGTTGACGAAGATTACCAACCCAGACGAGCGCTTCTGAGTCTACCAGAGATTCGACACAGCCATTCAGGTAAACATCAGTCTCGGATTATTTTCTCAACACTCAATATTTACGATATCGCGAATCAGCTCGGCTGTCATACGGGTGATAATGCGGCATCAAACGACACATGTTTGCAGCACTTATCAACCAGGCTTAGGCAGGACCGCAATGTGCGTCGTACTCCAGCTTTGTTCTCCTATCTAGTCGTCTAATCTATAGCAGATCAACTGGGATCCAAAACGGCACCGTATCCGATGTATCCTTCATGTTATCAACTTATCACTTCAAGCCTTTCTTTTCGCGCCTTCACGTGAAGCACTTCAAGCCGCCCTCGATACTGGTAGCGATATCACTGGGGATGAGCTCTACAAACCGTTCAACTTCATCCTAAACGACGCGTCTGGTGGTGATACGACAAACCGGCCAGATCATATGGAAGCTCAAGCGGAGCATCCTGGTGGCGTTGCATGCAAAAGAGCTTCCATTCAGAAGGTAAATCTTCCACCGACATCAGATAATAAGTCAGACAACACCAGAAGGGGGGGCTGGATTATGGTGCCAGCGCTGCGCAAACTCCACCGGATCGGGCTGTGGCTACGTAACTCACCTATCCACAGTGATGCATGGGATGAGCGCATCAAATTACGGCTCGGTATTGATAACGATACGCGCTGGAATTCATGGCACAGGATGATCGACAATCTGATAAGGGAAAAAGCAGCAAGTAAAGCAGTTCCTACTTGACTACGACAAAGCTCTAGGTGACAATATTCTCACCTCTTCCGATTGGGATTACCTGGAGAAAACGCACGCGTTTCTCCAACCATTCATGTCTACGACCTTGTGGGCTCAAGGCATGACGGCGACGCTCTCGCAAAACCTCATGATCATGGATATATTACTTCGCCACTACGGGCAGAAGAAGGTATCATCTCAGCTTTCGCCTAACTCAACCAACTAGTTTCTGATCCTCTCTTTAGGAACTCTATGAAGCCGAGGAGACACATGATCCTCTCATGTTGCACTCTATTGATATGGGCTGGTTCGTACTCGATAAGTACTGCATTATCTGGGGAGTCCCCTATCTACGCAACTGCCCTTCTCCTTGATCCGTAGAAGCGAGCGCGATACCTTGAAATAAACTGGAAGGGAGAATGGGCCGAGGCTGCCATTAGGGACGCACTTTCGATATGGGAGGAAGAATACAAGATGGCGCCCGCCCTCGGACCTGCCCAGGCGCTGAGCGAAGCGTCTAGGTCGCAGCAAGGGCACTCAAACGAGCTTGATCGGCTTCTGAACGAGATTATGGTCGCCGAGGACAAAACCAGGGAGGTAGATGACTTCGAAAACTTTATCCACAACCAGCCGATAAAGATCGAAGGCTCTCCTCTGGTCTGGTGGTGTCAGAGGGATCAGGTTCGTACATATCCGCGTCTCAGTCGCATGGCCATCGACATATTGTCTGTGCCCCCTGGTTCTGCTGACCCCGAGTCTGCATTCAGTGGAGGAAGACGCACTTTATCATGGGATCGCGAAAGGATGTCATGTGTTAATCTGGAGAAGGTTGAATGCATCGGCAAGTGGCTGCGTGAAGGACTCATTATACCATCATCACGTGGTGGTAGAGGGCTTGTTGTGGACGGTGAAATAAACGGCAGTGTTCATGTTGATTCGGATGATGATCTAGATTAGAATTGAATGAAATATTTACCTTTAAGCTTAGACATATCTGTCGTCATATCATCTCTGCTAAAGCTGCTAAAACTCCTAGACTGATATCATCTCTGCTATCCTGCTAAGCCGATATCATATCAGGATAGGCAAGTCTGGTCAAAGGGATTCGAATGATATCCTCCACGCCCCTATTAATCAACTGGAACGAAGTGAATACCCCTGAGCTGAAGATGCGACAGATCCGTCAGTATGAGCAATACGTGGCCTTGCGAATCGAGTGCTCAGTGGCCTCGGGCACGCCCTTGACACCTTCTGTGTCACATGTTAACGAAAAGATGCGGGAAGCAAATACAACTCTCGCTATAAATGGCATCACAGCGGCTCAGGAGATGCGCCGTCTCAAGGAGAAGAACCTTAAACGGTCTGCCCGTGATCAGGGGATTGTAATCTTGGCAAATTACGGCCCAATTACAGTCTACGATGCCGGACTTCGCGTCGCCAAGGACTTACACAATCGACGAGCCAATCAGGCGGCAGAGGAGCTGCGTTTTCATAAGAGGGAAGTAAGGGACGAGGCTGAATATGCGCGCCGGTGGCTTTTGCAAGTCAGGAAGCTTCTCAGGGCAAGTCTTCGTGACTTACGGGTTGCTGATATAGTCAGAAGTCAACCTACCTATTCACAAGAGGTAAAGTCATTCACAGCCGGTCAATTTCACTTAAAGGCTCAACACCAAGAGTGTATCTCGTCAACAGCGTTACTGGAGACAAGATATTGCCTCCACCGCGAGATGCACTCGAAAATGAGGAAATCCAAGGAATTGGCCAGCCTTGCGAAGAAATCTGGCCAATCAGAAGTCCCCAAAGTCTTCAAATTCCGTTGGAACCCCCCTTTCCTTCTTCCATTTGACTATGACTTCAATATCTGTAAAGAAGCAGTGGATTTTATCATTGCTGACGAGGAAAAACGGCGTGCATTACGGCAAAAGCTATGCCTTGAGATTGATGGAGTGGAAATAGATGAGGATAATGAAGAAAGTGATTCTGAAGAAGCAGAATCGTTTGAAGATGAAGAAATTACAATTATGGATAGTATTATAGTCAGATAGGGCGAATTCGTTATGCTAAAGGATAAAGAATTTCTATATTTCTCGCGATAGCATTTTAGTGTTTTTGCTGTATGCAACTGGAGTGAATAGTCCGGCCAAATCATGCAACTAAGCGTATGAAATAAGTGACTTCTTATTTTGGTGTAAATAGGTGGAGAAATGAGGTACCTCAATTTTCCCAGCCAGCAGACCCTTTTCCCGGTCAATGCACCCCCGTGCTTGGAGCACGGAGCCTGCGGAGTGATTCAAAGCTAAGGGGGGCCGGTCTCTAGGCCCTACCCTAGTAAGGTGGTCCGATCTGCTGGTGGCTAGGATGTGGATACTATGTAAGGAGCTGTGCTCCTCTCAGACACATGTAACTTAGAACTAACAACAATACAATCAACCCGTTTTTGCTTCAACAGCATGGTACCGTCTACCCTTGGTACAGTAGGCTTGCAGCAAAACGTATTATGGCTTACTGTGCATAAACTTTGCTTTGTCGATATGTTTTTGAAGCAGCTTGACGTGAAAATTGGAAGGCTTTAGGGCAGAAACTCCATATAAAAACCTGGCAATCCGTCCACCATTGAACTGCGAATCTTACAAGTTCTATGAAGAAGGCATTCCTACCCTCACACTCCTGACCGGCAGGACCCTCTGGCATACCAAAAACCAGAGCTTGGGACATTGGCGTGTGCACGGACGCTTGCACGGACTCGTGCACGGATGCGTTTGGACATAGTACGGGGTAGGTACACTCTAAATGTTTAATTGGATATGAGCTGCCATGAAACCTGTGAAAGACCACTACCGTTCGTTTTATAGAAAAGGGCAACTGACTCCAGAAACCAGACTACTTCACCTCACCCAGCGAAGCAGCAGACATCTCGGACCTAACCAAAACCTAGGTTTAGTCAAGTCTATTCTATAGATGTTCCTTACTTCATCCTTGTTCAACGAACCGTTCAGTCTCTCGTTTTTCTTCCTCGCCCGTCGGATTCTATCGCAAATCGCTGCCGAAATCCAGCCATTGCCAAGCCTGCGCCGATAACCCACCCAACTTAAGCTTGACTTATCAGCCCAAGTGATCGACACTTGCCAAAGTTCGAGCGTCGATATTATCTCCATTTCTCGACGGCATCTCACTTTTGGGACATTAACATGGACGAGCGTCGATACCTCGTTACTAGAGACTTGGATGAGTTAAACCATAGTGAGTGATTACAGTCCCCTTACCCTCATGCCTATCGACAGCCGCTGAAGACTGTCCACAGTACTTCAGCTGGTTCCTCAAGGTAACAACTGCATCTATTGTAACGATGGCACAGAGCTCCAATGCCCTAAGTGCTCAGACGGCGAGAGCTGCCAATTTACCGTTCCCCTCGACTGTAACCAATGTGCTACATCCGTCTGCATGAAAGATGAAGAGGCCGGATCTGACAAAGGCGGCGGCGGCCTAAACATTGGCGGCATTATTGGCGGTATCGTCGGTGGCATCGTTATGATTGCTGTCGCTACATATCTAGTCTGGAGGTTCTATATCAGGCCTAAGAGGTCACAGACTCCCATATCTATGTACGTCGAAGACGTGGATCCTGTGCAAGGCTCCGAGAAGGATGCCCCCTCGAGGGGAACTCGTCCCCCATCGGCATGTACTGTTCATTCTATCGCTCCAACCGTCCTTACTCGAGCCTCCAATATTATCCAGATCGCCTACATCCCCGGTGTTACAAACCGAGTGACTCTGATGCCACCAAACGTTCTTGTCCCCCCGTCCCTCCGATCCCCCTGCATCATGCCGAGGGCAACCGAGCCCAAGGAATCGACGATGAACATTTTGCCGTCCCCAGAGACCTTCAAGACTCGGCCTACTTGGGCCTATCTGACTACTCAGACAGAACCTCATACGCTCGCTGGAGAGCTAGTTCTTATTGGGTTAGATCTTGTGAGTGACCGCTTTGGAGGCTTCGCACAGTTGAGGGGATAATGTCGATGTGTTAAGGCATCCACCTCACTCTGAAAAGCTCGAACTTGACTGGCGTCGTTCAGAAGAAGCATCACCCCTGCAAGGCGATTTCTCATTAGGGAGGAAACAACTTAGTGGGGCGTCCGAGCGTCAGCATGAATGAATGAATAAGTTTATTACGCCCGAGAGGATACGCCTCATAGGGCCTACAGCGTTGAACTTCGTGACATACTTTTCCTGACTTATAGTTCTAAGACCCGCAAACCTTCATCTGCGCCGACCCTTACGACTTGCTACTCTCCCCAGGCTCGCTTGTCCCTGCGACAGTCCTGCTTGAAGGCCGACTTCTCCAAGTGTTCAGCATCCCATCTTCAGCAGCTGAAGCCTGGTCTGTCTACCAGAGGCTGTGCTGTGTTACTTCTTATTATCTTGTCTGATTTGTCAGTATGTTTTTCATGTCTGTGTGGCATCCAAACGCCCCGTGCTCATCGCAAACTTGATTGCCGCTCGTACCGCTCCTAAGTTCGGGCTCCACCTGTGCCCGTTCTCTGCTGTCTTGCCTCCCAGGAAGAATGAAAGATTACTCATCATTTCCCGGCCGACAATTCGCATGTGTTCTCGTTGCTCATCCTACCGTGGACATCGGAAGAGGAAATAGTCCACCGTTTCTTCTTCCTGGCCACAGTCGCATGTGTCCGTCTCTACTGCGCCTATCCTGTGCAGATACCGGTTGACACGTGCCATTCCCGTTCGTAGTTGCACCAGGATGTCGGATTCGCGTCTCTTCAGGGCATCATATAGTGTGCGCGTGTGTTTGCCGGGCAGCGCCTTATCGAGCTGCTTCGAGGTCCAACATAATCATTCAATGCAGGCATATAAATAACGTACATAATAAGGGCGTGCACCAGATAAGTGCATGCACCAAAAATCCCTCAACCTTACATCTAACTATCTAATCAATTAATTCTCAATCATATAACATGTCGCAACCAAATAAAGAAGCTAGAATACTACTTGCTCTTCAAGCCCTCCAACAGAACCCAAAACTAAGTCTCCATAAGGCTGCTAGGATATATGAGGTTAACTACTGGGCTCTTCGTCGCCGACGTAATGGCATTCCTGCTGCATCAAGTATTACACCTAAGTCACGGAAACTAAGTGATCTAGAGGAGCAGATCATAGTTCAGTATATTCTTGACCTAGATTCGCGAGGATTTCCTTCTAGGCACCGTGATATTGAACAAATGGCAAATCGATTACTTGCTGACCGCGATGCATCGCCAGTTGGCAAGCGCTGGGCTATCAATTTCATCAAGCGGCAACCAGAGCTTAAGACGCGTTTTCAGCGGAGATATGACTATCAGAGGGCTAAATGTGAAGATCCGACCGTTATTCGCAATTGGTTCAAGCTCGTACAGAACACAATTGCAAAGTATGGCATCCGATCAGATGATATCTGGAACTTTGATGAGACTGGCTTTATGATGGGCGTGATCTCAAGCGGTATAGTTATTACTAGCTCGGAGAGGCATGGAAGACCGAAATCAGTACAGCCTGGAAATCGGGAATGGGTTACGGCGGTCCAAGCGATTAATGCGGAAGGCCAGGCAATTGATCCATTTATCGTGGTTACAGGCCAATATCACCTTGCTAATTGGTACCGAGAATGCGACCTTCCGGGCGACTGGGTTATCGCAACGAGCCAAAATGGCTGGACAGATAACAAGCTGGGTCTCGAGTGGCTAAAACACTTTGATCGGTCTACAACCAAGGGAACGAATAGTCGCTATCGTCTTCTAATCCTTGACGGGCACGAAAGCCACCACTCGGCAGACTTTGAGATATATTGCGAGGAGAACAAGATTATCACACTCTGTATGCCACCTCATTCTTCCCACCTGCTTCAGCCCCTTGACGTTGGGTGCTTTGGGTCGCTGAAAAAGGCATATGGTCAAGAAATAGAGCATCTGATCAGAAGGTCTATAACCCATATTTCCAAGACCGAGTTCTTCCCGGCCTTTTATGCTGCTTTTCAAGCTACTATGACTGAGGAAAATATCAAGGGAGGTTTTAGAGGCGCTGGGCTTGTTCCTTTTGACCCAGAAAGTGTAGTCTCAAAGCTTGATGTGCAGCTACGGACTCCAACGCCTGCTGAGGAGGTTGCTGAACTATTAACCCCTTGGGTTTCAAAGACCCCAAAGACTGTGCTTGAGGCCGGATCTCAGTCTGAATACCTTGAGAGACGAATCAGGCTACATAAGAGTAGCTCCCCAGAGTCAATTCTAGGAGCTTTAAAGTCTCTTGCAAAGGGAACAACAGCAATAATGCATAAGAATGCCTTATTACAAGCTGAGATACAAGATCTTCGACAGGCAAATGAGATACTTAGCCGACGGCGCCGGGCCAAAAGAACCCGCCTACAGAATAGAGGGAAGATGACTATAGGGGAGGGCAGGGATCTAATTGATCAGATGGATGCGGATATGCAGGTAGTGGCCGAATCATCGAGAAGTGGTGGTCAAGGAAGTTCGGCGCAACCGAGGGTTCGGCGCTGTGGGACTTGCGGCACGACTGGGCACAATGCAAGAACCTGTCAGGAGGGTATTGAGACCTCTAGAGATGAGTACAGTAACTAGAATCAATTGATCAGATGGTTTGTTGTGTTTTTATTGCGATTTATCTTAAGAAGGTTAAGATTTTTGGTGCACGCACTTGTCTGGTGCACGCGCTTATCGTGTACGTTAGTTTAATAACATTATAGCAAGTTATTTAATAACGTGCATGATAAGCTTATGTCCCAGACAAGCATGTGTCCCAAAAAATCTCAACCTTCAAAATAGAAATCACTACAAGAACACAAAAAATCACTGAATCAATCAAAATTAATCGCTATACTCTTCCCCAGATATCGCAACAACTATCTGATATGTTCTTGCGTTATGCCCGGTCTTGCCGCATCCTCCACAACGCCTTTCCTTCGTTTGTGTCGACCTTCCTTGACAACCACTTCGCGATGATTCGTCCTCTACCTGCCCATCAGCATTCATCTCATCAATCGCTTGCCTTCCTTCATCCACTATCATCACCCCTCTTTTCTGTAGTCGGGTTCTTTTTGCCCTCCGCCGCCGGCTTAGTATCTCATTCGCCTGCCGAAGGTCGCGGTTCTCAGCTCTCAATAAGGCATTCTCATGCATTATTGCCTTTGTTCCCTTAGAAAGAGACTTCAGTGCTCCTAGAATGGACTCAAGAGAGCTGCTTTGATGTCTTCTAATTCTTCTTTCGAGGTACTCAGACTGTGACCCGGCCTCAAGCACCGTCTTTGGCGTCTTTGAAACCGATGGAGTAGAGGGGCCAGTCCCCTCCTCGACCGGCGTTGGAGTCTGTAGCTGCACATCAAGCTTTGAGAGTACACTTTCCGGGTCAAGTGGAACAAGCCCAGCGCCTCTAAAACCTCCCTTGATATTTTCCTCAGTCATAGTAGCTTGAAAAGCAGCATAAAAGGCCGGGAAGAACTCGGTCTTGGAAATATGGGTTATAGACCTTCTGATCAGATGCTCTATTTCTCGGCCATATGCCTGCTTAAGCACGGAAGAGCACCCGAAGTCAAGAGGCTGAAGTAGATGAGACGAATGAGGCGGCATGCAAAGCGTGATGATCTTGTTCTCCTTGCAATAGCTCTCAAAGTCGACGGAATGGTGACTTTCGTGACCGTCAAGGATCAGTAGACGATAGCGACTATTGGATCGCTTGGCTGTACACCGGTCAAAGTGCTTCAGCCACTCAAGTCCTATCTCGTTATCGGTCCAGCCATTTTGGCTCGTCGCAATAACCTAATCGCCCGGGAGGTCGCATTCTCGGTACCAATTCGCAAGGTGATACTGGCCGGCACCTATGATAAACGGCGGGATCGCTTGACCTTCCGCAATGATCGCTTGGATGACAATAATCCATTTCCGGTTTCCAGGCTGCACTGATTTTGGTCGTCCACGCCTTTCTGTACCTGTAACAACCATTCCGCTTGCAATGACGCCCATCATAAAGCCAGTCTCGACAAAGTTCGAGATATCATCTAATCGGATGCCGTACTTGGCGATTGTGTTCTCTACAAGCCTGAACCAGTCACGAATAACGGTCGGATCTTCATATTTAGCTCTTTGGTAGTCGTATCTACGAAAGAAACGCGTCTTGAGCTCTTGATGCCGCTTGACGAAGTTGAAAGCCCAGCGCTTGCCGATGGGTGGCGCGTCACGATCAGCAAGCAATCGATTGGCCATATCTTCAACACCACGCAGTCGCGGGGGAAATCCTCGCGAATTTAGGTCGAGAATGAACTGATCTATGATCCGTTCTTCTAGATCAGATAGTTTGCGCGATTTAGGAATCCAATCGCGTCGAGATTGCATGCCTTTCTGGCGGCGACCTAGCTTTTTAGGGCAGACTTTATAAATTGAGGCAGCGCGTCGAATCTTTAATTTTGGGTCATGTTGAAGGCCTTGAAGGGCAAGAAGAATATTACCCTCGCTATTAAATCCAGGCATGTTCGTTAGTTGAGATTTTGTTCATCAAATGGAAAAGTGAGAGATTGAGGGATTTTTTGGGACACATGCTTATCTGGGACATAAGCTTATCATGCACGGTATGCAACTAAAGAGCGAAAACTCAGTGACTCCTTTAACTACTGGTGAAGGTCCAGATGGTAATAACGCTTGTGCAGACCACAAGCATCTCAGGGCTTAGGTTCGGCTATTTATCTAATCAGACCTCTCCGACTACAAGTCATCAAGAGTCCGCTAATGTTTTAAATTACCCTAGCTCTTGTGTAGAGTCATAAACAACCTCTCCTTCAAACCAAGTCTGGAGTACCTTTGCGTTCTCGAAATCTCCTCGAGTGACGTCTCTATCGAAGCATATAAAGTTTGCAATTTTACCGACCTCAATTGATCCAGCTTCCTGAGAAAATAAACTTTAGTGCATTAAGTATGGGAAGTAGCGAAAGAATCGTCTTACCTTATCTCTTCCTGTCGCTACAGCACCTGCTAATGGTATCATTTCCAGAACCTTCTCTGCCCCAATCCTCATTACCAGAATCGCTGTATTACGAAACATGGGCAGTTCCAATCCATGGGCCCAGTCACTTCCAATAGTTATATGCGCCTCTTCTGCGAGCATTCTCTCAAAATCGTACTGGAACAAGCGCATGTTTTCAGATTGGGAAGTATCGAAGAATCCAGCAGGGGACATCTCGGCGGTGACGTTCAGCTGTTTGAACCGCTTACAATCCTCTGGCAATGACGTTGCAAGTTAGTAACCAGAAAGAATGACGCTGAGACTTGGAGAAGTATAACCAACCTGGCAGAACTCGAGTACAGTGCGCAACCTCGTGACGAGGGCCGTCGGGTCGCATTTGACGAACGATTTCGAAGGCGTCAAGCGCCGTTCTCGCACCGCCGTAACCCATGCAATGAATCTTGCAAGTCATACCTCTACCATCAAACCTCTCCACAAGCTCTGCAGCATCTGGGAGAAGGATCTTGCTTTGGTCCGGAATGCCGTTGTCGTCGACATCAGAGTGGCTCATCAGGGCCGGCGTGCAAGCCCCGTCCATCATCATCTTGACAAACCTAGTATCGACATGTCGGCTCTGATACTTATCAGCATTCAAGATGAGCTTATCCGCCGGCACTTGAATTTCTCCTGTAAGCCATTCATTTTTGTATAGGCAGTGAGTGGCAAACTGCATCTTAAGCTTTCCCTCTGCCTCGAGTTCACTGAGAGCGGTGAGGAACATTTCCGTAGACGACGCATCCTGGCAAGAGGTAACTCCATGACGATGCATCTCGGCGATTGCACGCTTGACGACTCTCTTGACATGCGCTTTGGCTGGTTTAGGCAGAGCTGCCATCAGGCGGTTCCCTGCTTGATCTTTCAGCTCTCCCGTGAGGCTCCCCTCTGGCCTGAGCTCATGCTTCCCTCCAATAGGGTCTACCTCACCTTGTTCGACATTATAACCAGCGCGTCGGAGAGCAGCCGTATTAGTGTACCAATCGTGGCAACCCACCCCCAGGAGGACAACAGGGGTATCCGGGTAATCTTTGTCGAGGAGACTGCGATCAAAATTCTCGAACCCAAAACCAGCACCTCCAAAGATCCAATCTTCGTAAAAATGACTGTAGGCGCAAGAGCATGCGGCCTTTTTGATACGCTCCACGACATTATCTCTGGTAACATCATATCCGGTCTGAGCCCAATTCAACAAACCGGAGCCTGATACGATGGTATGCACATGGGCATCATGGATTCCAGGCATAATAAATCTGCCTTTCAGATCGTATACCACCATTGAGGCTGCCTTAGCGGCAGCAACGATCTCGCGTGTATTGCCGACGGCGCTGAATATTCCATTGGTATCCACAATAAAAGCTTCGGCCCATGGCAGGGTCTTGTTGACAGTATAAACCCGGCCATTTATGTAGGCCACCGAGTTGTGAGCAGCGTTAAGCAAGTCTTTGTCCGACATGATAGTAAAGTGATGTCTAGTGAGTGGGGAAAGTCACTATAATGGGCGTCATTGAGGCAAGTTCAGCGCTGATGAACTATATTTTAAATACGCCGTCTTTACTGTGCTCATCCACTCTATTGCCGTCACGTCTCTTCAATAAATAGGTTGATTGCCAATCGCGGCGGAATAAGAGTATTAACGTGGATGATAAACATGCAATTTACGCTCACAGGACCCAGTTCATCTGGCCTAGTGGGGAGTACTACGTACATACAGTATTATCTCGGCTTTATGGCGGGAAAACTACCTAAACCGACTAGTCCAAGGCGGCTCGTCGGGGTAGGACCTGGGGTAAATCATATTATCATAAGATAGAAAAGGCCCATGGGAGTAGATTTGCCATAGCTCTTTGGGCTTGCCAAAGTTGCTGCGCTACACTGCGGCTACAGAAACATCTGCTCAACAGCTAATAATTTTTCCGGCCACACACCCCCTACCCGACTACTACGTAGTAGGTGGTTGCCCGTCCTTGTGACGTGGTCCGAGGCATGAAGCCCCGCCTCGAGGTCTTTACCAAAAAGGAAAATGTACCGCCCTTGTAGTACCGTATGAATTCACGAAATTGAGTAGCGCCTGTGGATACCTTTTGCTTAAGTTCCGAAAGGCCGATTTGTTTAGCTGTAAATAAAGATCTGACATTTCGCCATTGGTAAATTGGCATATTAGCTTGGATCCACAGGCACTACCGGTACTCAATTTTGTGAGTTTACACGGTAGTAGTGTTCATTACACCCGAGAGAGCTGATCTTATCCCTTTGACCGGCTTAGCCCTTCAAATTGATCAGTGCAGGGATTCCAGGCCAATTAGATAGCATCATTTAGCTAGTACTGGGCTCCTCTGTATTATGTGCCTTTTCAGAGGGCTTGTAGTAGATATCATAGGTCGAGCTGAATTACAATACATTGCAAAATGTCTAAATGCTACAAAAGAATAATTTATCTTCAAGCTGACCTCAAGTTAGAGGTTGAAGTTACTTCTTTGTACGTGGGGTCAAATGGATTAGTATACCTCCTGAAGGACTATGCCGGTCAAAGGGATAGGGCCAATAGCTACGCTAAACTATTTACACTTCTCCACTATCCCAGCCGGAACACCCAAGAGAACCTCACTCTTTTTGACAACTCCTCTCTTTTCTAGCCCCGCTTACTTAACTTTATTCGACAGGCCTGCTTACCGTAAAGACCAATTTATCCAAGTATAGTATTCAGCACCTGTGCTAACCCGTAGCGCTGTAGAACTGCTTCCTTACTGGCTGCCTGTTTCCAGCAGCGTGGAAATCTCATGAGTTGATCTCAGATCTAATTTCTGGGGGAACTCGAAAAAAAATAAAAAACATATAAAAAATAGTGATAGCTTGGAGTACCATCTATTCATCGTATCGCCCATCTTCTTGACCTTCTCGCCTTGACTCTGTATGAGCTTCAGCGTGTCGGATTTCATTGTATAATTTGACTGGCCTTCTTCCGTGGAAGTTCAGGAGAAAGGTATCAGGACCGTGCGCAAACTCATCCAGTCTATTGCCGTTTCCAAGCTGGCTTGGCAAGGTACTGCGTAAGCTCCGAGACCATTCGGATACTAAAATTCGCTTCGGGATAAGACACTCCCTGGGATTTGCCTTTACAGCCATTCAATACAGTCGAAAGTTACCGGTGCTTCCGACCAGCTGGAATACTTAAGGATGCAACAAAGCCCTTGGATCTGCAGAAGACGCGCAACCATCTTTTTGTTATGCACCCTACGACATTCTGTTATTTTTAGTTTCTTGAAAAGACTATCCTGTCTGCTTTTAGACCATCGCAATGGCATCTATCAACGTCGGCATTTTGGTTTATGACTACCAGGCTATTGATGTCGTTGGCCCAGTTGACCTACTCCACTCGGCCAACTCTGGATTCCTGGAAGTGTCCAAAGTGTTTGGCCCTATCGATGATGACGCTATTTCCCGAGCTCCAAACTTCATTTTTCATCATGTTGGCATCACGAAAGAACCATTCCACCTTTTCACCAGCGCTATTACCCTTACCCCGACCACGACGGTGGATGAGTGCCCCGAGCTGGATATCATCCTGTTGGGAGGTCCTAATCCTGTAGGCTTTGAGCTGCACCAGAAGTACGTTGACCTCATCCGTCAACATATCAATGCTGGAAAGTTGCTCTTTACGACTTGCACTGGCTCAGCAGTACTTGCCTCTACGGGTCTTCTAGATGGAAAGAATGCAACTATCAACCACGCCGAGTATCAATGGGCCAAGGAGAATTATCCTGATGTCAACTGGACTAAGGAAAGAAAATGGGTCGTCGACGGAAATATCTGGACTGGAGCTGGTGCAGTTGCGGGAATGGATATGCTGGCGCATTGGCTCAAGGAGAAATTCGGACAAGACATACTCACCTATGCTGCCCGGAATCTAGACTACGAGCCTCGAGGCGTCGACGGTGTGACACCTATGATCCCTAAGAGATACGACGAAAGTGGAAAGCAGCTTAGCACCCATGAGTTTTTCTATCATTAGGCTCTATGTTTAAGTTAATTACACAAGTTCCACTCAAGCTTGAAAGTTAGATTACACAAAGAGATTACATGCCCAATGCCTACAAAGATTGATTTTCTGTTAGTAAAAGAACTGGCCATACTGTACCAATTACAACTAATTCTACCTAATGCCGGATTTTGTAACTCATGTATCTCTGTTCTCACAATCCTTAATCTTGGGTTCGAATATCAAAATGCTTGCCTTGTGCTCCTTGTCTAGTTTCCTGGGGTAAAATGTTATAACTGATGGTATTTATATGTTTGCGGAAACCCCGAGAGCCTTCATAACGGATGGCAGAGGACTACCATCGCCTCCGCAATACAACTCTGGGAGAACGCGGAACCAGGAGCTGCAAATTAGAGACTGTGGTACTGTTGACTGGTTCTGATAAGGGAGTTGCCTCACTTGAAAATGCAAAGTTCTGGACGCAGAGCGGAACGATATCACACAGCGGCCAGTTAATCAGTCGTGTAATATTCAGATTGGGGGGGGTTACTACGTGTCCTTGAGCCATGTTACGATGATCCAGCTGATGCCCCTGAGCGCCCTGGCCTCGCTGCTCCGCAATTAGCGGCCGCGATACCAGCGGGTTACGTAAGACAAGGTTTGCCTAGAAGCCTAGACATGTATAGCCCCTGAGGAGGCATTCAGAGCACATAGGCTACTGTCCATCACACTGGTAAGTAAGTCTGTCGATTGGGAGCGCACCACTCGAGAGTCTTATCTACTTGCAGCTAACTTTTTCTATCTGCATATATAGCATACGGTCACTTTCCCTATCTCTATCTTTGCACCTATCGATGTTAATAGAGGATACATCTTGGGATATCAGTTGCATAGATATTTGATGGAGCACGTTTACTCTCGTAGCATAATTAGTAATCTAAATTATGTCAGGTTTACACCCGACGTCTCATACCTCCTCCCCACAACTTCACCTGCCAACGCTAACCCCGTTTCGGTAACATTATCCGCCAAGCCGTAGCTGAATAATGCCTCTTAAAAAACTTATGTCAGTGTTTGATCTCCTGGAATGGTCTGCACTCGCGGGGTAATACATAAACTCATTATTAGCGGAAATCCTGCAAATCTTTGCCAGTCCGGGTTATGTTTATAGTGTTAATTCAGGTCCGACCCAACCATTTACAGAGCTCTTCGGCTGACAGCCCAACAAAGCTCCTTGTGGCACTAGCAAAGTTACTGCGGCAGCAAGGGTACATGCTCAAGTTTACAAATAACGAGGGCCCAGAGTCCCCCAACAAACCGCAAGGGTCAAAGTCTGGTCAAGGAGGCGTGGCCGACCCGTACAAACAGAAGCAAGAGAAATTAGGCACATTTTGTCTGTATCACTTATTCTTATGCAGCAGCACATTGACCTCTATGTGTAAATGTAGTGTCACGCTTAGGTCATCCCAAGGGCTAACGCACTCCACAAGCGAGTCGGACAAAAATTTTAACCCTCAACACAAACCGTAGGATAAAAACACAACAAAGCATCTCATCCATTAAAATCAATTACTATACTCTTCCCCAGTTACCATTACAACTATCTGTTATGGCCGGCCTTGCCGCACGTTCTACAGCGCCCTTCCTTCGGTCGCGCGGACCCTCCTCGACCACTACTTCTCGACGATTCAGCCTGTACCTGCGTATTGATATCCATCTGATCGATTGCTTCCCTTCCTTCATCTACAGTCATTTTCCCTCTATTCTGTAGGCGTTTTCTTTTTGCTCTACGCCGCTTGCTAAGGGTCTCATTTGACTGTCGAAGGGTCTGCATGTCAGACTTCAATAATGCCATCTCATGCATTATTGCCTTGGTTCCCTTGGAAAATGACTTAAAAGCCTCAATAATACATGCCGGGGAGCTGCTCTGATGCCGTCTGATTCATCTTTCTAGGTATTCAGACTGAGAGCTAGCCTCGAGGACTGTCTTTGGGGTCTTTGAGACCCAAGGATCAGGTAGGGTTGCCTCCTCCTCAATAGGCGGTGGGGTCCGTAGCTTCACATCAAGCTTTGATATGATACTTTCCGGGTCCAAAGGGACAAGTCCGGCCCCTCTAAAACCTCCCTTGATATTGCTTTCTGTCATCGTGGCTTGGTAGGCGGCGTAAAATGCCGGGAAAAATTCGGTCTTAGAAACGTGGGTGATGGAGCATCTGATCAGATGCTCAATTTCTCGACCGTAGGCCTTTTTGAGCGGCCCAAAGCGCCCGATGTCAAGAGGCTGGAGGAGATGAGACGAATGAGGCGGAATACAAAGCGTGATGATGTTGTTTTCCTCACAATAGGTCTCGAAGTCGGCCGAGTGGTGGCTTTCGTGCCCATCGAGGATCAGAAGGCGATGGCGACCATTTGATCGGGTCTTTGTATGCCAATCAAAATGCTTTAACCACTCAGGGCCTGTCTCGTTGTCAGTCCAGCCATTTTGGGTCGTAGCGATAGCCCAATCACCCGGGAGGTTGCTTTCTTGGTACCAGCTGGCGAGGTGATATTGGCCCGCAACCACGATGAACGGCTGGATCGCCCAGCCTTCCGCATTGATAGACTGGATGACTGTAACCCATTCCCAGTTTCCAGGCTGGACTGACTTCGGCCTTCCACGCCTTTCTGCGCCTGTAACGACCATTCCGCTTGCAATCATACCCATCACAAAGCCGGTCTCATCAAAGTTATAAATATCGGCTAGGGTAATACCATATTTCGCGATTATATTCTCTACAGGCGAGAACCAATCGCGAATAAGGGTCGGATCTTCGCATTTGGCTCTCTGATAATCATATTTACGATGAAAACGCGTCGTAAGCTCTGTGTGTCGCTTGAGGAAGTTGGAAGCTCAGTTTTTTCCGACAGGTGACGCATCGCGATCAGCAAGCAATCGGTTAGCCATTTCTTCTACACCACGAAGTCACGGGGGAAACCCTCGCGAGTCTAGGTCGAGAATATAGTCACTAATAATCTGTGCCTATAGATCAGATAGTTTTCGCGAATTAGGGATAATATCGCCTCGAGAAGGTTTCCCATGGTATCGGTCATAGAGGGTACTAGGAGGGACTTTATAAAGCTGTGCAGTGGGTCGGATACGTAGTTAGGGATTATTTTGAAGAGCTTGAAGGGCAAGGATAATATTTGCCTCTTTATTTGATTGTGACATATTTCGTGGTTAAGAAATAATTGATTAAATGTAAAAAGAGGAAGTTGAGGGATTTTTGTCCGACTCGCTTGTGCGTCCGACTCGCTTGTGAATTACGTTATACTATTATACTATACATCCTCCACAGGATAGAAATAAGAGATTATAATTGCAGATCTTAGCTCGAACTTATCTATAGGGTGAGTTAATCTACGAATATCTTAACAAATGCTAAGTGGCTTCTTAGCAACTTGACCGGAGGAACTTAAAGTCCAAGGCAATATGGTTGGGGTAGTAGTATCCGGTTGCATCGATTATGTCTTTGAAGGGTAATCCATCACTGTGTGCAGGATGAAAGCTGTCACATGTCAGTAAGGTCGTGGACATTGAGTTTGTATAGCTTACATCGATTTCTTAGAAACTCCGTCACGTGCCAGCTCGCTCAGGGCTGCAAGAAGAACAGAATGATCGGTAAGTGTAAGGCCAGCAGGGGAAGCATCATCAGCGTCGAATATAACCGTTGTGCTGTTGGCTGTCGGGCAAGCTGGGGACGCATACGCATAGGCGTAGTCTGCGGCATGGACGGACTGCTCCATGTGTACAAATGCCACCTGCATGGTCTTGTCGCGAAAAATAAATGGTTTTTTCGTGCTGTGATAAATTATATCTCAGCAAAGAACGCAATGAGACAAAGCTTTAGGGCGGGGAATACCTGTATGTGACGAACTTATTTAGCGGAACTGTGGAGTAGTAATCGCGGGCAAAGTCAAGCGCTATGACTTTAGCTCCAGCCTGAACGTAGTCCCGAACTCCCAAAGCATGGTCATGATGATGGTGAGACGGCTATACAGGTCAACATTTCTTTTATCCGTTCATTTGGACGCTGTGATACCTACCCAGACATATTTCAGAGGCTTTTTGAGTTTTTCTTTCACCCACTGGATTACCAGATGACTCTGGTGCGGGGGGCAGTCCAGAACGACAACGAAGTCCTCAAACTCGTACACCATCTGCCGGTAAAGGTTCGCATCCTGGAATGTGAGTGTCCATACTCCCGGAAGCTCAGGGTAGGGATTTATCGCAGTGAGATTTGGCAGAGTTCCACGGTATTCCCCACCCCAGACATGGCTTTCGTAAAGCTCACCAATCTCTGCAAATTCATAGCCAGGCTTCCGAGCCGGTGCGTGTTCCGGTTGGCGGTCGCGATCATTTTCGAAATCCATGTCAACGGGGACATTGACGAGCACTTCGCTGACTGCGTAATCTGCAAAGACCTTATAACCGTTGTATATAGACTTAAACCTTGTAGGGAACTGCAGGCCATTCACAGAGGTGTACCCTGTAAGCACTAGGTCCTGTGTCGATTGGCCCAGAATTTCGTGGCGTTCGTGGGAGCGAATCATGTATGGAAGCCCAGTACGAGGGTCGAAAATAGCAGTCAAGTTAAGAACCGCATCGTGGACTAGGAAAATTGAGTATTTGTTGAGCGAAAGAGATCTAGAACAACTATGGAATTCATACCTGCTGGCAATGATACGTGTGCATCGATCTTTTCTTGGCGCATAGTGGACTTGTTATTCGACATCATCTAAGCTCGTTAATAATGTTGTACAGATGTATCAGCAGTGGCAGGAACCATATACCTCAAGCAACAGTAAAGGTGACATTCTGTGTGCTTCTCTTATAAGGTAAGCAGCTAGAAGACCTGGTTGAGGTCAGTATTCTTCTCCACTTGTCATGGATTGCAAACCGACACTCACCATCCACATAGCCCGAGGGCGGTGCACCAGGGGCAAACAGCGAGAAACTTCCGTTGACAACCGCGGCAAAACCGTCATCTCCTCCATGGACGAGCAAGGAGAAGTTAATGGGTCGAAGCGTCGGCCGAGCGAAGGTCCAGTATTCTATAAAAAAGTAGTCAGAGACACGATCCTTGAGAAGAAAAGAGAATGCCTGATCATCTTGTGCCACCTACCACCTAGTTGGTGAGATCTGTCGATTCGCTGCTGAATAGAGAGCCCGTTGTAAGAGAAGGAAACATTCTGTACTCCCGCTGTGGAGATAGACTTGTCGACTCCGATCAGGCTGAAAGTCTCTAGCATAGACTTTGTTCGATAAATGCTAGATCGACTGTCAGTAACTAACGGCATTCAATAGCCACTCGGGGAAAGAAAAAAACATACTCTCCCCCCATGTAGGTCAAGGAAGTAACTTGAGACAACTTTTCCAACCCTCCCAGTGCCACAATCCCTCGGGCGAGTAAGGACTGCGCTGTCATCGAGCGTGATGTGACGCTATCGGAACTGTCCTGTGGGTGGCAATACCCAATGACTGGACCGATGGCGGCCAAATTAAACCACGATGCCCAATGCATTGTTCGTTTCCTGACAATTCTTTGATGCCTATTTCAGAGAGACTAAGATGTAGTAGCTTTGGTGGATACCAAGAATTAACCTGGGTGATGACTCCATTATATATTTTATCCAAGCTCATTATCATTTTGCTCGGTCAATGACAGGAAACTTCCGCCGAACCTTAGCCCAAAGGTAGATTTGGAATAAGGCAAGCGTGGTATCGGTCCCTGCTGGTAGCTTGCCAGGATGTTGAGTCTCTAGAAAAGCGCTATGAACTGCCGAGCCACCACAATTTGGACGGCCCATAGACCCAGGCTTCGTAATGCGACATTATGAATTACCTATTCGAAGTATAGCTCAATGGAATGACAAAGTCAACTGCTGGGAGGCAGGGGCATGGAATGGCTAACAAGGCGGATGGCGGGGGGGCGCAGCATAAACTGACGCCGTCCCGCGCGCGATCCTTTGTCATCTTTATTACCTAGTGGCTGGCATGAATGAGTACTCTCCGATCCTGCGCGGGATTATCTCATCGGACGAAATGGGATTTTCAGAGGTTTAAGCTCATGGGCACGCACCGGCCCGTGTTGGGGTTTATCTGAATATTTTATCAGTGCATCAGGCGCCTTATTTGAACGATCAGCAAATAAGTCATATCGGGTCATGTCTGGTAATACGCTGGAATGGTTATCTAGTGTAACCGTTTTGTATTAACAGATAGTGGGATCGTGTTAAATGTTAGGGTGAATTGTGTGCTGTTCATCTTGTTGTGTATTTTCTTTTACTGTGTCTGATAGTTGGGTTAGAACCCTATTTCTATTTGTTCGATAATGACCTATCTGAGAGGTTGTTACAGTACTGTGACTGAGACAGCTCTTTGACCGGTAGCTCGGCCCTCCAGTTAGCTGGCCTCATCTTCACCAGTATTCCACAAATATCTACATGACATAATAGACAAATATCTAGTTCGATTACTGCTAAGATACTAGTATTAATTAATTAACGTTTCGATATTTCATTCCCTGTGTTAGATTATTAAAAATAGTAGACACGAGCTGCTGCAATCTTGAACAGATGGCTACCCGAGCTTAAACATCCAAGCAATCTGCACCATAACGAGTGAATATTAATCAGCTACTTCATAGTGATGATATCCATATATTGTATTGTCCTACGAACAGTATTTGACACACTTGTTGCGGCAGAGAGGCTACAAAAGTCTAAACCCCCAAACTAGACATCAATCAACCAGCATCGCAAGGAGGATGAATCCTGCTTATATCCTGTTCGTTTCCACTTTATGCTATGCATTCATAAAGCCCAGGCAAGCCAACGCGTACAATGTAAAAGATGACATTGCTAGATTTAAGCTATAGGTTATGTTAGCGGTCCAACACTGAACAGCAGCCCAAAATTACATGAGGCACTACTTGGAATAGATATACTGTGTAACGAATTCTTTGTTTTCATGCGATTTGTCAGCTGCGTACGTTGCTGGTGACAAAAACTAGCAAGGATGACAGATTGCTCAACTCACCCTAAAATACATTTGTGGAATAGGACGGTTTTTCCGCTGCATATGGCGGTAGTCAGGCACAACCACCTGATACGCTAATATCCTGCAGTCGTTGCTCCAAGACGACTGCCGAGGTCGATGTCGTATCAGTCAGAGGTTGAGTAAGGGTAGTTGATACACTGCTACATCTGGGCGTCTCAGATGAGCTCACATCGACACTCAAAGGGCCGACGGGCTTGGCGCATTATGTCAGGCCAGGCATTTCTACCGCAAGTCGATTCCGGGGTTCTGGAACCGGGCGTCTCTATTGCAAAGCTCATCTATTGGGATGCTGGTGTCGAGCAAGGGGGTCTCCAGAAGGCAATCGGTTTAAACTTTAAAGCAGGGAATCTTCATGGCCAGACTACTAAGGTTATTCGGGAAACAAAAACCGCCAAGACCCCAACCCCTGGCCTTCCCACCCGCCTCTCAAATCGAATTTCCAGGCGGATGCTGGCGTCTTGTCTAATAACATTTCTTTTTCTTCTTCCTAAGTGATACTCATGCCAACCTCCGACTTATTTCTTCATTTCTCTAACTGATCTTTCAAAATATTCAGGAACAAGGCTGGTACCTTGTTGGAGATATCTCTATCGCGGGCTTTTCGATTATATCTGCAGTACTGTTTCAACGTCGTGGTCTCATTCACCAAGTCTCCTCTGTTCAGCATATTTTGCCATAAAGATGTCGAAGCTTGCAGGACAGCTGACATCAACAGAGCTACTGAAGAAGCAGTTTACCGGCTCCAAGATTCTCTTCCACCTACTGTTCTGGGGAGCACATCTCGGCACATTCGCGTATGGATGGTGTGTGCAAAAATTTAACCCCCAGGGGAAGACCGCGCAAAGCAAAAGCAACAATAACTGACTGAGAATTATTAGGTGGAAACAAGCCTCAGATTCTCGATTAGAACCTTTGAACGTGACCCTGAACTTGTCGATATGGATATCCCGAGGTGCCGGTCTTGTCCTAAGCTGGGATACGACCTTGATCCTTCTGCCTGTCTGCCGCACTATCCTCCGATGGTTCCGGCCCAGAATCAAGTTCCTGCCACTTGACGAAAATGTGTGGTTCCACAGACAGGTCGCGTATGCGATGCTGATTTTCACCATCATTCACACGGCAGGGCACTACGTAAAGTATGTATTGACTTGGGACTGGTTATTTTGAGATACAAGGCTCTCGCTCTCGTTCCTTGATTTCTACAGCGACCACGATGCTAAGGTGTACTCAGCTTTTTTAATATTGAAAAAACCCAGATTCGACCTGTCACAGCCGTCGGTATCCACTATAAGGACCCGGGTGGTATTACAGGTCATATCATGCTGCTATGTATGCTCCTGATGTATACGACGGCCCACGTTCGTATCCGACAACAGTCATTCGAGACATTCTGGTATACGCACCATCTTTTCACACCATTCTTTCTAGGTTTATACACCCACGCGGTCGGTTGCTTTGTTCGTGATACGCCTGAGCCTTTCTCTCCATTCTCCGGCAAGGATTATTACGACCATTGTCTTGGTTACCTAGGTTGGCGCTGGGAGCTGGTCGCTGGCGGCCTCTACTTTGTGGAGAGAATATACCGAGAGATGCGTGCAATGAGGGAGACCAGAATCACAAGAGTTTTCAGACATCCATATAGTAGGCATCAATGAATCTCCTCTGGAATCCTCGGAGAGACTAATCTATTGCAGACGTCGTGGAAATCCAATTTGTCAAGCCTTCTTTCAAGTATAAGCCCGGCCAATGGCTCTTCTTGCAAGTTCCCTCAATTTCCCGGTATCAATGGCATCCCTTCACAATCACCTCTTGTCCCTTCGATCCGTATGTTTCGGTACATGTCCGACAGATTGGCGACTTCACGAGAGTTTTAGGTGATGCTGTTGGTGCAGGCCAGGCTCAATCTGAGCTTTACGCGGATAGCGTCCCAGATCCGAAGGCCATATACGAAATCGCATTGCAGAATGGCCAGCAAATGCCACTTCTCAGAATTGACGGTCCTTATGGTGCACCAGCTGAAGACGTTCTCGAGAATGAAATCGCGATTCTGATCGGAATGGGAATCGGCATGACACCGTGGGCTTCTGTCCTCAAGAACATCTGGCACTTACGGAACGGGCGAGTTTCAGCAATACGGCTGCGGCGAGTTGAATTCATCTGGATTTGTAAAGATACCGCGGCATTCGAATGGTTCCACCCGCTCCTGAGCTCCCTCGAAGACCTGACCGTTAAGGAGGCTGCAGCTTCACCTGAAAATTCTGCCCAGGAATTCCTCAGGATTCACACTTACCTCACTCAGAAGCTTGATGATGACATGGCCCAAAACGTGGTTCTGAACAGTGTGGGTTCCAAAGTCGATCCATTGACGAAGCTAAAGGCCGGTACCAACTTCGGCCGGCCCGATTTTCCCAAGTTGTTCCAGCATGTGCGTGATCAGATTGATGATGGCACGTACCTTCCTGGACTCGAAAGGAGTATTCAGGCTACAGTTGGAGTGTACTTTTGTGGACCAGCAGCGGCCGGTAAGTATTATGATCCCTTCCTTTCAATATTGGGGCTTACGTTACTCCACAGCTCGCGAGATTAAGAGCGCTTGCAGAAATGTTAGCACCCAGGATGTGAAATTCAAGTTTTGGAAAGAACACTTTTGAAACTATACGGGCTTAACATCTGGCAGGACCACCGGGTCTTTTTAATGCTTTTGTACATGTAGTTGGCTGTTCTGGAAAATGAAAAGGAAGAACTACATATTTTAGGTAGCTCGCACCAGCATCAGTCAGCTAATGAATTAAGGTCTAGAAGTCCATGCGCCTATAAAACACTTGGGCCCTTATGTCTATTCGTAAAGGGAAGAACATCTCCATCTTGTCACCTAAATCTAGAATTTTACTGTTATGCAAGCGTGATATTTACATTATGAAATGTCTAGAAATACAATCTCCCTGGCATTTAAACTGTTTCTCTACATAGTATAATAAGTATTTTTTTATCCAAGGAAAACAGTATAAGAAGAATATAAAAACATGAAAATGTTATTATGGTCTATGTAAAATAATATGCATAATAAGTATATAATACGTTATAGGTATAAGTAATAGCTTAATGGTGAGTCATGTTCTGATGGCCTTTGCATCGCCACGCCGTTAAGGCCAGCCAACTAAGGTAATAGAGACACAAATCCTGCTACGAGCTCAAGAGGTAGTGCTAGGAGATACTGAAAAGAAAAGTGAGGTTTCCTTTGCTGACTGGGGATTTGTTCCTGGTATGCCATATCGGCATCCTCCATCTCCTAGCTCGAGGAGTTGGAGCCCAGGCAAGTATTGGGCGGCATTTTGGTGCCAGGAGCTATGATAGAGGACAAACCGACAGAACAGTTCTCTATAATCTATGCGTCCTAGATATATCGATATGTAACTTTCGGCGGCGAACGGCCGATAAGTGCACTGCGTCAAGTTAGTACTATCTTCGATATCCAGCAGATCCTATTCTTTAAGGGAAGCTCTGCCAAGCCTGATATTCTTCTTAATCTTGGCGCCTATAGAGCCAAACTATATACAATTACTGTCGCATCCGAATTCACCTAGAACACCCGCAATGTCCACTTGCATCAACGGAGAGCGCCGGACGCCCTTTCCCCCAAGTGGCACCTGCCCTACTCGTAGCCAGCCCTACGGTAGTTTCAAGCACATCGTCTTGGACGTCAAAGCAGGTGGTTCTGGCAAAGTTGCATGCACCCGCTATTCCATCTAGCTCATCCAGTATATCATTGGCACAAAGGCGCTTTACTTTCAAGAGGTCATCCCGTCAGCGGGAACTATTCCTCTCCAGCCTAGAATTCTCTTGCACAGATAGATCAAGTAGCTTTCCATACCCTGAGGCAGGAAGTCCATGATCCCCTAAGATCGCCAGTAGCTGCAACCCTAGAACCGTGCATCCTTGGGGAAAACCCTTGCAGGAGAAAACCCTAAGGAGGCTAGAACGCTGCTCTGTGGACGAGGCAGTCGCCTCGTTCCATGGTCTCCAGGTAAGCTCTATACCATTTCGACCCAGCGGTTTTGTCTAGTGGTCTCAGCCAGTGAGACAAATTGTCGAAGCCCGGTCGTGTTCCGGGCGGCAGCCGAGGCTGCAAAGAAGAAGAGGTTCTCTGGGCAGTACACGACTACAGAGATCGGTCATGCAGCTTCCGAGCTGCAAAAAGGGCAGCGAGCCATTTGGGGCCCGTGCGTCGAGATAAGGGGGCACCAGAGGGCCCAAGAAGTCGAGCAGCTAGCGGCTGCTGGTGTTGTTCGGGCAGCAAAAGCTGCAGAGGTCGGTCGAGGCAGCGCAAAGCTGCAGGTGAGTGTGAGGGGTGAGGGTGCAACGACCCTCAATGTCGAGCGGCAAGATGCCGCGAATGTCGTCTGGGCAGCTAGGGCTGCAGAAGTCGGTCGTACGGGAAGTCGAGGGGCGCAGAGCCCGGATTGTCGCAGGCTCGCGAAGCCGGAATGTCGGGGTAAGAAGAAGCAGCAAATAACACGTGAGAAGTAGCGCCCGAAGGCGATGTCAAGAGCTCGCGAAGCTCAATGTCGTTGCAGACACTCGTCGCGAAGAAAGGTCAACTCTCTGAATCCCTTTCTTCAGGCAGCTGTTAGGGTCCCGTTAGCCCCACAGCTGCTTCTGTTGCCATTTTAGCCTGCAAAAATTCTCTACCCTAGCAGAGCGCTAACAGCGGGTGCCAAGGAAAATTTTTACAGGAGAGAGTTGTGTCATTCTTTGTCATATTATATGTTATGTTATGTTATGTATATTTTTCGTCCGGGGGGCCGGAGGCCCCAAAAGTCCCCTGATGGGGCACAGGACGTGCTGGGCTAGAGAAAATCGGATCTATCTAAATGCTAATTACAGAAAGCTATTGGTTACGATGGGGTTAGTCATTCGCGACGCGAACCTAGACTTACCCTCGAAATCTAATTTCTACAAACGCGTCGACAGACCACGCACTATCCAGCATATCATCGGCACACATGGCGCATCGTATCGAGCCTGTTACCCGTCAACGGGATGACCAGGCGTGGCTGCTAGATTGCAGCCGTTCAAAACTTGGTGTCAGGAAAGCTGGGATCAGCCTATGCACGCGGCAGCTCGAGACTGCCTCAAATGTTCTCGGCCGGGTGAAGGGCGTGTCAGCGCCCTTCATCTGGCCGAAGACATGTAAGAGAGAGAAGTGTGACAAAAGAGATATGAACAGATAAAGAGGGAAGGAGAGTCGCAAGTGCGTCTCGGGCCACGGTCGCCTAATAGCGAGGGCAAATCTTTCTAAAGAACGCGCTGTTCTTGGACAAGTCGACAAATTTGGTGAAATCTTTTCCTATAGCGAGGTTGACCGCTGCATTCGGTGAGGGTGCCAGTCTCATCCGATAGCGCGGCGGTATCCTTCTGCAGTAGAAGATGTGATCCGGTGCTTTGCGTCGGCCACATGAGCAGACCAGGCGTGCATCATTGTGGTCGAATCTCTCGTGGTACGCGGCGAAGTCCCCATGACGGGATCTCGCTGCTAGCAGATGGTGCAAGGCTGCGCGCGGGAGCGAGAGCTCCGGCGGGCAGCCTGTAGTCGCCTTGAGATTGAGTCTCTTGTACTGCTCAGGAGCGGAGGCGGACCACCATGTCTCGAACGTGTCCTTCGGTTTTTGTCTTGCGATCCTTCGTAGGTAAGCTAGCGTTGGGCGAGCACCTGCGGGCTCGGGGAGCGATGATGCTGCTTTTGCCAGTTTATCGGCCTGTTCGTTGCCAGGGATGTCAGTGTGCCCTGGTACCCAACGGACTTGGACGGCTCCATGCGATGTCACCAGAGCCTGGAACTCGAGAAAGATGTGTTGAGAGGAGTCGGATGGTGTGCCTTGCAGGCACGTGGCGGCCGCCAGGTTATCTAGGCAGATGAAAATGTTTTGTGATGCTGATTCTCGCAGGTTTAGGGCAGCCTTGAGGCCCTCCAACGCCCCGGTAGCTTCAGCGTCGAAGACCTCAGCAGGTCCAAGGCGACCCGATCCATCAAAGATAGGCAAGTCGTTCTGGTGAATGGTGAAGCCGTAGCTTGCAACCCCTTTCTCGGACAGAGAGCCGTCCGAGTAGACGACCAAGGTGAGCGGGTCGAGTGACTTGACCCAGGGGAGGAAAGCCTCAGCTGTCTTCTCTTTCGATGCTGTCTGTAGTGGTGGCATCTGTTCTTGTTGGAAGCGTTTCTGGATGAGCTTGGGACGCGCGCACTGCCGGAGAAGCTCGTCTGTGCGTCGGAGACGTGTTCTAAAGCTGCTTTCTGCTTGTGCTTGGTATTTGCGCTTGATGAGATCGTGGTAAGTAGGCTGACGCGGTGGCGCCGCTCTTCTCACAAGAGGATGGGTGTCGTCGAGTGATTTGAGTCGTGCGGAGAACCTGAGTCGTCTGGCTTCGAGCAGTTGATCGACTGGTGGTATCCCACTTTCTCTGTGCAAGATGGTGATGGGTGTCGTTTTCCAGACGGGCACTATAGCTCTCATTGATTGATTCAAGGCCTTGTTCATTCTCTGTATGAGATGCTGGTTACTAGACGGTGTGTCTTTGTTGGGCTGGCTCCACCGCGGCCTGTTGGTGCCCGGGTACCACGCTTCAGATCCGTGGAGTAGCACCGGCTCAACACAAGCTCTGACGGCACCTCGCACGGCACTCGGAAGAGGGCCATGTATTGTGTTGGTGAGTCCTCGCAAGTGGTAGGCGACGGCCTTTGCCTTCGCCGCCCACTTCTCGACGTGAACGCGGAATGATAGTCTGCTGTCGAGCCAAATGCCAAGCCAGCGCAGAGCTAGCTCGGGGTGTTTCTCGACATCGCCGTGACGTACTGCCGGCGCGGTCCTGAGCTTACTGCGGGAGAAGTGCGTCACTTCGGTCTTCTTTGGGTCGAAGGAGACGCCGTTTGCCGCGCCCCAACGCACCATCTCTGCGATGGAGCTGGATGCCATGGCGGTAGTCTCATCTACTGTGTCGCCTATAGACAGGATGGCAGTGTCATCTGCATAGCCGAAGCGACCCCAGGGATTGCCTAGTCGATAGATTGGCTCAGTATAGAGTAGGAAGAGTATCGGCGATACCGGCGATCCCTGAGGGAGCCCGCACTGAAGGGGAGAAGAGGGCGTGACGGTATCCTGGTACCTGACACGCGCAGACCGGCCGCTCATGAAAGAGCCGGCCCAACGAGCCAAATAGTCAGGCCAGCCTTGCTCACGAAGGCGCAGGACGAGCCTGTTGCGCATGACGGTGTCGAAAGCACCTTGGACATCCATCGTGACTAGAGTCGCCACCTTCTTGCGTGCAAACGCTTCTTCGATATCGTGGATCAGGGCGGTCACCAGGTCTGTCGCAGACCTCTTGGGAAGCGCCCCAGCTTGTTGTGGATGAAGGACGCTGTAGTGGACGGCTGCCCAGGCTAGACGGCGTGCAATCAGTCGCTCTAATCCCTTGCCAAGGCAGGAGAGCAGTGAGATAGGCCGCCAGGCCCGTGGCTCAGTGAGGTCTCTTCGCCCCGGTTTCGCGATCATGACCACCTCCGCCTGCTTGAATGGTTTCGGATGATGGCCTGCGGAAAGGCATCCTTTGAACAAGCGGCGGACATGTGTCCCGATGATGTGCCATACGGCTTGGAGAAGATTGACGGTGATGTTGTCTGACCCTGGCGATGTATTGCCTGTCTGGATGGTCGCACACTGCGCTTCATCTAGCGAGACCCCGGCTGAGAAAGGAATCAACCTAGGAGGAGATACTGGTGTCCAAGCGTTTATGATGTCGTCCCCCGCAGTTCTTCGTTCCAGCGTAGCCTGTCGAAGCGCGTTGGCTTTGTCCATCTGGGTTTCGTACACGACGTTGTCAACCTGCAAGGGCGGGGGCTGAAAGGCTCCAGGGGATTTCAACCATCGGACAGCTTTGAAAACAGCGCTACTGCTGGAGAAGTTGTCGATGAGGTTCCGCCAATACTGCCTCTTAGCCCGACGGACCACACGATGAAAGTCTCTTTTGGCGATCTGAACGTCCTGGTTGAAGCGGCAAGGGTAGCTTCTTCTGATGGCCCGGAAAGCAGCCGCAGCGCAGGCGCACTCCTCCGTCCACCAGGGGGCTGGACGTCCGCCTTTCCGCGCGGGCCGGCCAGCTGCTTTCGCTGCTGATGTTAGTAGACTTACAAGTGAAGACGCGAGTTCGTCCAGCTCCGCAGGGGTCGAAGCTGTGAGGGGGATTTCCGTGGCTCCCAGGTCTACAATCTCGACGAATCGTTTAAGCTCGTCTTCCGTCTTAACTCGGATCTTGGCCGGTTGTACCGGAGTCGATCTGATGTCAAGGAAGGTCAAGCTGAGCGTGAAGTGGTCGGAGCTAGTGGCGAGATGGTCCTCGACGGTAGCTTCGGCCAGTGGCATATTGGTGAAGGCCAGGTCAATCGTGTTGCCGTGTGGATTTGTCGGGATATCTAGAGTGTTGAGAAGGTTGAGGTCATTCTCTGACGCCCATCCTGCTACCTCATGGCCGCGGTTCGTCGCTTGGCCCGTCTGCCAACTACGATGCCTGGCATTGAAATCGCCAGCAACGAGGCAGCGCTCCGGAACAGGCCAGCGAAGCAGCGTGTTTAGGGCATCCCTCTCGTCGTTCTGGCGATAGAAGTTGACTACCGTCATGCCGTTGATCGTGAGCCAGAGAATGTCGCGAGTTTGAAAGGGCCGGATCTGGTCAGCGAGAAATCTTGGGTCTCGCCTGACATATGTCATCACTCTAGGCCGAGTGTCGTTGCTGTTCCACATGTCGACTGGCGTGAATGTGTCGTATGCCGGGTGAGTTTTGGTCAGAAAGCGGGTCTCTGTATGAGTCGTCCACGGCTCCTGCAGGAGTACAATGTCATATCGTTCCGAGTCGGCCAGCGCCAGGGCGCAGTCGTGGGCCGGGGGGATCTTGCCGACGTTGGCCTGAAAGATCCTGAGCGGCTTCTTGTCGTTCCTTCGTGTCTGCGAGTGTCTATTCCTAGTCATGAGGACGAGTGATGAGAACTATTCGGCGCTTTCGCGGTGAGCCCGGCCTGGGATGCTCAGGCTCCTCCTCTGCTTCGTAACCGACCTGGGGCGTTGTGGCCACCATGATGCACGATGGTGCTCCTGATATAGCTGGGCTTGGGGCACGAACGCTCGGCTGCTCTTGTGATGCGACATCCTCGCTTTGTCGTTCATACGTGCTGTTATGGGCTTCTTGGTGCGATTCCGGTTGTGCTTCTCGCTGTCGTTGTCGGTATGCCTCCGCGCCTACGGTTCGGACATGTCCTCGCTGCTCTTTGGTAAGTCGGCGCAGCACGCCGCGCACTTTCTTCGGTCGAGCTGGGCACCTGTGAAAGTTAGCCTGGTGAGGGCCTAGGCAGTTGATGCACTGTTCTGGCGCAGCGCAGTCATCAGTAGAGTGGCCGATCTTGCCGCAGCGTTGGCAGACTGGCCGTCTGTGACAGTTGCGGTCAGAGTGAAAGCCCCAGCACGTCTCACACTGTCTTGGCCGGTCAGTTTTGTCGACAAGCCTGGCCGTGCTGCTGCCAAACAGCGACCAAAATCTCTTTGTGGGCTTCAGAAAGGACACAAGTAGGGCCTTGGTTAAAGGGTTATCCGAGAATTGTCGCGCCGGGCGTATGTCAACAGGCTTGAGCCCCGTCTGGATTTCTATCTCGTCGCTGACGATGCTGTCACTATCCACCTCATTGCCGTGAAAGTCGGTCAGTCTTTTGGGAAAGTCTGAGACCACATAGGTGAACCATTCTTTGTTCGTTTCTACTGCTATAGGTTTCAGTTCAGCGGCCCATTCAGCCTGCTTTTCTACCAGAAAGTCGCGTATTGCCGAGTCGGCAGCCAAGACGGCCCATCCAGACCGGACCTGGAACACCTGTCGGATCTTGTCCGAGACGGCGCCGAGTTTCTCCCGGATTAAGGTCCGGATGGCATAGCCGCTGTGGGCCCTGGCCGGGGCTCCGGCTTCTAGACGGATGAAGACACGGAGATCTTGTCGCAGTGGGGCGATGGTCGGCTGTTGCCCTTGGCGATGAGGTGGGTCGGATTGTCGGTGCTGCTGTTGTTGCTGATGGTGTTGCTGATGGTGTTGCTGATGGTGGCGGTGGGCTGGGCGAACGTGGGCAGCGGGAAGCGAGATAGCGGCGACGCTGCTGTAGCTGGGCTTGGGGGTCGTAGGTCCGGAGCCGGAGAGCTCTCGTTTCCAGATGCCGAGGAAGCTGTCAGCAAGTTGTCTAGCGAAACGGCGTTGCGGTCCGGTGGCGAATTGCTGAGCCGCTTCTTCAAACTTGGCGCAGAAGGTTTGAAAGACCATCAGCTTGGCGTTGTACTCTTCCGCGTGTTCTCGAGCGAGATCATTGGCCGACTCGATAATAGAGATTGGTTGTTGTTCAGAGATCGATGGTGAGTTGGCACGCGCAGCTTCTTCCGTAGCTGCAGCAGCGGTGGCGGCGATAAGTGGTGAGGATGGAGTCTGGGCCATCTGCCTGGGAACGGGTAAAACACCAATGGTGCCATTCACGGTCGCAGGGCTATTCTGCAGGAGAGCTGCACGGGCTCCTCGATTCAGATTAGCGGGAGTGTGGATCCCTAAATCGAAGGGGTCTGGGGCAGCGGGCGGGCTCGTCGAAAACGAGGCCATCGCCGCGGCTTGCGACTGCGCAAAGCGCAGGTTGAGTCGTTTGTTGTGCACTTGTTAAGGATTTAGGTGTAGACAGGGCCATTTTCTTAACACTTGTATGCCAAGAAAGTGTGATGACAAAGGAAGGTGGTCTATCTATCTACGATTACGTCAAGGTTGCAGGTACAGGGTAACTCCGTACACACAACGGAGAGAAGGGTCAGAACAGCTCAGCGCACATATGGAGGTTACGGACCGCTGCGATGTGCTTAACTAACCTATGTGTTCTTTTGGATGGTTAAGAATACTTCAATAGTGCTTTAAATCAACACGAGTAGACTAAGAGAGTGGACCGAATGACTTTGAGTAGCAATATTCCAAAAGTTGATGGATGTTCACATTTGCGTACAAAAGCTGGCACAAGCATCATCAACTTTTCTGCAAGAAATATAGAAGGATGCACGACGAAATAGATATCTAAGCAGTGGCTGCGGAGAAGGGAAGGAAAGTAAACTCTGTTGCAGAGCGATCAGCTCGAGGTTGACATGGGCCTTTGAGTACCGTATAATAAGGAAAGAGAAAACACTTGAAAGGACCATACACCCAGAAGTTAGTAAGAAAATTAGCTGTTTCTTACTTGAGAATATATAACAATTTGGTGTATTTAACACTATTTGTTGCTTCAGTTTTATTTACTTTGGGTTCATTTATATATCCCAACTGTAACACTAAGCTTTAGACTGCTCTAGACTACCAGCCACAGATTTTTCTTTTAGATGCGACCGCAGATTTTTTAGTATTGCCTCATTATGTTTTATCAATTTCCCAAGATCCTTTTGAAAGGATAGTAACCCCGCATTGTTCCCGCTTCTTTTGCTAGATGCCATCGATGCTGTATCGCTGTGCGGGGTGATCGGTCTCCAGTTGGCCGACTGCGATTTTGATGTGGTTACTTCGAGAGGTAAAGGGTTAAAAAGATTGGGACACTTCAAAATTAAGATAATGTTAGTTTCGAAATGGATCAGAGGATTCCCAAGTCTAAATATACCGATTGGAATTCTACAGAGTCTCGCCATATCATTGACTGAGACTCGAAAGGGTCTTGAGACAAGTTTGGCGGGAAGTTTAAGCAGTTTTGCATTGGTATTCTTGCAGTACCGTTCTGAGTGGAATTAAAAGTGTCCCAGAAGGTACAAAACCATTGATACAAAAGCGCCGGCTCCGTTTGAGATCTTGATCGATCCTCTGGTACTGCAAGATATGGTCGTTCACTGCGTGATGAATGTGAGCTCCCAAAATCCGAGTCCAATAAAGAGGGTATGGCATCATGCAGCTCAGCAGTGGATTGTTGGCCTGCGTAATCCATCACTTCGTGTCGGAGATTACAGTCGGAGTTGAGAAGAGCTTGCCCACAGCTGAGCATTCCGACTGAAAGGAAGTAGTCGTAAATCTGGGTACGCAGAAGAGTATGGTAGTCCCCATTGGGAGGTAGTTGGTCTGGGAACGTTTGTTGGATTGGACACACGTTGTAGTACTTTGACAATAAGGGGTTTTGAACCATAGTGGCAAAGGGGATTGGAGGGACGTTTGAACTGATGTACTACTGCAGGCCATTGCTAGCCTGTTACTCCTATTTATTCTTATACCAAGAAATCTATATTGCTAGTGAAACGTTAAAATCGCATTCTCCGTGGCATGGGCTAGACTTGAGAATTGGCGGGAGAACATTCCATCGGCGCCCACACAGCCCCTGCGCCAAGAGCAGATCACCCCACTCAACCACAGAGAGGATTCGCATCTACCTGGATATTTCTGAATGTGAAACGGGCACCGCGCTGGAACCTGTTGCAAACTATGTACATGGATTGGGTAGGCACTGGCAAACTCACCACTACATCAACTGACAATCGAGCACATTGGATGCGTATAGCTAGCTGTGTGTCAATGCTTTGAGTAATGTTGTCTGCAAACAGGATGGCTATCCTGCCCTTGAAGGCTTGGCTGACTCAATGATAAAAAGGGGCCACACAAGGATGGCCGAAGCTGCGCTGGGTTTCCGCTCATCGCCTACTCGGAATACCCCTCACGGAACCAAAAACGTCATGATGGCAGTGTCGCCGATCGAAAATGGACGTATGTGGTCTGCTCTGCAATCTGATTGGCAGCTGCGATAATTTCCTAGGCAAAGGCTGCTTCCAGTTGCTATTTTGAGCCACCTGAATCGTATGATTTAGACGGTCGATCACTCTTCGCGTGGACGCTACTCGACGACTAGACGATGAGCTTGATATAGAGCTTGACTGTACTAAGAGTTTGAGCTTGGCAAGTATTCAAGTCTCATTTGCTGAATCTGGATGCTTCGTTTCATTGGCACGCCTAACCGCTGGTGGTTGACAGTTCACGTGTAGATAGGAAGCACATCTATATCAAATGTAATTCGCCACTCAGGTGCCAGGCTATCAAGCTATGCTGGCATACAAAACTCTAATCTTCGACCTGCAAGGGGTACAACCTTAAATTGTCCCTTGCCGCTGATCGGTAGGCAACCTTTGTTGTTATTCTGGGGAGGTGGTCTGATTTAGCAGAGCCTGGCTGTGATCATTTCCCAGCTAGGCATTTTGTCAGACGCCGTGCCGCACGACGCCATGTCCCAAATTCAAGAGGCTCACTGATTAGACTGCAATTGCCTGTTAGAGACTGACTTTATGACTGTCATGAGAGGGATATGGAGGTTTCATTTGAGTGTTGTTTACATTGCGCAGTGGTACTGAGTGAAAATATTGATTGAACTTGATTATTCATTATTGAGATGAGAGTTCTTTTCGGGTTTATATCTCTAGATGATTTTATCTAGGACCTTGAATTCTAAATCTAGGCCTTTTAGACTAATAGCCTGAATCCAGAAGGGAATCGGGATCCCCGGATTTTCCAAACATTGCTGAAGGACAATTTGGCTTAGTACCCGCTAGCTCACCCAAATGAGTCTAAGAGCTTGGTCGCAAATTAGAGTACCCTTAGTATAATACTGCCAAAAGCATCATGCCTCATTGGGTGAGTCGGCCTAAGGACTTGCCTTGGACTGTCTTTAGCACTAGGTTTCGTCATTGGCAAGTAAAAATATCCGAGTTTTCTCCCTTGGCTTCCACTTCAGAGTTCAAGATGCATTCTATCAGTTCTTATAATGAACTTGTCGTACATTAACCGGTCAAAAGAGAAATTCCAGCTCGGGGGCCTCTATCCCTTGAGGTGTGTTAAACCTCCCGCCAGGTCACAGCAGTGGGTTACAGCCAATTCAAATGCGTCAATCAAAAGATACCTGTCGCCCCCCTATTTCAGCCTGTGATAGAAGTACCAGCAATCTCTCGAGTTACAAATCGCTACATCACACTGCTCACGTTCCCAATCTATTAAGAGGTTCCACCCATGTACCTCCTAGAAGATGGTGGGCATGTGGGGCCTGGTACGGCCGGGAGGTTCAACACAACTCAAGGGATAACATCTATCTAGTGCACGAAATGTATAGCTTCGCTATCCGTTAGGTTATTTGTTAAAGAATTTACTGAGTGGTTGTAGTCCCATACTTTGTTCACAATTGTTCTTATCCTCCTCATCCCATCAAGATTGATGGCACTCTTAATATATATTTTACGTTTTTGGATAAACTTCCGCCAGAAGCGCACCGAGTCGAAATTAACTGGTGCAGTTCCGGTGACGTTTGTAGTGCAAGGATAGCTATTATGATCCTCTCCTGAATCACTCGTAGGGTTCAAGGGTTTATCAAAAGGCGATTGTTCGCGATCTAGTGCCTGGAATTCTAACCAGTTATCGGCCAGCCCCAAGAGAAGCATGTGGTTCAACATGTTGAGTAAGCCATCTGCTAGCCTCCTTCCAGTTAGCTTGAACTTATGTTCGGCATCGGAGTTGTGAGTGGAGCCAAAGTTTAAGCTATTTGGGTCGCAGGTAAATAGCTTCGGGACAGGTTCACCTGGTCCAAAGTTTTTATATAGTCTCTTTCAGTGCAAGTGTATTAAAACCGGTCACCTACTTTATACATAACATTATCTCATTTTCTTTAACACTGAGATTGTGCAATTGAAATCCCCCCTAAAGTTAATTATTAGCTACTAGCTAATATCAACAATTAATATTAGTATAGTTAATACACTGCTCTACTTAGGGACTTAGATATGCCCATAGCGACACTTTGGCAGTTGATAGGCTTACACACTAGTAGTATGTCGGACGAGGCAATTCTGTGCGATTCGAGTCCGGGCTTCTAGAACCAGGCATGTCTTTTGCAAAGGTCAACAAATCACATGCTAGTATTAAGTAAGGAAGGTTTCCAATGGGCAGTTGTTCAAAGGGGGGAATCTACTTAGCCAGACTAGCCCATTCAGGAAACAAAACCCGCCAAGACTCAGACTCTGACCTTCCCATTTGCTGTTCACTCAGGTCGCATTTCCACCCAATGAGGCGCTTTGAGTCGGTGTTAGCGCGTGTGCCATCTGTACAATACAATACAATACAATTTATTACGCCCGGCGGCCTGCTCTGACCGAAAGGGCACTAGTCACTAATGCTTACATACAACGCCTGCTTTTCGTCCTCGTTTCCCCAAGCCCATCCTGTGCTACACGTTGCTCAATCTGTATCCGCATTTCCTTAAGCCCAGACTGTACCTTACTTCTCACCATATGAATTGAAATAGGTCTCCTCGAGCCCATACTGCGCCTGTTCCTCGATTGTGCTTTTTCCTTCTACCCTATTGCTCCCTGCGTTTTCCCGTGATTTACTAGCATAGTCAGCGAACTAGCTTGAAGGCTATTCATCAAGTGTTCAACGTCCTATCTACGGCGGCTGAAGCGATGTCCGCTTTTATAAGACGGGGTGTTTGGTGTTTAGTGTAAGTAGGTTAGTAAGAGTAAGTGGGTGTGATTCTTGCAATCTGGTTTCAGTATTGTGTGTCGAGTCGGCCTGTGGCCATTGCAAATCGTATAGTTGCATGGGACTGCCTGTATGTTTGGCGTCCACTTTGCGTCATCTGATGGTGATTTCCCTCCTAGGTAGAACGAGAGGTTTCCTCTCAATGTCTCCGTGCACTGCAACATTTCAGTCCTATGCGCTGTCCATTTCGGTCATCGAAAGAGAAAGTGCTCTACTGTCTCTATCGCTTGCCCGCATGCGCATTGCTGTGACGCTGCTACGCTGATCCGGAAGAGGTATCCATTTAATGCCATCTGTACACTGGGGTTGTTATGCGGTGCTCGGTAATTTAGCGTCTTGGCGGATTTTGTAACCAGAATGGGTAAGTGAATTCCACAGGGAAGCAAAAATATCTTCCGATCACATAATGTGGGGTTCTAGCGGCAGCTCGGTGCAGCTCATACTGTTGATGGACTTTACTCATGCCTGCGCCTTCCACGCTCTAAGTCCGAGGGCGGGCTGAGATAGTTCTAAGAGGATTGCTATGTTTATTACATTCCTCATTATTTGGGAGCTGCCTGTGCTAATCCGTGGCGCTGTGGAACTAATGCCTTCCTGGCTTTCTGATTCCAGTTGTGTGGAATTCTCATGAGTTGTTTCTAATTCCCATTTCTGAGAACGCTGGGAAAAAGAGAAGGAAATAAAAATTACAATAGCTTAAAGCAGCATTTATTCACTGTATCTCACATCTTCTTTACCTTCTCACGTCGGCCTTACTTGAGCTTCAGCGTGTCGGATTCAGTTGTCTAATTTGCCCTACCCCTTCTGTGGAGGTTTAAGAGAAAGGTCAAGGACCCTGCGGAAACTCACCCTGTGTTTCATTGTTTTCCGGCCGGCTTGGCAGGGTAAGTTACGAGGCTGTTCAGATCTTAATTAGCTTTGGGATAAGACATTCCCCGGAAGTAACTCATACACCCAGTGAACACTATCCAAGATTGCTAATGCTTCCGATCAGCGGAAATACTAAAGGTTGAAATAAAGGCGTTAGATCTGCAGAAGGTAAGCAAATATGCTGAAGCAGAACAAGGGTACATCCGCGAGTTTCCAGACATGGAGAGCCCAGAGTCCCTAATAACCACAAGGGTCAAAGTATAGTTGGAGAGGCATGGCCGAGCCATTTGGATGGAGGCAAGATAAAGTAGCCACATTTTGTTTATACCACTTATCCTTATGAAACAGCACATATACACCTACCAATTAGCTTCTGGATGTAATATAAGAAGTATTTATGTTATGATTAAAGTCTTTTAAGTGAGTTTTTCTATATTAGGTTAAGACAAGACCAGAGCTGAAACGTGGCGAAGCATTAACGATAATATAGTTCTCGTATAGCTAACCTTGCAACAGCCACGACTAGTCTTAGAGTAGACTAGAGTATAGCATTAGCGTCGCAACTGTTGGATGTTTCAAATGGGGCAGTGACACACTGACATGCCATACATTCCACAGGATTTAGTTGCGCGCATAACTCAAATGACTTATACGAACTTTTCGCTCTTATTAAGGTGATCACTGGGTGAGCGATCACTATATCCACTAAATGTGTTAGTGGTGATTAGACTGGGATAGGTTATGCGCAACGCAAGTGCGAGGCTGAGTATTTATCTCTCTGCCAAGACTAACCTGCGACACGCCGCAGCTCTGGCATTAATGGACGTAGAAACGTAACCCTAGAAAAACATGTTATTAGTTCCTTAAATATTACTGCGTGCCACGCGCTTTCTGTAGAACACGATCTCTGCATATTTCGGACCAATCACGACACTCACTTTAAAATGAACCAGCTCTCTCCGAGCACCACTCTCTGGCTTCGACAGACCCAAGCATTGACAAAGAAGATTCTGCTCATTACGGTCGTTCGCCACTGGTTATCAACATTAATTCGCTGCCTCGTCATACCAATCCTCGTCCTCTCGCTGGTACTGGGGGTCCAGAACTTCACCTCCTCGAACAACAAGTACGGCATTGGCAAGCCCACATCCGCTCCGATCCTTTCCGAAGTCACTCCCGATGGCGCGAAACTCTTCATCATCCAGCCCTCTGGTGCGGGAAGCGACGTCTCCGCTGTGATCAAAGACGTGGTCAAACCGCTTGGGAAAAAAGCCAAGATAGAAATACTCAAGGACGAGCAGGAATTGATGGAGAAGTGCCCCACGGACATTAATGGAAAAACAGACTGCTATGCCGCTGTCATCTTCAACGACTCTCCTCTGAGTGATGGCGGAAACAAACAGTGGAACTACACGATGCGATGCGGTTCCTCCAACGTTGCATCCAGCTTCGACGTCTTCCAATCGGCCAAGGCGGCGACGAACCCCTATATCCCATTGCAACTCGCCATCGACCAAGCCATCACCAACTCGTCAGCAGTCCCCGACATGTACATGTTCACTCGCACTACCCAGGAACAGGCCAAAGCAGTGCACCGCCGTAAGTTCATCGATATGGTCTTGGGAGGGCTGAATCTCGTATGCTTTGCAAGCATGCTGTCCCTTGTCTACCACGTTGTTGGCACCATCGCATCAGAGCGCGAGTCGGGCATGACGCAGCTGATTGATGTTATGGGCGGAGGTGCATTTTCTGCTCGAGTGCTGAGCTATCTCATCGCATTTGACATTATATACCTACCGTCCTGGATTATATTAGGAGGAAGTAAGAAAGGCGATTCCCTATGATGTCTTTCTTGTGCTAACTCTCGCAGTCTACTCTAGTCTGCTCCTTCCGACTTCTAGTGCCGGCATAACCATCCTCTGGCAAATCCTCACCGGATGGGCTCTGACTAGCGGCTGCGTCTTTGGTGCGACATTTGCCATCAGATACTCTACCATCCTCGCCGTTATTGCCCTGATCGGCATGGCTGCCTTCGCACAGCTTCTCGACAGCCAAACAGAACCGATAACCGCGAGCGTCGCCATGGCATTCTCCATCATGTTCCCCAGCTGCAGCTACATCTTTGTTCTGAACTCTATGGCTCGATACGAAAAGGCAGGAAAAGCGACCAACATTTACGCCATACCCCCATCCCCTGGCTTCGAGGTACAGAAAGCTACCATTGGGACGCTCTGGTTGTGCTTGTGCTTGAGCATCGTTGCTTTCCCCTTGGTCACCATCGCGATCGAACGATTTGTCCATGGAACCAGCCGCGGGCGCCAATTCAAGACGGGCCCTAAAGCAGACAACACTTCATTGGCCCTCCAAGTCATCGGGGTTACAAAGACATACAAAGCCAGTATATGGAAACGGATGTGCTGCTTCGGCAAGCGTCGTCCCGTCATTGCCGTCAATTCGATGACCTTTTCAAGCAACAAGCAGCAGGTCCTCTGCCTGCTAGGTAGTAATGGCTCTGGCAAGACGACGACAATGGATCTCATCACTGGAAGACAGAGCCTGACGGGCGGGTCAATTCAGATCAATGCTCCGGCATCCAAGATTGGTAAAACCCTTCTCCCATCCGAACTCCCTGCGGCAACTTCTAACTCTCGGCAACAGGCTTTTGTCCGCAACGAAACATACAATGGGACGAACTGACGGTTCTGGAGCATGTCAGCATATGGGATATGATCAAGGGGGGCACGTCAACCCGAGCACGGTTGGAAAGACTTGTCGAGTCGTGCGATCTGAGTCTCAAGATGCACAGCCGGGTTGGAACGCTCAGTGGTGGACAGAAGCGCAAGGTTCAGTTGGCATGCATGATTGTTGGCGGAAGCTCGGTCTGCCTCATGGACGAGGTTACAACAGGAATGGTAGTGTCCAGTCGACGCAACCTGGCTGCGAGACCAGTTACTGACCAGTTATAGGACCCAGTGTCACGCCGAGCCATCTGGAATATCGTCCTGGCCGAGCGCTCAAAGCGATCCATTATCCTAACGACGCACTTCATCGACGAATGCGATGTCCTGGCCGACCAGGTTGTCCTCATCTCTCGCGGTCATGTTAAGTGCCAAGGCTCACCTGCAGAGCTGAAGAACTTATACGGAGGGGGATACCGCGTTCACGTGCCACAGATTGACGGCATTCCCCAGACACGATTCCCAGCAGTCGCCCACCAAGGCGAAACAATCTTCAACACACCCGACTCGGCCTCTGCTACCAGGCTCCTCTCATCCTTGGAAGCGGCAGGGCTGTCCGATGTCGTGGTCTCGGGGCCGACAATTGAACATGTCTTTCTACAAGTCGTCAATGACCCTGAGGAGTCGGAGAAGACGACTTCTGGCATTTTGGAAGATGATTTGATACCCCTCACTGTGGTGGATCCAACGACGGACGGTGAACTGTCCTCAGGCACCCGAACCACCTTCACCCAGCAGCTTGCAGCTCTGACAGTAAAGCGCCTTACCATTTTTCGCAGCAACTTTTGGTGGTACATCGTAGCCATGACCCTCCCTCTGGCTTTCTCACCAGGCGCCACGTCACTGTTAAAGGTTTCGGACGGCATCGACACATTCCCATTCGAGCTGCCTTTATGCGTCAGCTCTCAGCCATCCATCTTTGACGAGCCCTGGCCCGTTGATATCGTTGCATCGGGATACGCCGACGAGGTCGGCTCAGGCGTCATGTCAATGCTTGTAGGCCCGCAATCGACACGTAGGAGTGTGTTTGGCGTCATCGACAAGTTTACAATTGGAGAGAGGTATAATTCCAACAACTTCGATTCCGACTTCACCTTTCAAAACGGTTTCAAAGCCTTCCAAAACCGCATGCGCGAACCGGTGAAATTTACTCCAGGCGCCATCTACTTTGGTGATGACTTGGATAAGGCAACTATTGCCTACAATCCCGAGCTCGGCTATGACACACCCGTCTTGATGCAAAACCTGTATAGCCAAGCCGCCAGCGGCGTTCCCATTACAGTGCAGCTGGCTTTCTTCAGCAACTCAACGCCTGTGAGTCTCAACTAGTCCGTCTTCCAACCAGTACTAACAGTTCGTCTCTTAGGCTGACGCCGGCTCCGGCCTGATTGCTGCAATAGTGAGTCTTGTCTATACTTTCTCTGCCTTGGAGCTTTATTAATCGACATAGATACTTGCTTTCCTCCACTCTCTCTACCCTGCTTTCTTCGCCCTCTACCCGACCTACGAAAAGCTGCACAAGGTCCGAGCCCTTCAGTACTCCAACAACGTCCGCCCATACCCGCTGTGGGCCTCATGCATGATCTTTGACATGATTTTCGTCACCATCATTGCTTCCTTGGGAACGCTCGCCCTTTCGGCTCATGTCGAGAACTGGTACTTTGCTGGGTACATGTTCCCAGTCATGTGGCTCTATGGAATTGCGAGCATGCTATGGAGTTATATTATCTCCCTGTATGCCACTTCTGAGTTGACGGCCTTTGGCTTAACGGTTTGTTCAATGGTTGGTACCTTCACCATCACCATGATTGGTTTCTCAGTAAGTCCTGTCTGCTCAGTGGCCTCTTCCTGAGACTTTCCAGCTAACTAGTCAGCTCGGCGCAACCAACCCGAGTCCCAGCAGCCCCACCCTTGCTCTGGACGCAGTCTCCTTCTCTCTCGGCCTGCTGTTCCCCATCATGAACCTGTTCCGGGCCATGGCGGTTGGCCTCAACATCTGGCTCGTCAGCTGCCGTAACTACAAGCTACTTACTAACCCAGGGGACATCCATGCCTATGGCGGACCTATTATGCTGCTTGCTATCCAGATTATTTACTTATTCCCTCTTCTTGTCTGGCTGGATGGTCAAAGGTCTTTCTCTTGGCCGTGGCGTCGAACGAAGCAGGTCAATGCTGAAGAGTCTATCTCGAACAATCACCATGGTATTGAGATGAATAATATCGGGAACGAGGGGTCCGTCTCGGATCTGCTTCGTGTAACGCAAGTGACCAAGTCATTCGGAGGCAAACTTGCGGTCCAGAACGTATCGTTGGCGATAGGCGAGAGCTCGGTTATTGCGCTGCTCGGCCCCAATGGCGCTGGCAAGACGACGCTTACAAACATGATGCGTGGTGAGATGGTTCCAGACAACGGCAGAATTTATGTGCAGGGAGTTGAAGTGCAAGGGAACCTCCAAATGGCGAGGAAATCCATTGGCGGTAAGTTTCAATCATTTCTCGAGTACATTTTTCCATCAATTACTAAACAGCATGACACAGTTTGTCCACAATTCGACGCTCTCGATAAGATCACTGTTAGACAGCAACTGAATTTCTATGCCCGGATCAAGGGCATCAGCAACATAAAGCAGAACGTTGAGCTGGTCATGTCCAAGGTTGGCCTAACACCCTATGCCTCTCGCCTTACCCATGTCCTGTCAGGCGGCAATAAGAGGAAATTGAGCCTCGCGATTGCACTACTAGGTAAGCAGTACTTTGACTTCGGTCCTTTTGAATTTATTATTGACAAGTACGCAGGCAACCCCAGAGTCCTGATCCTTGATGAGCCAAGCTCCGCAATGGACGCCTGTACGAAACGAGAGATGTGGAAGATGCTCTCTTCAATCACCTCGGGGCGCTCCGTCTTACTGGTTGTAAGTCTGTTCCGCAGTCTGCTCAACTCATCGTTCACAGTACCCATGCTAACCTTGTTGTCATTCAGACGCACTCTATGGAAGAAGCTGATGAGCTAGCGACCCAGGTAGCTATCATGTCTAAACGTATCCTGGCCATTGGCACAAGTCAGCAACTCCGAAAGCAATACAGCAATGTATACGACGTCCATTTAGTGCTTAAAACAGCACCGGGCTCGTCACGTACAGAGATCCAAGAACTTGAGTCCTGGGTTCGCGATGTCTTTCCGCAAGCCTCTTTCGATGCCATCAATCTAGGTGGACAAGTTCGTTTTGTTATGCCGGTTGCATCAAGCTTACCCGATGATGGGAGGAGCACTGTCCTGAGGTTAATGGAGATTTTGGAGCAACACCGGACGAGCCTTAGGCTTGCACACTACACGGTTGGGATGGGAACGCTAGAGTTGGCATTTTTGAGGATTATAAAGAACTGTGATGTGCCAGAGGGTTAGAAGGCTAGAAGGAAGCGTTTTTGGTAAATTATGAGTTAATAGAGCTTTTTCACTATCTAGAATTCAGGATATATTGGGACATGGGAAAAATAGTATTTTTCCCCTAACACGACGTCATAATAACTACCAATAGATCCTGTGGTGTGAATCATAGTCGAGAAACTCCCAAAAATATACGCAGGACCTTGAATCTTCTTGAGAGCTTAGCACTCTTATCCTCCTAGTACCCATTAAATAACGGATATTTGTTAAGCATATTGATAGGAGATTCAGCGCCCTAACATTCAACTGTCAAGTCCTGCAGGAGCATACACATGTCATTGTAGGGGTATGGCACACCACTATGCACAATAGCATCCCGGTAAATCCGCAATAGCTTCCTGGTCAAGACCCTCAAACTCTCCATAACCACTGACTTGTCTTTCAGACATACCAAATCGGCAAGGGATCATGCCATGTCCATGCCTACCAAAACCCTAGTGTTAACGGCATTAACTCTGGTTGGGTGCAGTTTGTTACCATTTCTAGTTTTGCTCTACAGACTCTAGATAAGTATCGTGGGAATTTCTTTATCACTCTTAGGTCGAAAACCATAGGCATACGGCTGGGCAACATAGGGAGTACATTATCTTTCTCGAATATCATGTCGACTTCAAAAGCTCTGTTAGCAGGTGTTCGCTTATGACCTTTGGGAAACGCCTTGACTGGTAGATTGAGTTTCTATATTCGCGGAAGGTAGGATTCCAAATGGGTGTTGGAGAATCCGGGGATCCCCCTTCCCTTCAGGATTCAGACTAACAGTCTGAAAGTCCTAGATTTAGAGTTCAAAGTCCTAGATGAAATCATTTAGAGATATAAACCCGAGAAGAACTCTCATCTCAATAATGAACAACCAAGTTCAATAAAAAATATATTTCCACCCAGCACTACTGCGCAATATAAACAACAACACTCGACAATCTCACGCATCAGATGAGTGACCAGAGACCATCACAACGACGACGAGTAGTCGGAGAAGAGGATAGCGATGTGGAAAATGCCATCGTTCTAGAGCCGACGCCCCTTCCGATCGCGTCGAGAGAGGCGAACAGAAGCGGGGAAACGGGCCGTGGAAAGACAACGCCGGATGAGCCCCCAGTGGGAGATACAGGATGGGATCCAGACCAAGAGTCAACCAGATCGAGTATTCATGTTGCCACAGACGAGCGCGAAGTGTCATCGGAAGAAACAGAGGGGCATGCAGAGTCCCGGCTGCCCGAAAGATCGACCAGGGGACAGCTGCCATCGAGATACATACTGGCCAGCACAAACTTCGCCTTCCTAGGAACAGTTGCAGAACAACTGTACCTAGTCACTCGCGACATCGATCAGTCCGAACCAAGAACCTTCAGGGAAGCCACGCAGGGCGTACATGGTAAACTCTGGTGGGGAGAACTGAAGGATGAACACGAATCTCTGGTCGAGAATGGTGTCTGGACCTTAGTCACGCTGCCCCCAGGACGAAAGGCCCTTCGAGGCAAATGGGTGTTCAAGCGCAAAAGAGGAGAAAATAGGCAAGTTCTACGGTACAAAGCGCGATTTGTCGTGAAAGGATTCGAGCAGAGGGAAGGAATTGATTACAACGAAACCTTCGCCTCTGTTGTCAAGCCGATGAGCTACAAGATGATATTTGCCATCGCGGCAGCACTCGATTTGGAACTGGAACAAATGGATGTCAAGACAGCATTCCTCTATGGCCTCGTAAATGAGGAGACATACGTCCAGCAACCCGAAGGATTCGACGATGGAAGTGGGAGAGCCCTGTATGGACTGAAGCAAGCACCAAGAGTGTGGTACGAGACTCTGTCAACGTTCCTTAAGACGCTCGGGTTCAAGCCTTTACTTTCAGATATGGGAGTCTTTGTGAAAGGTCACACGTTCATTGCGGTCTATGTGGACGATCTACTTATTGCCCGGCCCTCCAAGGACGAGATCGTGGCGGTCAAACAAGCTCTGTGCAACAAGTTCAAGATGACGGACCTGGGCTCATGCAAATACTACCTGGGCATGTCCGTAAGAAGAGACAGAGCCACCCGATCGATCTTCTTGTCGCAGACGGCCTACCTTGAGAAAGTACTTAGAGACTTTGGAATGGACCAGTGCGCTCCCAATGCCACACCAGTTTCGACTAGCAAGTTCGGAGAACCAGGCCCTGACTACAAGGCAGCGGACAAACTCAAAGAGTGGTATGCCAAGGCGATTGGGTCCCTGATGTATCTCATGCTGGGGACGAGACTCGACATTGCTTTTGCTGTCTCCTTATGCAGTCGACACCTAACGAACCCAACCAACGAGCATCAGACAGCTGTCAAGCGTATCTTTTGATACCTCAAGGGATCACAAAATCTGGAACTAGTGTACCAAGGAGGACTGCAACCTCTCCTCGGCTACACCGACTCGGATTGGGCGGGAGACTTGGAGACTCGAAGATCAACGTCTGGATATGTGTTCAACCTTGGTACGGGCGCTATCAGTTGGAGCTCGAAGAAACAAAGAATTGTGGCCCTGTCTTCATGCGAAGCAGAATACATGGGGCAAACCGCAGCCGTAAAAGAAGCAGTCTGTCTGCGAGGTCTGCTCCAAGAACTGTTGAAAGAATACAAGGAGGTTCCAGAACTAAAGACAACTGTAATTTTCGGGGACAACCAAGGAGCGATCGCAATGTCGAAGAATCCACAGTTCCATACAAGAACCAAGCACATTGATATTCAGCACCATTACTGCAGAGAGAAGGTCAATGATGGAACTGTTGAGTTCCAGTACATTTCAACAGGCAAACAAGTGGCCGACGGCCTAACAAAGGCCTTACCAAAGGATCGTTTCCTTCTATTTAGAAACGCACTAGGTCTCAAAGAACGACGACCATGAGAAGGTGCAGAGATGAACCAATACAGGAGACATGCCATGGACAGACAGGAGACCCACAGATCCAAGATTGCACGGAAACATGAAGAAGGCGCAAAGATGAGGTAGAGTGGGAGAGCTTCTAAGCAAGTAGAAGGAAAGCCACGATCTCAAGGTTGTGCCGAGCGTGAGGACCGTGCAAAGGTGGACTGAAGTGGGAGACCTATTATGGACAGGAGACCTGCAATTTCAAGAAAGATTTCAAGACCTGCAGAGACAGGTGTAGGCAGGAGATCTTCTGTGGACAAGAAGAAGACCCACTGCTCCAAGATTGCACGAGACCATTAAGAGATCCTGAGCGCCCATGTCGAGATAGCTCTTTCCCTGCAGTTTTCACCCACGAAGGTGTTTTTGGGGTTTTAACGAGGCTCGACAGGCGTGTATATCGAGTCCAACAGCAGCTCGAGTGGGAGTGTTGAGACAGTGTGGCTATGGTGGTCCGATCTGCTGGTGGCTGGGATGTGGATACTATGTAAGGGGTTGTGCTCCTCTCGGACACATGTAACTTAGAACGAACAACAACACAATCAACCCGTTTTTGCTTTAACACAGGTTCTGTGGTGCATCGTTAGGATGGGGCGGCCTTCATACTACACAAATCTAGTTGTAGACTCTAGCAAGGGGTAAAAATATATAAGCTATCAAATGAGTCGGATAAAAGTCGAGTCCTTTTTCGGTGTTGGTCTGTGGAATCCATCTTTCCCCCATCTATTTAATTTGCAGACCCCCAGTAACAGGTCAACAAAGCCAATAATTTATAAGTAAATTCTATCACAGCGAGCTACTTCACGGGTCCCTGTTTTCGTCGTCAATAGCAACCTCCTTCACCTTGTTTGATGTGGTAACTACTCTAGCCATGTCCAATCAATATCCTAAGGCCAGTCTTTGCTTTCTGCAAGGCAGCCGAGTTCTGGGGAGTCTTCATGACCGTCGGTCATTCGGCACCCCGTTGTGAAGCGATGACCCTGCTTTATCCACGATCTAAGAAGTTACAATAACACCTCAAACATCTATTTAAGCCATTAGCCAAAAATATATATTGACATAGGGGAACCAACAAACAGCGTCATCCGCCTAAGCGACCAGACGTCGCATACAATCATATTTAGGGATCCGCCCACGACGATCTCCCTAAGTGCGGCAAATCGCTAGACAGCTTCCCAAGACGTTGACGAGACGGGTTCCGAAATAACAACCGCCACCGACCTTTCCTGTAACACGACGGACGATTTCGGCCATCAACCGCATAATATCATGGATATTCGGGGGGAGTGACATAATTAGCGCTTGTTTGAGTGTCCCGTCTGCTCTGGTAAGCTATGGCATTTCCTGAAGGCTATATCATCCCCAGTCTCACATATTTAGCTGCCTTTCAGATGTTATCGTTATCCGATAGAAATTCGTTTCAGTGAGCATTTTTCCGCTGCCATATGGCATCGTGGTATTGCTTGGCCGCTGTCTTTGCCGTGTTTCTAGATCTGGAGTGCACCTTGAGGCTCGGGCTCGGTTCCTCCAGTACGTTTAGATATGTCGTGGTTGCGTGAGATTGTCAGTCTACTACCGCTTTGCGTATGGCGACGGCTTGGCTCTGGGCGTCGATGCCTGGACCGCATCTAAGACGGCCGATATTAACCTATCCGTTTTCTGCTGCACCATATTCCCCAATGGCCTGCTTCTCAGCTTATCCGTGATTCTGCTATTGATCTTTTCTAGGGCGTACTCTTAAATAGAAATCTTTTTTCTTATTTTTGCTAGCGTCTGTAAGCTCTTTAGATAAGCTATCTAGTCCTTTAATCCTAAAATATATAACGTTAACTGTCTTATAAAAAAGTAAGCTAAATAAATAGCTAAACTAGGGGTAACTTAGATTAATACTTACTCATTAACATCTCTTTACCTTCATAATTAAATAGCATAACAGTTACTTATTTATAATTAAGGTTATATATATTCCTTATAAGGTCTAGATCCTGTATAGATAACATGTCACTTATCTATTATTTCTAGACCTAACATAACTAGTGAAAGCTATGTGCTCCAAATTGAACCTTTGATAGCAAGCTTCGCTGGAGTATATCACCAGTTAATTTCCATAAGGCTGCGCTAGGCTCACCATCCATTCTGAATACCTCGCAAGCCGTCGTAAGCGGAAACATGATTGACAATGGTCCAAACAGCGCCATGCAATCCTGGAGCAAGAAATCTGTCCCTTGAACAATTCTGACACACAGCTCCCTTAAAGTTTTCTGGAAATGATCTCCTAGTTTGCAGTCTGATTGGACTGGCCAGTCGCAAGATACATGGGGGAATCTGGTCCGCAGATTTCGGATCTCAGTCAAGCAAACTGCTTTGAACGCCCATAGATGCATGACCACGTTGGCGACAGATACACTGGGAAACCATATATTACAACCCGCCCAGGCCGATGAACGTTCTGATGGAATTCGCCAGCAAAACAAGCCAGTAGATGGCTCTGCACCTAAAGGGTCGCCCCAGCCTTGAAGATGATTATGGGTATTTATCAGTAGGGAAATTGCCTCTGTAGCAATTATGGTAGCTACACGGGGAGGGCTATGCTCAAGGGTGTCGATAAGTTCGAGAATCGTGGGTATACCAGAGACCTCACTGAACAGACGTTGCATGAAGGATGGGGGTTGGGTCTCAAATGGGTCTGTTTTCCAGTCTTCACTGGAAAGAAAAGAAGCCTTGCGAGATGAAAAAGCTTTCAGAATCTAGCTGATGAGTCAAGCCCAATGAATCACAAAGAAAGGGGCGAAGGACTTGCCAATAGGGGTCTAAACCCAGTGAAAAGCTTATGACGGATTCCGAGACTGAATGACCTGGCAGGCCAGAGCCTCATCCACTCACCAACGCCATCCACATGGCGCCACCAACCGTTTCTTGAAGTCGGTAATATCGTCTACACAAGAGACGTCTCATTAATCTAATATCCTTTGTAAGGTAATGACTACACCCACCTCTGTCAACGTGAGGCACATGATGGCCACGGCGACTTCGTCTCGTGACGATATGTCTATCTGCGGCCGTTCAAGTTCTCCCTTCAACGAACGCATAGCTGAACCATATTTATCCAGCAATTCAGCGCGTGTTGAGTGTGAGCTTTGCCGCAAATCAGATATAGATGCTGCAAGGCAGCTTATTGCTGATAAAAGAGCCTGTCCCTGCCCACCATTACTTACGATGGGAAGGACTTCAACCCAATTACCACAAATACGGGACTCGGTTGGTTTATGTTGACAAATGGCAGATAACTCACCTTCTGGCATGAAACTTTGCATGATAAGCAGAACCATGCCTTGGACGGAATTATTCGGTGTGCTAGGGATCATGTCGATCACAAGAGGTGGTTTCGGTTGTGGCCGTTGGTTGGCGCTTATACCACTGGTGGTAACCGCTTTTTTTCCAGGCTCCTTAGCAGAAGCTTTTGAGCTCTTAGCCTTAGTTTCGAGAATGAATGAGAAATCCGAAGGGTAACAGCATTCGCGCCCAGTATGAGTACATTGCGAGCAAGCTGGTTTCCGTCCGTCGCACTATGAGTGGGTCAGCTGACGGCAACAGGTCATGACGTAGCGAAAGAAGATACCCCTAATTTGCGTGACCTACACGTCTGACAGATTTTCCTGTTTCGTACCTTCATCGTAATAGAAGGCGCTGGACGGATGCTTGATGGAATGAGAATGTAATGCTCAGAAAACATGCAGAGATGAGGTGGGGTTGCTTACAAAATCATGATATATAAGCTCAGGCTTGGCGGAATTAGACACCTATAGAAGTTAGTCCACTGAGCCTAAAGTTCTAAGCTCGAGACTACCCTTGGGTCAACCAATCATAGCGCGAACGTCAATGAGCACTTCCTTTGTCATCACACTTTCTTGGCATACAAATGTTAAGAAAATGGTACTGTCTACACCTAAATCCTTAACAAGTGCACAACAAACGCTTCAATTTGCGCTTTGCGCAGTCGCAAGCCGCGGCGATGGCTTCGTCTATGACGATCCCGCCCGCTGCTCCGAACCCCTTCGATCGGGGGATCCACACTCCCGCCAATCTGAACCGAGGAGCCCGTACAGCCCTCTTGCAGAACAGCCCCGTGGCCGTGAACGGCACCATTGGTGTTTCACCCGGTCCCAGGTGGATGGCACAGACACCATCCTCACCACTCAATGCCGCTACTATCGCTGCAGCTACGGAAGGAGCTGAGCGTGCCAGCCCCTCATCGGCTTTTGGACAGCAACCAGTCTCTATCATCGAATCAGCCAATGATCTCGCGCGCGAACGCATAGAGGAGTACAATGCCAAACTTATGGTATTCCAGGCCTTCTGCGCCAAGTTCGAAGAAGCCGCACAACAATTCACCACCGGATCGCAACGACGTGTCGCTCAACAGTTTGCCGACAGCTTCCTCGACTCCTGGAAACGAGAGCTCTCCAGTGCCGGACCTACCATCCCCAAGCCTACCTACAGCAGCGTAGCCGCTGCCTCGCCTCCCACTGGCCGTGACCGTCTAACCCACAGACAACAACAACATGGACGCCGCCAAACAGATTCACCTTATCGCCAAGGGCAACAAACGACTATCACCCCACCCCGACAAGATGTCCGTGTCTTCATCCGTCTAGAAGCCGGGGCTCCTGCCAGAGCCCATAGTAGCTATGCAATCCGAACCCTGATCCAGGAAAACCTCGGTGCCGTCTCGGACAAGATTCGACAGGTGTTCCATGGCAGATCGGGATGGGCCGTCCTGACTGCCGACTCTGAAACACGCGACCTTCTCGCAGTGTTGCTAATAATATGGCAATAAAGTAGTACATTGCAATATAACCCATATGATATGGACTGTCTCAAATTGTAACAATATGATATGAAGATTTTGATATTGTGACAATATAATATGAGGCTGACCATATTGGCAATATATTATTTATATTGGGATATTAATCCTGGGGTGAAATTGCCTCTTGACAGTTGCGGGAAGGCCTTACCCTATACTAGCGACAGGGATACTTGGCATTTTATTGGCTACCCTACATGGGGATTTCGCTGCATACCACGAACGATTCAACCACGACGACGCGCGGGTGACTTGCTCGTGCGGACGACGCAAAGCACCTGACCATGTCTTCTACTGCAGGAAAGTACCGCGGCGGTGTCGAATAAGGCTCGTCCCCTCGCCGACTGCGGCGGTCAACCTCGCAATAGGAAGGAACTTCGACAAGTACATCAAGTTGACCAAGTCAAGCGCCTTCTTCGAAAGGATATGCACTCGTTACTAGACGAGGCAGATCGGAGATGCATTTGTGTCTCCTCCTCTCCTTCTATCTTCCTTTCCCTTCTGTTTCTTTGTTTCTTTTCTTCATTCTCACGGGCTCAGCCGCCTCGTGCGGTCACGCCAACGCCCTCTTCCCAGTCTCATTAAAGACCGGCCGATATATCGGCTACCGCTATGATAGCCGCACCTGATCATCCCGCTGACGGGTAACAGGCTCGACAGGACGCGCCTTTGAGCCGATGATATGCTGGATAGTGGTCTGTTCTGTAATTTACGAAAGCTTTACGTAGATTTTAGCACTAGAGACTCTAGCTCAGCACGTCCTGTGCACAGTAGGGGACTTTCCGGGGCCCATGGCCCCCGGACGAAAAATATACATACATACATATGATCGATCCAAAGCCTACCAGGTGATCAAGAGCTACTTTTTTAAATAAAATAAAATCTTTTGTGCCCTTAAATGTTGCTTGATCTATATTTCAGTTTGTAAATCAATGTTGTGGTGTCGTTGCGCCGAATAAAGCTATTTCAAACTCGTTGCATGTGAGGGTCAAAATCCGGAATCCGAAGCTTGACATTGATCATTGATAATGGCAAAGTTCAGACGTTTCATTCTGGGGACTTTTTTTGTCAATAGGGTAATACGTTTCATCTACCAGTAACTTCTCTTACATTCTCTTGGCTAATGGCCGCCTTTTTCATTCATTTTCCACATATCTTTTTCTCCTGTCGATGAAGGTAACCCTCACAGTTTCATCCACAAGCCTTGTCCTTCTTGACGTCTTTTCATCTCGCGCGAGGCAAGTACGAACAAGCCTCCAACAACCAAGGTGCTTCCTGAGAAAATTTGCGCACCGACATAGGAACCTCCACTTGCGGAGATGATTGCACCCGAAATCGGCGATCCAAGTAAAGCTCCAATTCCAACACCAGCAGATATTATTCCGAGCCGCGCTCCAATCTTTGACATGTCGGAGTTGATGATAGCTACCACGGCTAGGAAAAGTGACTGAACTCCACCTACAGAGAGACTGTAGAATACAGTCCAGACGTAAAGCCCTGGAGTCGAATGAACTGGGATCCAAGTGTACATACATAGAGCAGATGAAAATAAGAATGCTATGAAAAGATTCATCGTGCCAGTATATCTGGCAATGAAGCTTGGGATTAGACGGGCTGGAAAGCCGATACCGTTCAGAACAAGCGTGAGGTTCAGAGAGTCGATATATGATAGCCCTTGTTTCTCTCGTGCGTAGGAGCTGAGGAAGAAGAATGGGAAAAAGACGCCTAGGAAAGCCTAGAATTTTATAAGAATATAGTCTGAATAGTAAGATCTGGGGGCCATTGGAGATAGTAACTTACCAGGAATGCCCCAAGAAGATATAGGATGAATGCTGCCTCCCCAAACACCGGCCAATCTATAGTGGGGCCCGGCTTTCTAGGCGACTGCCTCGGCACACCGGACACTAATGCAATGGCAAACGTGCCCAGCTGTATAAAGCCCATCGCCCTCATAGTCCATCCAAAACCGATTGTTGGTAGTAGCGTTCTCGCCATACTTGGGTAGATTAGACCTCCTGTCGTGCTCCCACAAGCTGCAATTCCCATGACAAGCGGTAGCCTTCTCTTAAAGTATGTGGTAATAAGGGTCATCATTGGGGTAAGAAGAAGTCCATTACCGAGGCCGGTACATAACCCTTGGGCAAGAAGAATTTGCCAGTATGTTTGACTTAGAGAAGTCATAAATGTCCCAAAAACGACGAGAAATGCGCCGATAATCGTGGTGATGCGAAAGTAGCCGGCATCTGTAAGACGGCCGCTGATGATTCCTGTGAAAAAGAGGAAGAACACGGCTAAGGAGCCGACCCATGAGATATCGGAGCGTGAGCGGTGCAAATTCGAGACATAGTAAGTTTGGAAAACGCCGAATGATATGATCATGCCCCTTTCATATTTATCAGCTCAAGGGGCACCGCTATGGGTACGGAGAATGTGACAAACCAAGTATTCATAATTGTGAGGAAACAAGCCAATACTAGGGAATTAAGAATTAGTTTTGCATGGCTTACTTCGCTCAAGGTTTACCTACCAGCCATCCAGGCTATCCAGCCCCCTTCTGGTTGCGCAGTTGTTGATGCGACTGGGTCAGGAATTCCGTTGCTCAGAACCAGACTCGGGACAGGCATCAAGTCTGAATCACCTTGCCTTTCAAGGTCTTGTTGGGGGGTCGATGAGTGGCCTCCATTTTCCAATTTCGGTTCCATGCTGCTGGGAGAGCTGCTTGCTTGGTCGTGGTCTAGTGGATTGTTCTTCATGCCGCGCCGTATTGTCCTTTGGTTGGTAAGTGTATCAATGTAATACAAGACCGATGTATTGCTAGGATCAACATCTCTGGGACGATGATTCAAAATTGTGTATTTATATATACAAGGAGTCAGAAAATACTGGGTCGTGCTCTGGTAAGGGGGACAATGAGTTGGGATGCTTTCAAATGCCCTGGCACCTCTTTTTCAGCTTATTAAGCACCAGGCAACTATAGTTCAAATTGCGTGTGAGAGCTGATATACACGTAGTAACTTACCCAAAGAAGCTAGCTACGCAGAAAGACGCACGCCTGGTATTTAAATTTGCTGCCCCCCCTTGTAGCCATACATCATCAATCGCTCCGGTAGAACTCACCGTAGAGCTAGACCTAATATGGATGCAAAACCCGACTATATTTCCTTGCAGATCAAACTCTGGAGTGAACAACAGTGGGTCTGGCCACTAGCTAAAAAATTGAATGAATCATGCCATCACGACTACATTTCTGTGATTTCTTCATTGCAACAAGACCAAAAGGATGATCATGGCTAACTTGAATCGCATTAGCTATCTCTCCCTTGGCAAGAATACGTGCGTGTACTGAAAACATTCGTCATTCGTAAAGTAAACAATGAAGTGGAATCATATTGCTATAAAGAACTATTCTCGATCCTGTCGACTAACATGCGTTGCTTAGGTCATCCTTGTAATTCGAATTCATGAATAGTATTAGTTCTACCTTCACATCTCTCTTACTTGATTTTACAAAAAACAATCAGTAGAGCATCTTTTTATTATTCGCCACGGCTTTCATCATCTACCATCTCATGCTAATAATACCATGATATTTTGTATTATGTGCGGCGTCGAAGTCTATTTTCTACATGAATACCCTGAACGTCATCTCCCACCTAACCCGCCTACCACCGAAAGCTTCCTTTTTCGCGTCCAGATATCTCTCAATTGATTTGAACAGACACGCCGGGCTTGAGCCAGCGAACATTGGACAAAATACCTTCCTCCTCAAACTCTTTCTTGAGCTCCTCCTCATGTTGGGTAAAATGATCCCAGGACTCATAGTGCATAGGTACAAGCACATCTGCCTCAATATCTCGGAAAAGACGAGCCGCTTGGCGACCATCCATAGTGATCTGGAGGGCATCACCCGGTTCTCCGGGTTGTCCCTCGTTATTGAACCCATCGAATGTAGCTTTGCCAAGATTCATAAGGGCAACAGCGACATGGTACTGATCAGCTATTTTGGCAAGCTCCTCGATATAGACGGTGTCGCCGGAGAAAAAGACGGCGTTCGGGCGACCATCAGGGGCAACACCGAAATCTTCGGTATGCACAATAAAGCCAACGCATTCGTGGCCGGGCCAATGCTTGCAAGGAGTGGCGGTGATATGGAAAGCCTTTCCAGAGATGCGGACCTCTCTCTTCTCCCAATCCTTGAAGCCAAGCACGCTGGGTCGAGGAGCGAGGTTCTTTGCACCATCATCTGTGGTGACGACGTGTCGGCCATCGAGAAGCTGGCGGCCGAGCTCGTCCAGATTGTCAGGATGGTTCTCATGGCTTAGAAGAACGGCATCGATATGGGGAAGCTCCTCCATCTTGATGGCCGGGTCGTCATGTACCTTGAGTACCCCATCGCCAACAGTCGGCCATTCGCTGCCGGCGGGAGAGAAGAACGGGTCCGTCAGGAAGGTGATGCCATCGATATCGAGAATTGCCGTAGCAGTCCCGATGTGAGTGATGCTGACCTTGTTCTTGAATGTAGAAGCAGACATGGCTGATAAGATTTGGTGATAGAAAATGAAGACTAAGCCGGAAATTGTTATTCTGGAGCAAGATAATATGAACGTGAGCTATATTTATACACACGGGAAAATAACGAGGTGGAAAGTATGAATTCCAAGTTACTAATTCACAAACTTCGATAGGAGCAGACGATTAGTAATATAACGTTTTCAAAACAGAGAATGCTGAGTAAAGCGGAAATGCCGACCAGGCGTCACGGCCAACAGACAAGTAAGTCATTCCGGATGGGCTGCCACTTTGCCACACAAAGTTAAGGTGGGGGTACTAAGCCAGGAAGGGATGCAAAACCCGAGCCACGTGATATCCCGCAAGGGGGACTGGGTAGCGTTGACTCGTTGACAAACATCCACCCTCGTCTCTTTGCACACACAGCATCTGACGCGAGCCTCGTTGGCGTCAAGGGTTTTATCACAATTCCATGCATCGTCCTTCGCATTTTGATTCTGAAAAGGCACAAGACTCACTCCACTTTCCCCACTGAGGGCGCCTGTACCTCGGCAGAGCCTCCCGACAGACTCTCTCCCCTCGTCGCTGAGCGCCATGAAGGTTCGCAAGAAAAATCTGTGTCATACTTGCCGGAGACGCAAGCTTGGTGTCAGTTTCCTTTCCCTCCCTGCCTCTTCACGGATTATCAGATTTTCCACCCCTTGGTCAGCGCATCCCCACTGATTCACATGCATAACGTAGTGCGACGGAAAGCGCCCGGCCTGCTCCCAGTGCCTGCGCAGTGATCGCCACTGTGAAGGATATCCAGGTGTGCTCTTCGCGCCCATTGTCTCCGGCCCAGGCTTGCCAACGTCAACGACTTCACGCCCGGTACGGCCATTGAAACGAATCCCGAAAGACCCAGTACGCGCCACATCTATTGATGTTTTCCCTACTACATCTACCACGAATGCTGGTGATGGAAGCAACGGTTCATCGCCTTCTGACGAAACAATCTCTGATACTCTTGTACAACGACCGACTAAATGGCCCTACGCACACACGATTTACCCTGCACTTTCGGACCCCTTGCAGAGTAGAATCGAACGGGCAGCGGCCGTTATGTGTCTTGCTCTGGTAGAGGTAAGAAACTAATCCGTCCTGCGCGCTCAAAGCCCTCTTGGATTTTCTTTATATTGTTATAATGGGTGACTTTGGGGCCTTTAGGACTAATTGTTGATTAGGTTCTATCACCGAGAAGTCCTGATAACTGGCTGGTGCATATGCACGGCGTGAGCGAATTGATCCGCTTATCACCACCCGAGCTGGTCAGCTCTGGCATCCAGCATAAGCTGTTTATTGGCATCAGGCCACTTATGGTTAGTAGAGCTGAACATGAATGGGAACGGCTTGTCTGATCTTTCAACTCACACGATCAATCTATCAGGTGATAAAAGCTCTGATTTTCCGCAAAGCGACATTCTTGGCAGAGGAGCAATGGACTACGGAGCCATTTCAATCTCATGAGCCATCACCCTTGCAGAACCTCTTCAGTCTGGCCGCCGCCATCCCGGACATACTTGAAAAGATCGATGCGTTGGACCATGAATCGACCAGCGCGGCAACCACAGAAGCCAAGAAGAGACTTGCTGAGCTGACGGAGATGAGAGCGAGCCTCGAAGCGTGGCGCTTTTCATTCCAGGCAGAACCGCAAATGCCTCTATGCTGGCCTCGGGCCGCCGGAGACAACAATCGCCAGAGCAATGGTAGTTTGTGGTTCCCGAACTTGAGCGTAGCCAACGCCCTTACTCATCTGTGGTCCTTTCAAATACTCTGCCTGTCACACATCCGGGACATGTTGAGGCGGTTTCCCGAGCTGGGAGAAGTCGACTCCATGCTAGAGAATCCTGACAGGCTGCGGAAAGCTTGCATTGAGCTCAGCGTTAGTATTTTCCAGAGCATGGAATACTTAATGCAAGATGAATTCATGCTATACGGACCTTTTACGGCGGGGTTTCCCGTGTACACGGCACGTCGAGCGCTCGAAATGCACGAGCAGGGGAGGGCCGTTCTTCAGAAGCTCGACAAATCTGTTACGGATCGCATTAGTATACATGTTATTCTCGTTCTCCAGCAAGAATCCTATCGCCGGAGAACCGGAGTATTAGTCTAGAGATGGGAAACAAACAACAGTGGCTAATAATTATGTATGATCTCAGGATAAATTAACCAACACTACTTACTGTAATAATAACTCCAACATCTCTATATCTGCTAAATAGCTTTCAGGAGCATTAGTGTTGTTGATATTAAATGGTGTCCCAGCCCAGACATGACGCGTTTCAAAGCCTGCGATAATCAAGTCTGTATCCGTGCGTACTTCTAGCGGTAAACCTTCAGTCGGCGTATAGACGCCTAAAGATTCCGGCGGCAGCTCCGCCTTCTTAGATTGGCTAGGCTGAGAGGCCTCAATCTCCATGTCATTGGTATTAGCACCATGCCCTGCGCTGTCGAAGTCGCACTCCGCACCGGGTGATGTAGGAATCAGGCCCCAATATCGTTCAAGTTCCGGCCATAAATCGTTGAAGGGATTCTTGTCCAGGGAGCTGTGCAAGCAAGAGGCAGCATTGTGTACCGTTCCCGCCAACGATTGGTCTAATACTGCCGATGCGAATTCTAGATCTACCGTACCGTCCTGGGCAGCGTTGGGGTTGGAGCTGGTAAGGGATAATCTGCACAGATGCCCCGGGAAGTTTTCCTCTTCTGGTGACTCGCTCTTTTTCAAAAAAAAAAAAAAAAAAACGTCCAGGGCTGTGATCAACCGCAGGTAGACATTAGGGTGATTCTCGAGGACATCTGTTCAGCCTGACAACGAAGTCCGTTGCGAGCCCGGAGCTGTTTCCAGCGGGATTTTTGACTGGGCTTCCGCCACAATGGACTTGATCATATCGCGGATAAAGTCCACGAAATCGTATTGGGGTTTGTAGATCCCCGTCGCCTGGACAAAGATGGTGAGGTGATGATGTCGTTCGGCTAACGAATCCAGGCCTCCATTAGTAGTTTGGTGCGATGAAAACTTAGCCCCGAGGACACCTAAAAAAAAGGGGCAATGCCGTGCAGGCCATGCTATCTGGCGTCAGTGAATCCTGTATCAGGGCGAACCTCACGGGTTTTGGTGGGTCCTACGTGCTGAGGGGGAGATAGTGAGCAAGCTGCAACTGAATCAGCTGGTCAAGGCAGGCCGTTGTCCCTGACGTCGCATCTTTGAATATCTTGCTTCAGTCTATATTTGACCAGAGAATCTCGCAGACTGGCGTTGAGCGTCGAAAGGGTTGGCGTAGTTGCGAATCGGCGAGCCTCGTAATGACTTAGAGACGCCATCGCAGAGCTATGTCAAGTCGCCAACAAGCGCTCACACGAGATTGTGAGTTCGGAATAGCGGCTTACTAGTAGTACATATACATAACATTTGTATAAAGTATTGTCGACTCGTGGCAGAAGTCCCTCCCCAAGCATGGCATCTTTGTCACTGGTGTGCTTGCCCCCGCGGGCACGGGAAAGTCTCTCGTCGCGCTGTCGTACTACATTTTCAAGGCAGCCCTACAGTCCCTGGTTCGGCCGAGTTCTCTGGAGTCGAATGGGAGCTCCTCGTCGAGCACATGCTCCGCTGGGAACACCAGCGTGAGCAGGTCGGTCAAGACTGTGCACAAGTTGACGACATAGATGAAAATCTCGACCACTGGTGCTTCACTGTAGGGTCGTAGACACTGGATCGCTCTACTTCATCTTGCAAGTCTTCGTAACTCAGACCATGGTTTTCGTCAAAGTCGAAATCCGACCGCGTGATCTGAAGAGGCCGCCTAACAACAAGAGGTAGTATGCGATTACGGATAATGTAGCATTATAACAAACGCTTTAGTGAGATTTGTCTTTTGTAGTGCTTCACATCGACCGTCTTCGAGATGGTGTACATGGCCGCATGTTTCGGGGCTTGTGCGGCCTGGGCATTCTGTATTGCCATACTCAGCCATGTGGAGTGGGGTCTCTTGAGCCGATACGAGTCGGATGGAGACCAGTAGGTGAGGAGGGCGGCTTGTGAAAGATGGACAGGAGACAACTCAGTCTCAAGATTATACAGCAGCTATGAATGGTTAACAAAGCCGTGGTGGATGTTCTAGCCCTTACCTTTGCCCTCCTGTACACAGAAGCTCTGGCGGCACGAATGCTTGGGAAGCCTAGCGCGACTATGCTAGCTTGTGATACGAACTGGGCCAAGTTAGTCGATGCCGTCAGACCATCGGCTTACTGAATTGAGACGGGCATACGTTGCAGGACGAAAACAGTATCGAGTAGAAGACCAACAGCGGCATTGTCCCCTCGGAATCTTCCGGGGCCTGGGGAGAGTACATGCCCCAGAATCCACCTTCGTCGAGGAAGGGCAGCAGTGGATGGGAATGTTGAAAATATTGCTCCACAAACTCGTCCAAGATATGTCGAACGGGGACGAGGAAACAACTTTGCGATTCAAGGAAGTTGATGTCCTGAGAGGATATAGAATTGAGATTGTTGACGGCTAGGAATCGATAAGCGAAAGCATTCCGACTCGGTAAAGTAGCAGAGATCCCAGAGCTCGGTGGGCTTTCCCCTTCCTCCCTGGGAGTTGTCGTTGCTTGGCCATTGCCCGGGGGGAACAGGTGTTGCCAAGCAATGCCTGGAAGGTCATGAATCTGCGCCGACGCCTGGTTAGCATCCCGAGTCGGTGCACTGCCGTCCGCCAGTTTGTGTAATGTCGGGTCGCTGTAATTTGTCTGTGACGAAGTGCTCAACTCTGTCGCTTCGGCTTGGCAGCCGCATCTACTGTATGAGGTGGATGCGACACCTGTATGACATGGGCTGCGCCGTCACGATCCTGGCTGAATAGGAATTAGCTGGAGTTTGACTTGACACTCAGTTTGAAATACTCATTGGATACCCGAGTCGGCACGGCACACGTCTCATTGTGCCACCGACTGTTGGAGCAGGCTCGGCCATGGGGAGTGACGTCGCAATGCACCTTGCGGGCGCGACATGGTAGACAAGCTACCAGTGTCCTCCTCAAACGCTTTCTGGGGCGTTCACGCGATCGCGCAGCAGCTTTGATAACTCCGAAAGCCATGTGTGATCACCTCTAGCTTCTGATGATTTGGAAATGGGCAGGTGGTTGTCAACAGAAGAAGCGGTCGGATATCATGTCCAACGGTATCTCGTTGGCTCCACTCCAGCTCTGCGTAGTAGATACTCCCATTGTATGTACGCGCGGGGGTCATCTACCCCCCGTAATTAAAGGACTAACCACATTTGGCTAGTCAATCTAAGCCATTGGCAGATAAAGCGGAGGCGGCGTTGCCGTTGCGGGGTCAGATCTGGAATATGTTTGCGGGGTATTTACATGACTCGGTATTGCACTGAGCGTGCTTAGAGGGTCAAAGTGAATGTGATGAACAGCAGCAAATGTGTTGATTGATTATTGTTTGTGCGGGGTATTCCATTCCGCAGAGTTACTTAAAGCATACAGCTAGATTACTAACGCAGTTGTTTTCTGAGGCCGTGAAGATCATGCCTACCCTGCGACACTCGGCTTTTGATTCCCGTTTTGGTTTAGACCTATGGCTTTGTTATCTTCTGCCGAACTTGCCCCCCCCCCCAAAAAGGCTCTGCACGGAAAGTCCCTGAGACCGACTTCTCGCAGTGCCGAGGCACGGCCTCGTTTTTTGGCCCATGGGAAGTGCCGGTCATAAAGCAGAGATAAGCACTATGGGTCTAACCCCGATGAGGCAGGCCACCAAGAGCTGAGAGTCTGATCGACGCGACTTTTCGTTGGAGATCAGATATCGGTCTTGTCGTGATTCCGAATCTCGTCTATGTTTAATTTCCTAATTAGGACCGCCAAGTTGCTGGTGGCCGGGGGCGCTCCCAACTACAAGATGGGAACAAGGCCGACGTAGGGAAAAAGCAACACCAGTCTATTTGCTCTTTGACCATTCCATCTTCATTATTCCTATCGCCGGCAACTTCATATCTGCCTGACCGACACTATGCTCTCATCCGCAAGCGAGCTGGCACCTACCGGCAGCGTCGCCTATGTCAACGGCAATGTGTATACAGTCAACACGGCCCAGCGTTGGGCTGAGGCCTTTATTGTTGTTGAGACGGTATGACTAAGATGGTCCGATCTGCTGAAGATTTCGAGGCTTTCGAGGCCGAATCACAGGTCTTTGACCTTCTCGGCCGGCGCGAGGATGACCCACGACACTGGAGAAAGAAAGGGCCGGTGGGAAAGCTCCACAATATTGTCAAATTCATCAGATCTTCCCCTCAGAGGTGTGAGCTCTTCGCGAGGATCTCACGCGAGAACGACGAAGCACAAGAATATCTCCTGGCGAGTGAGTCGACGGCAGAGCTAGAGGCCATTATGAACAACGACACGAGATGGAACTCCACTTACCTCATGATCTCTCGAGCGCTCCTCAAGCAGGGAGACATCAGGGCGTTCTTAGTCCATCCAGAGGTGGAGAAATGGCTACCCGAGGCCGGCATGCTGAAGGGGGATAACTGGAGACTTTTGGCAGAAATCAAACGTATCCTGGAGCCATTCTACCTGCAAACTATGAGAACGCAGAGTTGGGGTAGCGAAGGAGGTAACGAACGGCTTTGGGAGGTGATGATAGGCATGGAATACTTGCTGGAACACCTTGAGAATCGAAAGCTGTTCTATCATGCTGTTCCAGACAAGGCAGCCGGGGAGAATACCAACTCGCAGGTCGAGCTAGCCCGAAGGCGACCAGACCGAAATCGGCAGCTTCCTGTTAGATTTAGGGATTGCGAGATGGATATAAGTCTGGGAAAGTCAATGCAAAGCTCCTTGCCATGTCGTGGCTGGGGATAATGTCATGATGGATCAGGTAAGCCGTCTGGATCATTGGGAGTTGACGACATGGGAAAGGATCACCGACGTTATTTGAGACTCTTTATCATCACCGCCTGGCAGAAACTCAATGAATACTATACCAAGCTTGGAGAGCAACCGTTGTTCGCCGTATCCATCATTCTCCACCCATCACTGGGCATGAGGTATCTGGAGGTGAATTAGGCGTCGGAAGAACAGCTTGTGCGGGTGAGGGACGCCAAAATTGGACTATCTGACTACGTGGACCGCTGGTACCGCTGCAACCGGCCGGTGGACGAGCAGCGAGAGGCAATTTTGCGCTTTTGTGCTTTTAATCTTTTGGCTCAAATAGTACGTTAAAGGGCAACTCATTATTTAGGGCACAGTACTTCATATTTAATTCTGGTTAACAAGATGTCGCCGTAGGTAACGTGCACACGAGCACTTCAGATTACCTCAACTCGGGGAACCCATCACTGAACACCGTCGTAAGCTCTCCGTCTCTCCATACACCAGTGATCGGTAAACACCGCTGGTACCGGTCAGACAAGAATGAGGCAGCATCACCCTCTAGCAGAACCAAGTCAGCCTTTCTTCCCGCTTCGATTCTTCCCCGGTCATTGAATCCAAATCGATCTGCGGGGATAGATGTCGCGGTCTTGAGGACATCCCCGGGAGTCATCCCAACCTCATGTGCAAGCAAGTACAGCTCCAAATGTACACCAAGGCCGAAGGGAATGTCAAAACCTTGGCCAGACGCATCAGTCCCTGCAAGTATAGGGACTCCAGCCTGATAGAGGGATCTGACAGTTCTGTACGCATGTTGAACGCTGGCCTTTGGTCGTTGATGCTCTGCAAACCCCAATGGCTTGTCTATAGGATCTTCCATCATCATCTTCTTTGCGAAAGGGTCGGCTAGAAACTGCTGACGAATTTCTCGGTTCTCCGTGGTGTGGGAAGCGCATAAGACCAACGTCGGATTGCAGTGAACTTGCTGGGACGCCATTCTCGTGATGAAATCACTAGATGATTCGTCCAGAAAGATGTGGGCCAGGCCGTCGATGCCAGCGTCGAGGAGCGCCATGGCCCCAGCCTGGCTAAGCGCATGGCCCACAGCTATAACACCATGTTTGTGTGCTGCATCCACTACAGCCTTCACGACTTCGTGACGTGGTGATACCAAGTCTATCCCCAAAGTATCTCCAAGCTCGTGGAAAACTTTGATGTAAGAGGCACCGTGTTCCTCGACCTGCTGCCGCACGAAAGGCTCGGCGTCTTCCAGCTCTCGAATCTTTGGCCAAGTCGAGACAACATGATCGACGATTTCGTCCACTTGAGGATGGTCTTCGAGTACCTTCTTGATGATCTGCTTGGGCCAGCCATTTTCGAAGACGGCTCCAAGGCCGCAACACTTGAAATCTGCATATTTCGACTTGTTGGCTTGTTCGCTCGCCAGCTTTTACAACCATTAGTGACACTGCCTACGTCTTCTGGAACAGCACGTACCTTCATCAAGCGGGCATTATCTGCTGGGTCATTGTGCAGATCGCACACAGTGGTGCAGCCGAATCGCAGGGACTGCTCCATGCTGGTGATATTACCCGACATGGCGTGGATATGCGCGTCGAACAGTCCCGGAATCAGCGTGGATCCAGGTCGAGAAATTCTAGTGATTCCCTCTAGGTCGGTTCGAGTCAACTGTCCTCGGCCGACTTCATTGATAAGACCATCCTGGATGATGACGAAGCCTTTCTCAATGAATTCATGACCTGTGAAGATCTTGACTTCTTCAACAACAATGGAGGGTAGTGCAGGCATTTTCGAAGATCTTAACTTAGAAGCTGTGCGAGATTGGCTGAGTTGTGATACACTGTCGTGTGAGTGGGAGGTCTTATACTCAGATGCCGGGTGCCAGGCCGCTTCTTCCTCGACAACGCAGGCTACTGAATACCTTGTTGCGCCATAGGCTAGATGCAAACTTTGTTTTGAAATCTGTTTTCCTGTCTTGACCCTCGTTAGAATAAAATTCGGAACATATGAGCGGAACGGAATTTAGGAAAGATCGGAACAAAGACAGGATAAACTCGGTCGCCGATTCTCTCCGGTCACCAATGTTGCTCTTTTCCGAGATAGTTTTGGAGTCACAGCTTCGGAAGGCGTACCTCCAAGCTGGGCAGCATCACACCGCAACCTACGCGGCTGTGCTTTCTTAATCGGATAGCGGGCCAACAATCCGACCGTCGGTAGATAACACGCTCCGATTTTAGTCACCGTGCAAGCATCATATTATCCACTAACTAGTATCTGACCAAAGGTTGTCCTCTCTGCTCATGCCGAATATATCTATAAAGAGGATTACATAAAACCAAATTATTGGTTCGCTTGTCTTACACATCCTCTTCCAGCACAAGACTTCTGCCACCCGCTTTTATCAATTACGTTGATATTACAATGGACTACTCAGACACATCTATCGCTAGCTACCTGAGGTGCCAAGTTATTGTCCCGCGACGAAACCAAGCTCCACGTGAGACGGTTTCGAGATGGTCGGACCACAATGTTGAGCTCCCGGCAATGATCGTAAGACCAAATTCTGAACAGGACATTGTCGATTCCATCGGCCTTGCCAGAAACAACAATTTGACCCTTCTCCCGGGAAACGGTGGCTGTGCATCCTGGGTCCCCATCACCGCCAAAACCATGTACTTGGACATGAAAAGCTTCAACAATGTAACTGTCGATCAGTCGTCGAGCACTGTACGTGTCGGCGGCGGTGCTACTACTGGCGAAGTTATCAAGACTGTCGTGGCAGCAGGCTATTATACGTTATGGTGCAACTCCAATGCCGTCGGATACGTCGGTTCCATCCTGGGCGGCGGTATCAGCCCTTTCACGGGGCTTCATGGCTACCTTATCGATGCTGTCGAGTCGATACAGCTCATCACCACCGATGGACAAATCCTGGACGTGGGGCCATCATCAGAAGGCGAAGAAAAAGCACTGTTCAACGCCCTATGTGGTGCTGGTCACGGTCTTGGGATCATCACATCAGTCGTTATGAAGGTCTTCTCATTGGAGATCTTGAATATGACTGAGGACTGCTTCTGGACACGTAGGGTTGTCTTCCCTTCTAGTGCTATCGAAGCTGCTGCCAAGGCATTCACGCAATTCAGCGACCCAGATCCTCACCTAGCCATCAACATGGTCTTTTTCAGAGCACTGTCGGGCACATCAACTCTGGGGCCACCAATGATTACACTCACGGCGTCCTATTTCGGGCCCCCAAACGAAGCTGAGCGAGCCGCAACTGTCCTATTTGATCAAAACATCATCGGCAAAGCGGACGAAGCAGAGACCCTCCTTGTCCCTCTGGCTACCGCAAACGATAGAAATAATCATATGAATGCCCAAGGTGGTTTCAAGGATACCTGGACTTGCTTTGTGAGCTCAGTTGATAGCGCGGTCATCAAGGAGAGCTTCGAAAGGTGGGTTCAGGTCGCTGAGCGAGACCAGGGCGCAAAGCGAACTTTGGTCCTTTGGGGCCGGTTCAACACGAACATGGCTGTCAGCCTAGGAGAAAGCCCAGAAGGACAAGGAAAGTTCCTCGGAGTACGAGACCGCGGTGTCTTTACGAACGTGGTCAAGTATGCGGATACACTAGAATCGAACAGGGCATTGGATCAGTTTTGCTATAATCATCTGGATATTGCCAGACGGAGAGATGCAGGCCTGCCGAGGATGCTGGCAAACAACCGGAGACCGGGCATGAATCTACAGGAACTGTATCCCAAGGAAAAGGTTGCCGAGTTAATGAGGGTCAAACAGGTGTGGGATTCGGAACCACTTTTGTGGAGCCCATTTTGAAGAAAGTTTGTTGATATCAAGGTGATCATGACATATTTGAAATCCGGAACAGAAAAGTCTGCATCAGGTTCCATTGTTTGACTTGTAATTATATATATGTGGTTCTTGATTCATTTGGTGTTGGCTTTGCTGTGTCCTTGAAGAATGCAGTAGACTGACCACTGGTCGACTAACAAACTCGAGGTCGGAGAGCTTCCGGTGCAGTTCTTGAGCTAGGACACTTTACATCGCTTACTAATCTCGCCTGGAATGTTATCTGTAAGCTTAACTTCGCGACTATCGATCTGTATGTTATTGGGCGCTTCCAGCGCTGGAGGTATGCTGGCGAGAACCCAGAGTCGGCATTAAGGGGCGGGCGTCCTGGTGCGGGGATCGGGTTAGGAGGAAGATGTATGGATGAGGGAGGTGGGGGGAGGAGGGAAATAGTAGGTTAAAGAGGAAGGAAGGAGGAAAGGCCCTTGTCACATTGTATGCTGGATGGTGTAATGAGCTCGCTGCTGTATGCGAAATCGCGTCTACCAGCCCCTTACATGCAGTCTGCTACTACTATTAAACCTAACCAGGATAGAGACCTACTAGTAGCTATATTACCCTCCCCCGGTAGGCCTAGAGTCCGAATTTACTATACGATTTCGGTTTCCATAACATGGCTGCAAAGTGCCGGTACACCTCGTGCTGTGACCCATGGAATCCGCCATCTTGATCTATTTATGTACCTTAAGTCCTGTGAAAATGTCCATTAGCACTTGTTCTGCTTTGATAGAAACACTGTTAAGTTAGAAGGACCTATTGTAACTTCGTCCACAGTTTTCTAGTTTAACAAAACCCGAACGAATAATGCGTAACCGGAAGTCGCTCCTTTACAAAACATTAAGGTGGCATCCGACGGTGTCGTCCATTCCAAATATACAGTTCCAAATAGACGATTAATGCATGAGTACTTAGGGACCCGAGTAATATTAGCGATTGTCGCTATCATTGGTAAACCCATAGGGCCTGCGTGCAACACCGCTACTGATAATATACACAAGCCACCAGATCCCCACTTGAACTCCGACTCAATTAGAAATATCTACTCGCGTCCGATGGCTGCTTCGGGCCGACCTAGTATGTAAATGCGAAAAAGTTTAAAAAATATTCCGGTACGCGTGATGTGTTTATTATAGTAGTACTCTCAGGCAAAACAGAACGAAGGCGGGCTTCGAGTCGGTGTTAGCGTGTGTCGTCTGTCGACCGGGGTCGTTATGCGGTGCTCGGACAGTTTAACCTCTTGGCGGGTTTTATTACCAGAAGGGGTAAGTGAGTACCACAGGGAATTTAAACTCCCTTCCGATCATACAAATGTGGGGTGTTAGGGGCAGCCGGGTGCAGCTCACAATTTACAATGCCGTGCAAAAGTTCCGCCACATTTCGGACCTAATCCTGCTTTTCATGTGTCTCGGCAAGAGTAGACCAGAGGTGCAGCTACGCTAACCACTCTTGCATTCCGAAATTCCGGAATTCCTGACTTGAGCGTTTCGGAATAGCACCCTCCCCTTGAGGTCCCATATCATGCCAACCGCGAGCTTACCAACGAGTTCAGCGACGGTTTCGATAATGGGAGTTCTATCCTTATGTAGCTGTAACGCTTCATTATTGAACAAGGCATCCCTCGATCAACTTCGCTTGTCGTCAAGGACGACAGCGTTCTGGATATCAGATAGATAGATACCAGGCCCGATTTGATGAGAAAGAACGAACATGCCTCGTCCAGACATGGTGTTGACTGCAGTGATTCTGCGATGCTAGGGGCCCCAAAGTTGCCCACTTACTTGTAGGAAATCCTACTAATATCCTGAGGTCACCCAGCCTGACTGTCCCATTAAGGCATACGCCCCACGATCTACAGAGCATGAGAACGAGTAAGGTCCCAAATTTCTCGCGAATGTCGTTGTTCATGGTGACAAGAGATGGTCGTTATCGCTCAGTTGGTGATTCCTCGACGTCTTTCTTTGTTTTCCGTTGTCGTTCACATTTCTTTCTCGTGATCTTCTACTAGGGATGACATCGCCAGTGTAATTATTGATACTAGTGATCAACCAACATCTGAGGGCTGTATCCATCTTCATTTCGTGAGTTCTGTCTACTCCACTATCTGAAATCTCTTAGTTGTAGCCTGCACAAGCATCTTCAGAGAGGCAATCTGTCCATGACATAAATGCTGAGCCTATTGGATAATTACTTCTCTAGCCTCCGGTGCTATGCCTTTTGCCCCTGTTGCCCATAAAATAGTCGTCTGATTCTCCACCATGGGCTCCAGCTTCACAACACCAACTACCCCAAGAGCAGGGCTTGCTCATGGCTCGATAACTTGAACTTGTAGGTTGTAGGGTCACACTCCAAGATCATCTCGTCGAACGCGACATCACCGAAGTAGATGCGCCTCAAAGCTCCTTGACCCTGGCCATTGATAAGAACCGACTTTGTGCATCCAGGATTAAGAACTCTTTCGGCTCCAAGGGCGGAGAGGAATGGCCAAACTTCGCTCGGAGGGACATCGATGACTTCTTGAGAAGAAGCCATAATAATTCTGTTGACGAGTTCTTGAGTCACTGACACCTTTGTGTGGGAATGACAATGATTTTGCAAACTTGAGAGTGGTAACAAAGAGGTGAAGTATGATTGGGAACAGCCAGGTTCAATAATCTGTCGTTCAGTTGATGCATGTAAATAATGTCACAGTGAAAGGTGGACGATGAATAGCTGAGTCACAGAGGCGTTCAGGCCATAAACCCATGGACAGGCATTCTTTTAAGGATTCTTCGGGTTTTGGATGTGTGCCTAAGTCTGGAGGTTCCGTTAGCGTCGGAAGTGTGGCAGATCACTCAATATAAAAGAGTAGAGCAATGATGAGAGGCATAAAGAAAATTGCCAAGTACTCTATGTTCTAGTATTCTATCAAATATCAAACTTAATCAAATCCCATTTGCGCCCACCTTCCTTCGACCTTTTCCTGAAGCTCCCGGGGATATGAAGAACGAAAATCCACACCCCTAAAGATTCTGTTTCCATCGTATTCCATAGCTAAAAGGCAATTGGATACCATTTTGCCTCCTTTTACAGAACTTCCACGACCATATTTCCGATAGGGAGTCAGAGCAAGACCCATCACCTCGTCAAACACATATTCGTCAATACCTGGTCGGCAACGCGACGTGTATGCCCATATGACATCGCCCCAGTTGTGGATGTTTACATCATCTCCGATCAACAAAATGCGGTTAATTAACATGGTTGCTTTAGCCTTGAAGGCTATGTCGCCAATCTTTCTGCAGAGTTCATCGGGGTTCGTCTTCATCTCGGCCAGCTTTCCATTGTCAACCTGTAGTATGCACCATGTTGCAAGGGTTTCCAGAGGCGCGACTGCATCTTTGATGGGAAGATTATGTTCTTGCAATTCTTCTAAAAGCTGAACTGATGCCATTGAAGCCGTTGTGTGCTAGAACAAATACAGTCAGTGGGTAATCCAGCAGAAGGACTAGATTTTGTAAACTTACCGATTCATCTGTTAGTCGGCCGGGTACAGAAACTGGCAAAATGGCATGGTCCCTATGGGTAATGGCATTAATAGTAAAGAGGGGCTGATTTCCTGCTTCACCCTCAAAATGCATACCAATGTAGTCCTCAAACGGGCCCTCGAGAGCCTTATCCTTGAGAGAAAATGTGCCTTCAATGATGATCTCGCTGTTTGCAGGAACAAGAAGATCACTCAGTTCGCATTTCACCATGTCAAGTGGCTTCCCAGTCAGGGCGCTCACGTATTCTCCCTCTGAAACACCAGGTGGTAGAGGAATCGACGCAGCAATGCTTGCTGCTGGTGGAGCCCCAAGGGCTAGAGCCCACGGGATTTCATCTTTGCCCTGTTTCAGCCACTGATCCCGGATCATGGAGTTGTGTTGCCCAGGAATGACGAGGCATGCCAAACGTCTCTTATCATGAACCATACCTCGAAAAATAGACCAGTTCGTCCATGATTTATCCGGCGTCTCCAAAACATGCACTCCCCAGGTTTGAAGATATTTGCCGCCATCGCCTTGATGCAGTAACGGAACTGGTAGACCCGTCAGGTCTATGTCATCCCCAAAAATCTTGTTTTGTTTGCATGGGCCCGTCGAAAGAATATTTGGAGGCAAAGGATCTCGATGTGTAGCAAGTCGCATCTTTGTAAGAATATCCTTCCAGCTCGAGTCGGGAGGCAGACCGAGACTACGTGCGATTCGACCGTATCTGAACTTGTCGTCCTTTCGAAGGCTGGCAGCGTTTCCGAACATCTTCCACAAGCCATCTCGAGCGCCTTTGACATTGTGGAAAAGCGGCGCTTTAGCGTTGGTCTCGCTGACTCTTCTCACAATCGCTCCGACTTCGAGATCGGGATCAACTTCTTCACGAATATCGGCAATATCTCCATCTTTGCGAAGCACTTCGACAAAATTACGGAAATTGAGCTGTGGGTCGCTTTGGTTTGTATTTAGTAAACTTTTGCTAGAATAATGGCGTAGCTTGATTGGCGAGGACCAAAAGGATATGAGTACTTGACGATGGTTGACACGAAACATGTTGGTGAGTGAGCTTCCTAGTCGAAGTTAGAAGATTTTAGTATTGCTAAATGACCATTCAAGATTCATTAAGGCTTTAACTGAATTTATGATGCTCTACCAGATAATCATTAGAACAATACAGTCGACATCTCACGGAAGCGCTGCGGACCTTGCGTGGAAGTTCCGAAAGCTCGGAACGGAACCCAAAAACCAGGGCTACCTGGCACTACGGAACTTCCCAACTACAGTGCATTGTCATCCGATGCGGAAGTGATTCGACACCGTTTGCTGGGTTGGAACTACTGAGAGCCAATGCTACTAACACAACGCTATCAGTCAGGAAAGCGATCATAAAGGACCTGGAAATAACCCTCACACGGGTTCACGGGCCGTAAAGATATACATTTTGCATTTCCTGATCTCTGCGAATAATTGCACTCGCCATGAAAAGGCTCTCTTTTATCAGACGGCAGCTCCTAGCACCGGCTACTCCAAGAATCATACTCTTCCAGAATATACATCCAACACAGGGGACAAACTCGAGGCTGTTCTCGACAGGCCAGCCATACTCATTCAGAGACACAGCACGAGATCAAACACCTCATAACCTCCGCGCATCGCTGGAGCCAACGAGGCCAAAGAGGATCGTCGTTGGGATTACCGGTGCAACTGGGGCACTCTACGCGATCCACATCTTGACCCTTCTACGCCATCTTGGCGTGGAGACTCATCTTATCATCAGCAAATGGGCATTGGCCACATTGAAATACGAAACATCCATTACCGAGGCTGAGATCCGAGGACTTGCGAGCAGATCATACACGGCAAAAGACCTATCAGCACCTATCGCATCAGGATCCTTCCAGCATGACGGGATGATGATTGTTCCTTGCAGCATGAAAACCCTTGCGGCAGTACGATCTGGGTATTGCGATGATCTGATATCAAGAGCCGCAGATGTCACACTTAAGGAAGATCGCAAACTACTCCTGGCCATTCGGGAAACGCCTTTGAGTTCTATTCATCTTGAGAATATGCTTGCTCTTCGCCGTGCCAACGCCATTATTTTCCCTCCTGTTCCAGCTTTCTATACCCGGCCTGCGAGTATCCAGGAGATTGTTAGTCAGAACGCTGGAAGGATGTTGGATATGATGGGGATATTCACAGATGGCTTTCAGCGATGGGATGGATTCAAGAGAACTTAAACTGAGTCGCACTCGCAATACAAAAGTGCAAGCGGTACTGTTTGACAAGTGTTTATAAGCTTTAAGCATTGAGAATCTAATGGGAATTCTCCTCTGTGAGTACGGGCTACTCATTGAAACAGAAAACTTTGTGAATTAGCAGGCCACCCTCGCAACACCCATGGCGGAGCATCCTGCAGACCATGATCACCGTCCATCGGGAACTCCAAGCCGAAGTTTCCACCGAAAGAGTTCATCTCATTCTCGAATGAGACATTTACTACATTAACAAAAGCTTCTTGTCGAGTCTCAGTCTCTAGAGGAGCTTGTTGTGGCGTCGCAGAGGAATCTGCCGACATGACATTGCTTTGCGGGCCGGCGGTTGTAGATCGGATTGGTTCCCGAGGGACCTCTCTGCGTCCTCGACCGTACGTTTCCATAGCCTGACGGAGCTCTCGAATCCTTTTCCCTAAAATGTCTGCAGCCGTGGACACATCTCCGTACTTCTGGGACAGCTTGCGTGCTCGTACGAAGCATTCATAGATCTGATCGTCATATCCTGGTGTCAAGTCCGGTAACATGGCGGAGCGATGTTCTTCAACGTAGCCCGCCACTAGAAACATAAGAGCACAAATGGACGCCAGAATGTGCTGGTAGCACGGTCGTTGGTTGCGGTATATGTACGTGGTATTGTCCAGCTGGAATAGTGCTTCTGTGACTTTGCCTGCTAGTTCCATGGCCTGTGGGAGGTATAATTTGCTTTTCTCGACGTCTGATGTGGGGAAGAAATAAGGACGTAGCAGAAGACTCCGTATGGACGCAGCTCGGAAGATGAGGAGTAATAGCCACGATGGAGGTAACTTCGACGGTTCAGTGAACCAAGTCTCCATGTCAGACAGATCCTTGTCTCCGACGCACTTTTTCTGCCACTGCTGGATTTGGAAAACCAAGAGTTCCATGACATCATCGTCTATACGGGTATTTCCCCTGGCCGCGAGGGATATTGGCTCGTTGAATCTGTCGCTGATAAGGATGAGCATGTACATTGCTTTCGTGTATGGCATGTTATCCTATGAGTATCTGGGTTAGCTGACAAGCCCGCGATCTATCTTCGGCGTCCGCGAATATGTAGGTGTAAAAACAAGGTCGGGGCGCTCACCAGACAAGCAGACATAGGACTGAACGTGGCATTCGGGAAATTTGCCGGTAAGCCAGTCATAGCACTCCATTGTCGATCGAGTATAATCACAGAACACATCATAGCGGAAGCCTCTTTGCGCTGACCATCAGTCTTGAGAATGTGATTCAGCATGTCGCTGTTGTGGAAGCCGAGGTCCATCAACATGCGTCCAGCTGTGCCACATAACCTCAATGCAAGCCGTGAAAGGTCATGGAAAGTATAATAATAACCCTTGATCAGATATGTTAGTCTGTAGTACGCTTGTGATGAGAGATTGGGTAACTGAGTTGTTTACCAGTAGTAAAGCGATGGTTACTTGTTTAATGCTGGTTGTGGGAGACGTAACGGCAGCATTAGCTGAATGCATAAAGTTGGAATGCAGAACGGATGCCATCTTTGCAAGCAAAGTATCTTTTGAGGCTTGTGCTACTGTAGCGAGCATGAGGACCAAGATAATGAGATCGTCATCATCAGGTTGGGTGTTCTCGCCGCCCAGAGATTGGTTCGGATCACTTGAGTACCATGATTCCAGTTGGCTTCTAACTCTGCCAATATCAACAAACGGATGTAATTCTCCTATGACTTCATGATATGTATTGACAGCATCTTTGGCCTCCTGGAGCGATAGCCATGACCGGAACTGCAATAGCTGAATCAGGTCACAGTGACGCCTGGGCTGCCAGGGTGATATTGACGATGATAGAGCATCGTTACCATCGACACTTGGTAGCATGGGGTGGTGTGATAATGATGTGAGATAGCCTAGCTGCCGCAAAGTGATCTGTACTAGGTTCATGCTATAGTCTGGGCTTGTAGGACCGTAGAAGCAATGGCTAGCGGAGTTTGTAGTGGTATCTGTTTGCGTGGCATACAGCTGTCTATTTGACGTGCTTGTGGCGTCATCAGGTGAATGCAACGGTTGAACAGAAGCAATTGATCCTGATCCTAGGCTGTTCGTGCCACTGCTTTGTGCTTCAACCATGGCCTTGAATTGTCGCAATTGGGTGCGAAAACTTGCAACTAGACCTGGGAGATCACTGTCATGGATGCTTTCACATCCACTACTGGTTGCAATTGGTCCTCCGGGGTTGGTAGGTAGACTGGCTGGAGACGGTGGACTATTGGCTGCGGCTGGTGTCCGAGGTTGCGAAAGCCTCTGATCAGACTCGTCGCTCTGGGACGCTGATGGCTGTGCTGGGCCCCTGGTAGCTGTACCTGGAGTAACACCTTCTCCATCGTAGACGCATGTCTTTTCCCGGTTTTCGCAGTAGTCGCATGGCTGTTGGCCGTCGCATTTGCCTTTCCGTCGTCGACAAGCCGTACATGCGCGAGCAGCATACGGAGCTCGTCGCTTGCTAGTAGCAGTGGGTGACAAATTTCTTGTTCTCTTGGTCCCGTGTGAATGCATTCTGTTGTTTACCGTGGGAGTCAGGAGTCAGGAAAAGAGGAAACGGAAATGGCATAGCAAAGTGTCGCAGGGTAGGCATGATCTTCACGGCCTCAGGAAACAACTGCATTAGTAATCTAGCTATATGCTTTAAGTAACTCTGCGGGATGGAATACAAGACTGTTCCGAAGATTTAAATTGATTCCGGTGAAACCACTATTCCGAAGCTCTAGAGCTGGAACTAGCGCCATGCTACGGGAAGTGGGCCCTAACCCTAATGAATTATGTTTTAGTTAGCCTATTATAGCAGCGCAGCGGAATTACTAGTAATTTTACTTAAATTCCTATAACGTGTTTGATACGTAACCCGACCGGATAAGTAGTCCGACCAGTGCACTGTATAGTATAAAAATAGCTTACCCTATAGAATTTTAAACTATAAACAAAATAGCTAAAAATCTATAAAAAATATTTTTAAGTAGAGTATAGCTAGCTGTGCCAGAAACTGGTTTTGAAATATTTTTATTAATTTTAATTTCTATAGAAAGCCTTAAAATACAATGTATTATACAGTATAAATGGATTTTAAAGTTTATAGCTAGTTATCTTTAAAAGATTATTTTTATTTTATTATTATACTTTTATTTAGCCTAATGGTTTAATATTTATTAGGCCCCTCTTATCTGGCCTAAAATTGTATCTAAAGGTCGCTCGGATTATAGAAGTAGAGGCCGACCTTTATCCACATAAACCGCAACTAAGTCACGGGACCGGGAACCCGGCACCCCGGGAACCCGGCACCCCACTTTCAGCCTCAACACCATAACTTCAATATCTTTATCTATATAAAAATCAATAAAAATAAGCTTAATTTTCATCCAGTTTTTTCCTACTAGTAAAAGAAGCTTATATCTATTTAATAATAGATAAAATAAGCTTATTCCTTTCCTGTTTTAACTATAATAGTATCTCTTGTTTTATAGACTTCCTTTAAGGTAAATACCTTCTGATTTGGATCCAATTTAAGTTTCTTTCTCTTTAAGACCTGTGATTGGTCGATCATCTCGCTTAATATCCTATTTTTATCTGTTACCAAAGCTAATTCAACGGCCCGTTCATCAAGGCCCTTTCCAATCGTCCGAAATAGGTGCCGTTTAGTTGGTGTAAGTGCATTATTGCCTAATTCGGCTCTTGCAAGCTGCATCACATCAGATAGCTTATGTGGTGTATTGAGATAAGGTAATTGAGGGCTCGTATTGGCTAGTGGTGTAGATGGATTACCTAATTCAGCAGCTTGAGCCTCAATTTCGTCCGGTATCACATACTTGCTTGATAACGGTCTCATAACGTTGACAGGCCACAAGCCGGATGCAAGCCAACCGGCCCGGACCTTCTCTTCGGTAAAGGCAGCGGCCCGAGCCTTAAAATAACACCTTAAAAAGGCAGCCTTAGCTGTATTTCCTTGTTCAATGAGTGGGGCTTCCATCTCGAGTTCACGGCGATATATCATCTTTAACAAGCTAAAATTAGCTAAATCAAGAGGCTGAAGGACATGTGATGTATGTGGGGGAAGGTAACAGGGGTGTATATTATGCTTAAAGCAGTTAAAGATGAATTCATCCGTTAAATGGGTATCATGCCCATCTAGGAAAAGAAGCCTCTTTTCCCCTTCCTTTTTGGGCAATGCGAACGGGATGAAAACCTCCTGCAGCCATAGGGCTGTGATCTCGTTAGTGGTCCATCCCCTTGGTGACGTTGCAAAGCGCCAATTGCCTAAAAAGGAAGGATCCCTCGGAAACCACTGTTGTTGCGGCTGATCCCCTTTAAAGATAACAAAGGGAATAAGGCTCGTGCCGTCGGCACAGATAGCTTCCGTTATTGTGACCCAGCTGCGGCTGTGAGGGCTTCGTTTTAAGGTCTTCCGCTTCTCTGATTGGCCAACCACTAAACCGTTGATACCGACCCCTTGGAAGATACCCGTTTCATCCATATTCCAACGGTTGCAGCCGCGGATAATTGTAACCTCGGGATCCTTCAATTGGTCAAACCAAGACCGGATGATAATTGCTTTTGCACCTTCAATACGCTTATATTCAACTCTAATTGCTTTAAGCGTTTTGATTTGCTTAGAGCGTGCGAGAAATCGGGTAACCCAATGCTTGCCGAGAGGTTTGTTATCGCCTTGTAAGCTTAAAATACGGATAACAAGTTGCCGGATTTGGAAATGAGTTAATGGAGTACAAAGGGTATCTTGAAGCCTTAAAAATTGGATGAGATCGGCTTCAACGGTCGGGCCGAGCCGCTGTTGATCTGTATGAGCCTCTTTTTTAGGCATAATGCCTTGAAGTCGGTCCTGTAAGCTTGATCGGGGTACGGAAGCTTCTTTAGCAGCCTTGACTTGTGATTGGCCATTTTGAACAAGGTTAATTGCTTTAAGCATATCTTCTTCTGTATAAGAAGGCATATTGGATTAAGACCAGATGAAAATCAGGGTATTATATCGACTTTTTGGGTAATTGAATTGATGAAAGTTATGGTGTTGAGGCTGAAAGCGGGGTGCCGGGTTCCCGGGGTGCCGGGTTCCCGGTCCCGTGACTTACATAACGTGCTTGATAAGCGAGTGAGCCAGACAAGCGAGTGAGCCACATATCTTAACCTTCCAAATTAAATTCGCAATAAAAACACCACAATCTATCTGATCAATTAAAATTAATTGTTATACTATTCCCTATTGACCTCAATTGCCTCCTGACAGGTCCTTGCATTATGCCCGGTCTTTCCGCAAATACTACACTGCCGAACCTTTGCTCCTTGTGACCTTCCGCGACCACCTCTCGAGGATTCAGCTGTTAGCTGCGCATCAATATCTATCTGATCAATTGCTTGTAATGCTTCCCCTATAGTTAAAGGCCCTTCTTTCTGTACCTTAGTCCTTTTTCCCCTCCGGCGTCGCCCTACTGTCTTATTCTCTTGTTCAAGTTGTCGAACCCTATCATCTAGTAAGACCATCTTATGCATAAGAACAGTTGTTGCCTTCTCAAAATGCTTTACGGCTTCAATTATTGACTCAGGGGAGCTGCTCTTATGATTTCTGATCCTTCCTTGCAGATACTTAGAATGCGATTGGGCCTCTAGCACTGTCTTTGGGGTCCTTGCAGTCCAAGGGGTCGATGGTATTATGACCTCTACGGGAGGCGTCGGAGTCCGTAGCTGCACATCAAGCTTCGAGATGACATTTTCTGGGTTAAAGGGAGCAAGCCCAGCTCCTCTGAAACCTCCCTTGATATTGCTTTCTGTAATAGCAGCTTGGTGGGCGGCGTAAAAGGCAGGAAAGAACTCAGTCTTCTTAATATAGGTTATATTGCATCTGATCAGATGCTCTATTTCTCGACCATATGCCTTTTTCAGCGGCCCAAAGCACCCTACGTCAAGAGGCTGAAGTAGATGAGAGGCATGAGCAGGCATACAGAGCGTGATAATCTTGTTCTCTTTGCAATATTTCTCGAATTCGACGGAGTGGTGACTTTCGTGACCATCAAGGATCAAGAGGCGATAGCGACTGTTCGTTCGCTTAGCTGTAGCCCGATCAAAGTGCTTTAGCCACTCGAGACCCAGCTTATTATTAGTCCATCCATTTTCGCTCAATGCAATAACCCAATCGCCGGGGAGGTCGCATTCTTGGTACCAATTGGCAAGGTGATCCTTGCCTGCACCAATGATAAACGGCGGGATCGATTGACCGTCCGCATTGATCCCCTCGATCACAGTAATCCATTCGCGGTTTCCAGGCTGTACTTGCTTTGGTCTTCCTTGCCTGTAAGAGCTTGTGACGACTGTTCCGGGCTCAATTACGCCCATCATAAAGCCGGTCTCATCAAAGTTCCAGATATCATCTGATCGGATACCGTATTTCGCGATTGTATTCTCTACAAGCCGAAACCAGCCACGAATAATAGTCGGATCTTCGCATTTAGCTCTCTGATAGTCATACCTCCGAGATAGACGTGTCTTTAGCTCTGGTTGTCGCTTGACGAAGTTATAAGCCCAGCGCTTGCCGACGTATGGCGCGTTGCGGTTGGCAAGTATAGAATTAGCTATATCTTCCACATATGATAGTCGCGAGGGAAAACCTCGCAAATCTAGGTCTAAAATGAATTGGACTACTATCTGCTCTTCCTGATCAGATAGTTTCCGTGACTTTGTGGGAGTATCACGCGTTGAAAGAATGCCATGCTGGCGGCGACCTAAGGTACTACGGTTGACATTGTAGATATTTGCCGCCCGTCGGACTGTAAGTTTAGGGTTATCTTGAAGGGCCTGAAGGGCAAGAAGGATTCTAGCTTCATTTGAGGACTGTGGCATATTTGTTGGTTGAGATATAGCTGATTGAATTATAATGTTGTAAGGTGAGGGATTTTTGGCTCACTTGCTTGTCTGGCTCACTCGCTTATCATACACGTTATGGTTAAAGGGCGCAAATTGCAGGAAACAATGTTTAACCTTATTTAGTAATTTCTCAATGAGGTGGCAGGTTTCTGATTCGGAATACATATTCCGAGTGACTATTAAAACGACAAGTCTTTCCAGCCTTTTAATGAATCAGCCCTACTCAATAGGCCAACAACAGTCTTTACAATGGGTGCAACACAGTCAACTGATAAGCCGATCGTGCATACTACGAGCAAGGGAAGGCTCAAAGGCATCCAAAGGATTGACAATGTAACACAGAAGCCATCTTATTATCGGTTTATGCGTGTTCTATATGCTCTGCTGCCTGTTAGCGACCGGAGGTGGCGTCGTCCAGAAAAGCTCCCGACAGACTTTTCATACGATGATGCAAATGGTGTCGCCGGTGATTACACGGGATTTCCCTCCGTCTGCCCCCAGCCTCATTACGCACATGGAGCAGCAGAGGTGCCGAACCCGGATCGCGATCCAGAGCCGGAAACAGTCTTCGACGAGGATTGCCTATACGTTAACATTTGGGTAAGTCGCCCACCCTAGTTTTGGCCCACCCCTGG